ACCTCGTCGATCCTCTCGCGCTTCCCGACCGCCCCGCCTCGGAACATCCCGTCCGGAACCGCGCGCAGATCCCCCCCCGCGGCGATCAGCGCCCACGCGCGCGCCGCGCGTTCGCGCTCATCGCCGCCCGCTTTCATCCCGAGCGATGTTAACCCGTCCCTCAGCTCGTCCATCCCGAGCGCCTCCGCGACGGCCTCCGCGTCCTCGAACGGCGTCGTCGTCGAATCCGTCGCGCGCCACGCGCTCGGCAGCTCAACGACCGCGGGCGCCGCCGCGTGAGTCGAGTTTTTCTTCGAGCACGAGCGCGCTCGCCCCGTCGCGGTCCGTCGCCGCGCCTCGCTCGCCGCGGGCTGCGTCGGCAACCCGACGATTATCTCCGTCGCGCGCTCCCTCCGCGCGGCGTCCACGACCGCGCGCACGAGCTCGTGCGGCGGGACGGACGGGATCACCGCGAGCGGGATCGGCGACGCGCCGGTGGAGGACACCGCGAGCCCGGTCCTTCGTCGGCCGTAGTCCACGCCCAGCGCGACGCGATGGGAGGAGGAGGACGACGACGACGACGCGCGAAGCTCGTCGTGCAGCAGGTCCCAATCGCTTCGCTTCCCCGCGCGAACGCGCGTCGCGTCCGCGACGACGACGACGCGACGCCACCGCCACCGCGTCGGCGTGTTGTCTTCTTCTGAGCAGGGGCGCTGGCGGCGGCGTCGCGGCGAAGGCGTCGCGCCCCGCGCGGCGGCGGCGCCGACCGCGGCGGTCGCCATTCCGAATGAATGACGGCACGAGCGTCGCGCGATGCCGATTTTTAGCCCGGTCGGTCGCGAAAAGCGCGTCGAGGGAGTACGCGCGACGCGTACAGTACGCGTCCTCTGACTAAAAGCCCACTGGCGTGAAATTCAAAGACGAGAAAGTACCGGCGGATTTCCGAGAGCCAATAGAAAAGTTTCGTGCTCGGCGACGAGCGAGCGAGTCGCGTCTCCTAGCTAGGAGTTGAAGATTGCCGCCGCGACGACGCGCGCGCTCATAACTGCACCCTCCACCGTCTGCGAGACACGCGTTGGAAAAATGGCCGCCATTTCCCAGGCGCAATGCGTCGTCAACGTGACCGCGGCCGCGCCGGCCGCGCGCTCCCGCGTCGCGCTCCGCGCGTCCTTCTCCGGTAAATCCGTCGCCGCGAAGCCGGCCTACTTCGCCGCGAAGAGGCAGTCCGTCCTCGTTCGCGCGGAGGAGAAGACCGCGGAGAAGGCGGTCGAGAAGAAGGAGGAGGCGCCGTGGAGCCCCCCGAAGCTCAACCCGAACACCCCGTCCCCGATCTTCGGCGGTTCCACGGGCGGTCTGCTCCGCAAGGCTCAGGTGCGCGCGCGTTTCCGTCGCGACCTCCCATCGCGGCTTCCTTCGCGCTGGAATATCGCTCGGCTCCATCATCGGTCTATATCTCCGGCCATTCGCCCCGCGCGAAGACGCGCGTTTCCGCGGGGTTCCCGCGCGTATCGCGCCTCGTTTTCGCATCGCGCGATGCCCGCGCGCGATGTGCGACCGAAATGCGATCGCGCGCGAGGCGCGATCGCTCGCGCGATGCCCTCAGCGCGCGTCTTCGGGCGATGGGGGCGATCACGCGAAATCATCTTTTCCGTGTATCCGCGAGACGAACGACCCGCGCACGCTCGCGAACGCTCCCAGAACCGAAAACTCACCCCCCGCCGCCCCCCCGACCCGCCTCCGTCGCTCGCGTCCTCAGGTCGAGGAGTTCTACGTGCTCACGTGGGAGGCGCCCAAGGAGATGATCTTCGAGATGCCGGTGCGCGTCCGCGCGTCGCGTCGTCGCGTTTTTTTTAGAGCTCGCCGCCGTCGCGTCGCGCGGGGGCGACGCCGTCGACGTCGGTCCGCTCGCGTCGTCGTCCGATCGATTCTCGATCGGACCCGGCGCCGCTCGCGCGTCCGAATAATCGCGCGATCCGCTAGGGTTCCGACGACGCGCCGTCGATCGCTCGCGGGGGACTCCGCGAGCGAGAAGACGACGCCGCGTCGTCGGAACCCGCGGTGCCCGCGGAACCCGCGCGCGATCGCCGCGCCGTTCGAAGCGCGTCGACCCTCCCCGCTGACGTTTTGATTTCCCTTTTTTTCCCTCCTCCTCCTTCCGCAGACCGGCGGCGCGGCGATCATGCGCAAGGGCCCGAACCTCCTTAAGCTCGCCCGCAAGGAGCAGTGCCTCGCGCTTCTCAACTCCATGAGGGCCAAGAACAAGATCAACGGGTGCGTGTACCGCGTCTTCCCGTCCGGGGAGGTGCAGTACCTGCACCCGAAGGATGGCGTCTACCCCGAAAAGGTCAACAAAGGACGCGTCGGGGCCAACAACAACATGCGCTCCATCGGCAAGAACGCGAACCCGGCGTCGATTAAGTTTGGCGGTAAGCTCGGGTCCGACGGTCTCGCCTCCGACGGCGCCGGCTTCTCTCGCGTGTTCGACCAGTAAGGTTGGTTTGCGAGAGAGCGGGCGGGTCGCGCGACGACGTCGTTTTGTTTTTTCTTCTCGATGCGAACGCGCGACGACGACGCGCGCGCTCGGGGCGAGTCGGGACGACGATGTAGACGGACGGACGGACGGTCGCGCGGCGGTAGGAGACGACTGACTGACTGCCGCGGGAGAACGGCGGACAGGTGGGGGAACTGAAGCGTCGCGAGGGAGGAGCGGCGTGGAGTAAGTTACAGGAACTTTGCGAATAAAGACCCTAGCACAACGAACCCTGTCGTCGCGCTCGCGCGCTGCCCGCACCGATTCCGCGCCTCGGTCGGCGATCGCCTTTCGACGACCTTTTTCACCCTGCCGTTTTCACCCGCCGCGCCGCTCGCGCCGTGGGTCAAAAATCAGATCTTCACCGGGTGCCAAAATCTCAAAATCTCGCCTCCGCCAATGAGCGCGCGCGAATGGAAAAATCGCTCATCCCTCGGCCGCGATCCGTAAACCCACGTCACCGGGTTTACCCCCGCTCCGTTCGCCTCGATCCGCGCGACGCCGCGCGTCACCATACTCGCGCACGCAGAGCACGCATCACGCCGTGTTCGTCGTCCCCCCCTCGAAGACCTCGCCGTCGTTCGATCGAACGCGCACAGCCACCATGGCGTCCCAGACGATCTCCATGTCCGCGACCGCGCGCGTCGCCGCGCGCGCGTCCCTGAGATCCTCGCGCGACACGTCGCGGATCGCGCGCCTGCCCAAGTCCGCCGCGCGCCGCGCCGCGTCCTCCGCTCGCCTCGCCGTCCGCGCCGCGGGCGCGGCGGTGGACCAGGAGACCGGCATCAAGAAGATGCGCGAGGGGATCAAGGAGGCCGCGGACGAGAACCTCCTCACGCCGCGCTTCTACACCACGGACTTTGACGAGATGGAACAGCTCTTCTCGACGGAGATCAACCCCAACCTCGACGAGGCGGAGCTCGTGGCGATCCTCCAGGAGTTCCGCGAGGACTTCAACCAGAAGCACTTCGTGCGCAACGACTCGTTCAAGAAGGCGGCCGACGGCATCACGGGCGAATCGCGGCGGATCTTCATCGAGTTCCTCGAGCGATCGTGCACGGCGGAGTTCAGCGGCTTCCTCCTCTACAAAGAGCTCGGGAGACGCCTCAAGAAGACGGCGCCTGTCTGCGCGGAGATCTTCACGCTCATGTCGCGCGACGAGGCGAGGCACGCGGGGTTCCTGAACAAGGCGATGAGCGACTTCAACCTCGCGCTCGACCTCGGCTTCCTCACGAAGAACCGTCAGTACACCTTCTTCAAGCCCAAGTTTATCATCTACGCGACGTACCTCAGCGAAAAGATCGGGTACTGGAGATACATCTCCATCTACCGCCACCTCCAGGAGAACCCGAACGACCAGCTGTACCCGCTGTTCCAGTACTTCGAGAACTGGTGCCAGGATGAGAACCGCCACGGCGATTTCTTCACCGCGTGCCTCAAGGCGAGGCCGGAGTTCATCAACGACTGGGAGGCGAAGCTCTGGGCGCGATTCTTCTGCCTCTCCGTGTACGTCACCATGTACCTCAACGATCACAGCCGCACGGAGTTCTACGAGTCCATCGGCCTCGACACGACGCAGTTTAACATGCACGTGATCCACCAGACGAACAAGACGACCGCGCAGATCTTCCCGCAGGTGATCGACACGTACAACCCGAAGTTCAAGGAGTACCTCGACAACCTCAGAGACATCAACGTGAAGCTTTCCAAGGCGCAATCGCCGATGGAGAAGGCGCCGCTGATCGCCGGGTTCGCCGCGAACCTTCTCGGCGTCGCGTTGATGAAGCCGGTCGACTCCGGGAGCATCGATTTCGTCGAGGACGTCAACTCCCCGGCGTTCATGTACTAAGCGACGACGAGACGAACGAACGATGAGAGGTTGAGAGGTTGTTTGTGATGAAGAGGGCGGAGGATTAACGGAGGAGGAAGAAGCTTCGCGAGGGAGCGACGGACGACGCGAGGGACGGACGGATGGACGTTGATGACTGATCTGATCTGATCTGATGATGATTGATTTTTTGGGGGGCGACGGTCCAGCGCGAGCGACCGTCGCCCGGGTGGCGATTGTGATGACGTGACTCGACGACGACGCTCGAGAGGCGCCCGCGAGGGCGCGGACCCGGGGATGGAGTCGCGGCGTCTCGAGAAGGACGACGACGACGACGGACGGCGGCGGCGGCGGCGGAGATCTTCCGCCGCGGTCGTCGACAGGACGTCGTCGTTCTCTTCTTCTAGCGGCGAAGCGAGGCGAGGCCTCGCGATGGCGCGATTGTGTTCAATTTTAATACCAAGTGACTGCACGCGAAAAGAGCACTCTGCGAACGCGCGGTCGCGAGACTGATGATTGCGCTGTGGAAAACAGGTGAAAACGCGTCATCAGTGGACGAAGCGCGTCGCGAGAAAAATCTGAGAAAAATCCGCGCACAAAACTGGTCAAAACTTCCTTTCTACCGTTGTACATACAGTATGACGGCGGGGCTCGCCGCGTCTGTAACACAACGAGAGACGCGAACGGCGATCGCGATGCAGGTCGCGGAGGCGGAGACGCGCGGGGGCGAGCCGTCCGCGCGACGCCCGAGGAAGGGCCACGCGCCGCGGGCGACGACGAAGACGGCGCCGAGCGCGACCGACGTCGAGATCGACGTCCTCGCGCCGGCGACCGACGAAAAGGAGGTGTCCGACACGCCCTCGCGGGGGCCCGCGGACGGCGTCGCGGGCCCCCCGCGCGGGTACCGCGATCTCGCCGACGTCGACGACCCCGCGAAGAACGAGAACGCGGACGCGCGCGAGGACGATCGCGAGGACGACGCCGCCGCCGACGACGACGACGACGCGCGCGAGACGACGGAAACGATGGGACAAACGGTCACCACCGCGGTCCCCGCCGCCGCCGCGCGCCCGCCCGTGAACGTCGAGGACGACGACGCGGAGGACGACGACGACGCGACCGCGCGATCCGAAGAAGACGTCGAGCGGAACGCCGTCGCGGCGAGCCCGACGTACGCGGCGCGGGGACCGTCGGGGGCGACGGCGACGGGGACCGCGACCATGACCAGAGAGGAGCTCGTCGGCGGGTTGGGCGGAGGAGACGACGGGGGAAAGCCGAACACGCCGGGCTCCGTGCATAAACCGGTGGGGCGCCCGATGAACGTGGTGTCGTCGCCGAGCGCGACGGTCAACGCGGACGGGAGCCTGAGGTCGGAGAGGTTGGCGGCGGCGCGCACGCTGCTCGCGGCGCCGGCGCCGCCGGGGGGGGTCGGGGTCGCGGCGACGGCGGATCGATCGACGGAGGACGCCGCCGCGGATGCCGAGGCGAGATGGCGCGCGCTGACCGCCGCCGCGGAGGCGCCGCCGCTGTATCACATCACGCCCGCCGCCGACGAGTTGGCGAACGCGGGAGGAGGAGGAGGAGGAGGAGGAGGACTGAAGTACGGCGAGATGGGGTCCCGGTCGAAGGCGAGCGCGCAAGGGTGGGTGCACCGCGTGCGCGTGAAGAAAAAATGCGTCGTCGACGACTGCGCGCGGTTCCGCGTAGCACCCGAAGGGGTGGGCTCGCGGCACAACGGGAAGATCCGCCTGCCGTTGACGTGCCCCATGCATCTGGACGCGACGACGGTGCTCATCGGCGGGATCCCGTCGCGAGAGTGCCAGGCGTGCCGCGCGTTCCACCCGCTCTCGGAGTTTGGCAAGGACAACAAGACGTGCGAGCGGCGCCTGAAGCGGAAGAAGGTGCGGTACCACATGTCAGCGACGGGGTCGGATTTCACCGACGCGGAAGCGGAAGCCGCGGCGTTGGCGCTCGTGGAGAAAGCGGGCGACCGACGCGTCCCCGTCTTTAGCGCCGCCTCACTGAAACGCGGCGGCGGCAGCGGCGGCGGCGGCGGCTTCAGACTCCTCGGCGGGCACCCCAAGAAGAAGCGCACGGGCGTCACGCCCGGCCCGGTTCGCGAGAAGATTCGCAGTGAGGCCAAGCAGATCGCGGCGGGGCTCCCCGGGTCGTTCCCCGCGCCGCCCAGGTCGACCGCCGACGACGACGACGCCGACGCCGGTTTGCTCGAACGCTACTCGAGCTTGCGCGGCTCGATGCCGCGAGACGCGTCGTTGCACGAAGCCGCCGCGCGCGGCGCCGCGCGCGGGTTCCACGACGCGGTCACCAACGCCGTCACCAACGCCGTCACCAGCGCCAACGACGCCGGGTACGCGCACCAGCCGGCGCTCGCGGAGTTGGGGCGGCGGCAGCAGCCGCCGCCCTCGGCGCCGCCGCCGCCGCGGGCGTCGTCCCCAAACCCGGGGCAGAGCCCGGCGCAGCAGGCGGCGGCGACGCTCGCGGCGCAGTGCCTCATGGCCGCGTCGACGCTTCTGTCGCAGGTGGCGTCGTCGCCGGCGGCGGCGGCGGCGGCGCCGCCGCCGCCGGCGCCGGCGACGCAGAGCTCCCCGGCGGGCGCGCTCATCGCGGCGCTCCATCAGCAGCGACAGTCGGCGGCGGGCGCCGGCGCGAACCTCGCGGCGTTGCTCGCCGCGGGAGGTCTGCCCGGGGCTGGGGGGGCTGGCGGGGACGGCGGCGGCGTCGGCGGACTCTCCGCGGATGCGCTCGAGGCGATGCGCGCGGCGCAGGCGCGCGCCGACGCGGCGAACGAGGCGGCGGATCGCGCCAACGGGGACGTGCAGAAGCAGCTGAGCGACGCTCAGGTGCGTTCTACACAAAAGTTTTTCACCCATCGCCCGGTTTCAACATTTGATCGCTTCCCCTTTCAACTGACCGGAGAACTGTTTTTGTATGGAATGGCCCTCAGGCGGCGGCGGGGTGCAGGGTGATGTGACGCGACGCGACGCGCGCGGTGGATAGGGTGAGCGTCGAGCGTCTGAGACAGACGGGAATTTTTTGGTGTTAGGGATGAAGGGATGCGGGACGACCGGAGTCGTGCGAGGGGGAGAGAATGGCGTGGCGGCGGGACGAGAAGCGGTCTCGTCAGAAACGTTTGTTGAAGTGAAAAAACTCGTCATAAGTTAAGTTAGTGTGTGCAAAAAAAGTGCGTCGGTCAGTTGAAAGGGGACGCGATCAAATGTTGAAACCGAACGGTGGGTGAAAAACGTTTTGTCGGCCGATAGAACGCACCTCCGTCGCGGCCCGGTAGCCCGGTCGCGCTCGCGCCGCGCCGAAAAACCTCTCGCTCTCCGCTCCGCTCGCGAACCAACAATTCATCGTCGCGGTCGTCGTTCCGCGCCATCGACGTCCGCGCGAGCGAGGGACAGCGCGGCCGCGTACCCTTCCTGGGAAGGATGTTCGGCGGCAATCGAACCCCGTTTGGCACGCCCAGCAAGGTGCGCGCGCGCTCGCGATCGCGCCCCCGCCGTCGATTGCGCCGCGTCGTTCGTCGCGCGCCGCCCGACGCGACGCCCGTCGTTGTTTACCTCGTTTATCGATTAAATAATCATCGTCGTCCCGCGTTCGTCTCGCCGCCTTACGGCTGAGCCGTCCGTCCCTCCTCGTCGTCCCTCGCAGTCGGATGTGGACAAGCTGCAGCGGAAGCTCGATCACAAAACGAACGAGCTGGACATGCTCCAGGTCGCGAACGAGGCGCTGCAAGCGCAGGCGAAGGCGCGTCGTCGTCCCCGGTCGTCGTCCGCGATTTCTTCGGCAACATCGCAGCGCCGAAAGAATCCAATCCGCGCGCGTCGGTCGTCGCACTGGTCCCCATACGACCGCGTTCGCGTTGTGAACTTCATTCCTTAAGGACTTTCGGGTCCCTCGTCGCGCCGCCCCGCCGCGTCGCCACTCGACTGACGCGCGGTATCCCTCCCCCCACGCCATCATCATCGAATCATCGACATCGTCATCTTCTTCTCCAGGCCGCGGTCGAGCGCGAGGAAGCGATGCGAGAGATCGCGGACCAGCACGAGCGCGCGCTCGTGACGGCGCGCGATCGCATCGGGGATTTGGAAGCGAAGCTCGAGAGGGGCGGCGGCGGCGGCGGCGACGACGCGTCGGCGGCTTCCGACGCGTCGACCGACGCGAAAGTCCCGGAACTCCAGAAGAAGCTCAGAGTCGCCGCGGCGACGGTGAAGAAGCTGCGCGCGCGCGAGACGGAGCTCGAGGAGGCGCTGAAGGCGGCGACCGGCGGCGAAGGCGGCGACGACGCGGCGAAGGCGGCGGAGGCGGAGGCGGCGGAGGCGCGGACGCGTCTCGACGAGAAAGCCGCGGAGGTGGAGTCCTTATCCGACGCCCTCGAGGCCGAGCGCGAGTCCTCGCGATCGCTGAAGCTCGCGCTCGAGGAGCAGACCGCCGCGACGAAGAAAGCGGCGACGGCGGCGACGACGGCGGCGACGAAAGAACTCGACGCGGAACGCGCGACGTCGTCCGAACTGCGCGCGAAGACCCATGAGATGGCGCAAATCATCGAGCAGCTCAACGACGCGCTCGCGGAGTCGCACGCCGCGGAGGAAGACGCGCGCGCCGCGGAGGAGGTGCGAGACGCGATGGCGGAGCAGAACGAGTCGGCGTTGCGCGCCGACGTCGCGAACCTGACGTCTGAGGCGCGTCCTCGGAGCATCACACTGGTCCCCATACCACCGCGTTCGCGTGGTGAACGCCGATCCTTAAGGACTTTACTTCCCGGCGCATCCATCTCTCCGCCCAGGGTCCCTCGCTGGTTTCAATCCCGACACACCGCGACGCCTTTCAACTCCGCTTCTGACGCCTTTCAACTCCACCCCGACGTCATCGCTCGTACGGACCCTCGACCCGAAGCTCGAGAAAGGAAACGCGGCACATCGCGCGCTGGAGGAGAGGATCGTCGAGATGGAGAGCAAGGCGCGTCCCTCACACTGGTTCCCATACGACCGCGTTCGCGTGGTGAACGTCGATCCTTAAGGACTTTGTCCAGCGTGTCTCTCCGCCCACCCCTCGCTTTCAACGCCCGACATCGATGCCTTTCAACTCCAACTGACGCCTTTCAACTCTACCCCGACGTCGCTTCGAATGATAGAGCGTCGCGGCGATCAAAGCGGCGGACGCCGCGCACGCGGAGGAGCTCGAGCGCGCGCTCACGGCGGCGGTGGAGGAGCGCGAGAAGAGGGACGCGGCGAGCGGCGCGTACGAGGAGAGAATTAAGGCGCTGGAGGCGGCGTTCGCGGCGGATCAGGCGACGAACGACGCGACCGCGGCGAAGATGAGAGACGCGGCGGATCAGGCGGCGGAGGACGAGATCGCGCGGATCGCGGCCGAGCTGAGGACAATCGCGGCGGAGAACGAGAGGCTGAAGGACGAGATGTACGCGCTGGCGCAGAGACACGCCGCGGATTCGGAGGCGCTGACGCAGAGACACGCCGCGGAGTTGGAGGAGCTCGCGAAGAGACACGCCGCGGAGGCGGAAGAGCTTGAGGCGATGCAGAAGCGACGAGAGGAAGACGCGTCGCCGCTCGAATCCGCGAAGGACGCTGCGAGCGACGCGAAGGAGAGGAAGACGCTCGAGAAGAAGCTCGAGGTGGCGATGAAGCTCGTGAAGACGCTGCGCGCGAAGGAGGAGGAGCACCAGATGCGGCTCGAGCAGGCGACGGCGCGGACGGAGATCATTCGCGAGGCAGAGGAAGCCGCGACGGCGCGGTGCGACGCGCTGAAACGAGTCGCGGAGGACGCCGCGGAGACGGCGGCGCGGCACGAGAAGAACGCGGCCGAGGCGAACGCGCGCGCGGACGTCCTCGAGAGGAAGCTCGCGGCGGAGACGGCGGCGTTCGCGGCGGCGGCGGCGGCGGCGGCGGCTCCGCCGCGCCGAGTCTCCATCGAATCCTCCGTCGCCGCCGCCGCCGGCGACGGCGACGGCGAAGAGCAGTTCCGCGAGTGGCGCCGACGCGCGACGCGCGCGGAGAGGAATCTGAGGAAATACCACGGCATGATGAAAGCCGCGGGGAAGCACGGCGGCGTCCCCGCCGTCGAAGAACTCGCGGAGGCGTTGGAAGCGCAACGCGCTGAGGCGGAATACGAGTGGAACCGCATGGACGCGCTGCTCGCGGAGGCGAGAGGGGAAGGCCCCGCGCCGCCGCCGAGCCCGCCGCCGGCGGGGGGCTACGGCGCGCCGCCGCCGAGCCCGCCGCCGAGCCCGCCGCCGTTTGGAGGGTTTAATAACGCCCAGCAGAGCGACGGCGGCGGCGAAGTTGGCCAAGTCGGCAGCCCCGCGTCGCCGTCCGCGGCGTCCGCGGCGGCGGCGCTCGCCGCGGAGGTGCGTTCTATCTATCTTACAGTGGTCCCCATACGACCCCGTTCGCGTGGTGAACGCCGATCCTTAAGGACTTTCTCTCCCGGCGCATCTCCCCGCCCACCTCTCGCTTTCAATCCCGACACACCTCGACGCCTTTCAACTCCGCTTCTGACGCCTTTCAAATCCACCCCGATATCATCGCTCGTACGGAACGACCCTGAGACGGAGATCCAGCTCCGCGCGGACCTGGAGAGGAGCAAGCGAGAGAAGGACGACCTCGATCGCGTCGCGACGTCGGCTCGAAACGCGCTCGCCGTCGCGGAGAAGGCGTCGGCGGCGACGCGGGGAGAGCTCGAGAGGGCGCGCGAGGAGCTCGCGTCCGCGAGAGAAGCGAAAGAGACGGCGGAGAGGAAAACGCGCGAGGATTTTGAGGCGTCGGCGGCGGCGTCCGCCGCGAAAATCGCGACGCTGGAGGAGGCGCTCGCGGACGCGGAGAGAGAAAACGCGTCGGCGGCGGCGACGCGAGAAAACGAGAGCTCTCCGCGGAGAGAAGCTGACGTTTCGCGTTCCGAGCTCGCGAGCGAGTTCGCCGCCGCCATCGCGCGCGCGGAGGAGGTGCGTTCTATACACTGGTCCCCATACGACCGCGTTGGCGTGGTGAACGCCGTTCCTTAAGGACTTTTTCCGTCGTCACTCTTCACCCGCGCTTCCCTTTCAACGTTTGACCGGTAAGACGTTCGACTGACCGATCGCTTCACCCACACAGTACGAAACCCTCGCGGACGCGTCGACGAAGAAGTGCGAGGCGTTGGAGCTCGCGTTAGCGGACGCGGAGTCGTCGTTACGGAACGCGAACGAGGACGCGAACGCGCTGTTGGAAGCGACGCGACGCGCGAAGAACGAGGAGCAAACGCTCCGCAGAAACGCCGAGTCGGACGCCGCCGCGGCGAGGGAGTCGGCGGAGCGCGCGCGACAGCTCTCCATCGCCGCCGCGGCGGAGGCGGACGACTACAGGTGCGTTCTATACAAAAGTTTTTCACCCATCGCTCGGTTTCAACATTTGATCTCGTCCCCTTTCAACTGACCGATGAAAAACTGTTTTTGTATGGAATGGCCCTACAGAGCCGAGTGCGCGGAGCTCCGCGCCAAGCTCGACGCCGCGGTGTCGCAGAGCGAACGCGTCCGAACGGAGGCGTCCGAATCCGAGACGTCGCACGCGGAGGAGCGCCGTCTGCGAGAGTCCGCCGAGTCCGAGCGCGACGCGGCGCGCGCCGAGCTCGCGGCGACGCGCGTTTCAGGCGCGTTCATATTTACACCGGTCCCCGTACGACCGCGTCGGCGTGGTGAACGCCGTTTCTTAAGGACTTTCTCACCCGGCGCATCCATCTCTCCGCCCAGGGTCCCTCGCTGGTTTCAATCCCGACACACCTCGACGCCTTTCAACTCCACTTCTGACGCCTTTCGACTCCACCTCGACATTCGTCGCTTCGTATGGACCCTCCCTCGACCCTCAGCCGCGGACGCGCGCGGGGAGGCGGACAGGGCGTCGACGCGCGAGCGCCGCGCCGTCGCCGCCGCGGAGGAAGCCGCCGCGAAGACGGCGCGCGCGGAGGCACTGGTCGAGAAGAACCGCGCCGCGCACGCGGAACGCGTCACCGCGCTCACGGACGCGACGGAGAAGGCGGACGTGCGCGCGCGGCGCGCGGAGGAGAAGGCGGCGACCGCGGAGGAGGCGAGCGTCGCCGCGGCGTCGGAGCTCGACGGCGCCAAAGCGGCGCTTCGACGCGCCGACGAGAAAATCGACGAGCTCGACCGCCGCGCGCGCGAGCTCGAGGCGGCGCTCGCGGACGACGCGTCCAGGGGGGGCGAGGACGCGTCCGTGATGAGCTCGAACACGCATGTTGTTACGATAACGGCTCAAATCGAGACGTTACGCGCGGAGCTCCTAAAGACCGAGGAGGCGCTCGAACGCGAGCGCGACGCGTCGGAGACGTATAAATCCGAAGCCGCGGCGGCGATGGTCACGCGCGAGGTGGAGTCTCAGAACGCGGAGAGGGCCGCGGACGCGGCGCGCGCCAGAGCGCTGCGCGCGGAGAAGGCGACGCGCGACGCGGAGGAAGCGCGCGACGCGGAGAGGGACGCGCGGAGGGACGCGGAGGCGGTGGCGGAGGCGCGGCGCGTCGCGCTCGACCGCGCGCGACTCGACCTCGACGAACACCGCGCGAGCGCGTCCGCCGGCGCCGGCGCGCTCGAAGCCATCTCCGATGAAAAAGCTCGGCTCGAGGCGAAGCTCGAGGAGGCGGAGGCTAAGCTCGAGAGCGCGACGACGTCGCTGCGGGAGAAGACGAGGGAGGCGGCGACGATGGACGCCGCGCTCTCCGCGACGCGAACCGCGCACGCCGCCGAGCTCGAAAACATGGAGAAACGCTTCGAACGCGAGCGTTTACACCACGCCGAGCGGCTCAAGGATGAGGAAGCCGCGGGCAAGAGCGTCCTCAACGCGTCCCAAGCCGCGGTCGAGAGCGGCCGCGCGAAACTCCAAGACGCGGAGAAGCGGCTCGCGGACGTCGAAGAGAAACACGCCGAGGCGTCGCGCGACGCGTCCCGACGCGCCGCGCGGATGGCGACCGACCTCGACGCCGCCGCCGCCGCGGCGGCGGCGGCGACGCAGCGCGCGAGGACGCTCGAGGAGAAGCTCGCGCGGTGCGCGGCGAAGGAGGACGCGCTGCGACGAGAGATGGCGCGAGCGAAGGACGAGATGGACGCGGCGGCGGCGAAGCGCGCTACTGAGACGGGGAAAACGCGCGCGGACCTCGCGAGCGCGATCGCGGCGACCGAGACGGCGACGACGTCGCGCGACCGCGTCGAGGAGCAGCTCAGAGCGTCGCGATTTCGCGCCGAATCCGCCGAGGCGGCGGCGGAGGCGGCCGCGGCGGAGGCGGCGTCGGCGTATCGCCAACGCGACGCCGCGCGAGACGCCGAGACCGCGGCTCGCATGGACGCGCAGTCCGCGAGGAACCGCGCGTCCGCGCTCGCGGAGGAGCTCGCCATTCTCGGGAAGAACGCCGCCGCCGCGGAGCGCGAGCGCGCGTCGAGAGACGCGGAGGCGGAGCGGAACGCCGCGGGCGCCGAGGCGCGCGACGGCGTCGCGCTCGACGCGGCGTCGCGACGGGCGATCGAAGCGGCGAACGCGGAGATCGAGACGCTCCGCGCGCGGCTCGCGGAGAGCGCGGCGTCCATCGCGAACGTCGCCGCCGCGTCGGAGAGCGGCGCGGCGGCGGCGGAGGAGGCGGAGCGCCGCGCGGCGGAGGCGCGCGAGCGGTGCGCGACGCTGACGACGGAGCTCAGAGCGGCGAACGCCGCCATCGCGACGATGGAAGCGGCTGCGGCGACGCACGCGGTGAACTACGGCGTCGCGACGCGCGCGGCGTCGGAAGCCGCCGCGGCGGAGGCGGCGGCGAGGGACGACGCGGACGCCGCGCGGTCCGCGGCGGAGGCGGCACGCGCTCTCGCGGATGACCTGCGCGAGGAGCTTCGAAACGTCAGAGGCGACGTCGCGTCCGCGGCGGCGGCGGCGCTCGAGATGGAGCGACACGTCGCCGCGACGCAGCGCGCGGCCGCGGACGCGGTCATCAAGCACAACGTGTCCAGCGCCGGGAAGGACCTTGCGAGCGCGCGCTTACGCGAGAAGGAGCGCGAGATTGCGGAGGTGGTCGAGGCGCAGCGGGAGGCGGTGGACGCGCGCGACAGGATGCGGCGCGAACGCGACGACGCCGCCGCCGCGGCGGATAAGGCGGCGAAGGACCTCCACGCCTCGCGAGCGTCCGAGCGGCTCGCGTCCGAGAAGCTCGCGGGCGCGCTCGCGGCGGCGGCCGCCGCGGAGGCGCTCGCGGCGGACAACGCCGCCGTCGCCGCGGCGTTGCGGCACCGGCTTTTCCCGAACGGCGTCGACCCGGACGCGGCGGACGCGCCGCGAAGGGTGCTCAAGATTCTTCGCGCGACGTTGTTCGTGGACGACGACGAGGACGACGAGAACGACATCGCCGGAGAAGAAGAAGATGGAACGTCAACCGACACAACGGTACAACAACGTCGTCATCGTCCTTCGAGAGCTGTGGACGTCACGGAGGCGGTCCGGAAGCTCGCGGCGGACTCCGGCGGCCTCGGCGTGCGCGTCAAGGTGTCGGATAATCTCCGAACGCTTCTCGGCGCCGATTTCGCGGCGTTGTTGCCTCCGCCGCCGTCGGACGCGACGACGACGCTGGAGACGACCGGGTTCGTGACGGACGTCCCGGTCCCCGTCGGACGCGCCGGCGGCGGCCGCCTCGTGATCCTGTACCGCGCGATGACGTCCCCGGCGACGCGCGAGAACGACCTCGCCGGCTCAGGTGCGTTCTATACAAACGTGTTTCACCCATATGTAGCTCGGTTTCAACACTTGATCGATCGCGTCTCCTTCTGTTTCAACTGACCGGTGAACTGTTTTTGTACGGAACGCACCTCAGACAGCGTCGAGGTTGGCGTCGGCGGGTTGCACACGCACGCGCCTTTCGTCCTCGAATCGCTCTGGATCGACGCGTCAACGCCGTCCGCGGACCGCCAAGTTCTGACCGTCGCCGCTCGCGCGCGCGACGCGGAGGCGACCGCCGCGGACGCGAGAGCGCGCGTCTTCGCGCTCGAGTCAGGCGCGTTCTATACACTGGTCCCCATACGACCCCGTTCGCGTGGTGAACGCCGATCCTTAAGGACTTTGCCCGGCGCGTCTCTCCGCCCATCCCTCGCGTTCAATCCCCGCCCTCGACGCCTTCGAACTCCACCTGACGCCTTTGAACTCCACCCCGCCATCGCTTTGTATGGAACGACCCTCAGAGCTCCGAGCGGTTCGCGCGGAGCTGAAGTGCGCGACGGCGGCGACGGCGGATTTGGAACGCGCGCGCGCGGATCTCACCGCCGGCGTCGCCGTCATGCGCGACGAGTGGCGCGCCGCGTCAGACGCCGCGACGTTGAACGAGACGCGCGCCGCGGAGAAGGCGCGCGTCGTCGAGGAGACGAAGCTCGCGGCTCGGGCGAAGCTGCGCGACGCGAGAGCGGAAGCGGACAGGCGCGTCGCGACGGCGGTGCGCGAGGAACGACGGCTCGCGGAGTCCAAGGCGCGGGAGGTGCGGCTCGCGTCCGCGGCGCGCAGACGCGTAGAGCGGGGCGTGCCGACCGCGGTGATGGTGTCCGGCGGCGGGACGTGGTCGACGACCCCGCGCGGCGGCGGCGGCGGCGATCGGAGCGCCGCCGCCTCCGCGACGCCGGGGTCGACGACCGCCTCGAAGGCGTCCCCGATCGACGCGAGGTATAAAGCGATCAAGCGCGTCGACGCGGTGATGCGCAGGGAGGAGGAGGCGTGGCGCGCCGCGAAGGTGCTGAGGGACCAACGCGGCGGCGGCGGCGGCGGCGGCGGCGGCGGCTGGGAGGCGCCCGCGACGTCGTCGCGGATCGCGCGGCCGGTTCCGGCGCGACGCGGAGACGTCGTCGTCGCCGCGCGAACGCCGCCGGCGTTCGGCGCGTCGGCGACGAGGACGCCGAAGCGAACGACGACGACGACGAGGACGCCGGCGAGGGCGACGAGGTCGGCGGCGGCGAAGTCCTTAAGGAACGGCGTTCACCACGCGAACGCGGTCGTATGGGAACCAGTCACGATGACCGGTCGCGAGGGACGACGCCCGAACCCGATCCACCGCGATCGTCCGTTCGCGACCCGCCGAGATCCGCCGAGCGTCGAGGCGCGACGACGCGCCGAGGCGCGCGTCGCGTTCGAGTCGACGACGTCGAAGAAACGCACCGAACGCGAGCGTTTACCTTCATCATCATCGCCGCCTCCTGCCCGGAGAGAGAGAGAGCCGCCGTTGTTCACGTCGAGCGAACGCCGCGCCGCGGAGACGACGGCGTCCTCCGCGGTGAAAGCCGCGACGCTCGCCGCGAGGCTCGCGAGGGCGGAGCGCGAACTCCGCGCGGCGATGGCGACGCGAGAGCGACGCTCCAAGGACGTCGAGGACCTCAGGCGCCGCGCGGAGGACGCGGAGAAGGCGGTGAGCGACCGCGACGCGCGAATCGCGGAGGCGCACCGACGCGCGGTCGCCGCGGCGCTGACGCTCGACGAGGGATCTCCGGCGAGGGATCTGGGCCGGTCCTTCGACGACGCGACGACGACGACGGCGGCGACGATGACGACGAGCTCGGGACCCGGGGACCCAGCGTTCACGTTCCGGACGCCGACGTCCCCGGAGGCGCGGAGGGAGGTGAACCAGCTCGCGAGCGGGCTGCTGCACTCGAGCGAGACGCTGCTCGCGCAGGCGGAGGCGCGCGAGAGGTGGGAGGCTCCGTGAGGCGAGCGCTTCCGGAAGTGCGGACGATGAGATACTTTCACGTACTGTGCGCACGGCGACTTCGTCGCGCACGATGACCTCATCACAGCACAACTTCTAGGTAATAACCTTAGTAGACCCGACTATTCTTTATTCCCCTCTCTCTCGCCTCACCGCTTCTTTAGCGTCCGCGGGGTGTCCTCCACTTCCGGCGCCGCTCTGGCGTCGCCGACCTCGCCAACCTCGCCGTCGTCGTCGTCGTCGTCGACGCCGTTGAAGAACATGTCGAGGACGCCGGCGACGCCTTCGATGACGGCGGCGCCGCCGTACCCTTTCTTCTTCTCCCTCGAGAGCTCCCTCGAGAGTTCCGCGTTGCGAATCGTCAGCGCCTTGATCATCTCCTGCGCCGCTTCTCTCGAGAAGTCTTTCGGGTCGTCGAGCGGTATCTCAATCTCCGTCGTCGCCGCCGCCGCCGCGCGTTCGCGTTCACGTTCGCGTTCGCGTTCCCGCGCCTCCTCCTCCATCCCCGCTCGCATCGCGTCCATCTCCCCGCGCGCGGTCGCGAGCGCGGCTCTCGCGTGCGCGAGGTCGTTCTTCACCGCGACGACGTCGTTCTTCGCCTCGCGCGCGCTCAGCGCGGCGGCGAGCTCCGCGGCTTCCGCGCGCGCCTTGGCCTCCTCCGCCGCCGTCGCCGCGGCGATCCGCGCGTCCCTCTCGCGCTCGAGCTCGTCCCTCTCCGCGCGCACGCTCTTCAGTTCTTCTTCGAGCTCCGAGTTCGTCGTCGTCATCCGCGGCGTCAGCCTCTCGACGCGGAGCTCGGCCTTCGTCTCTTCCAGCGCCGTCTTCGCCGCGGCCATCGCCACCGCGTGCGACGCCTCTCGCGCGTCGAGCTCGCGTTCCGCCGCGGCGGTCGCCGCGGACGTCGCGCGTTCGTGCGCGCTCGCGGCCGCGTCCTCGACCGCAGCCTTCAGAGCAGCCGCGTGCGTCGCCTCCGCGCGTGTCGTCGCGTCGGCGACCGCAGCCTTCAGAGCGACCGCGCGCGTCGCCTCCGCGCGCGTCGTCGCGTCGGCGACCGCAGCCTTCAGAGCAGCCGCGTGCGTCGCCTCCGCGCGCGTCGTCGCGTCGGCGACGGCGGCTTCGATCGCCGCGCGCGTCTCCTCGGCGAAGGTTTCCTCGCGCGCCGTCGCCGCCGCCGCGCTGTCAGCCTTCAACGCGGCCACCTCTTTCGCGTGCTCCGCGACGAGCGCGTCGAGCGCGAGCTTCTTGTCCTCCGCGTGTCTCGCGATCGCGTCCGTCAGCGCCGCCTTCGCGTCCGACGCCGCGCGCGTCGCGAGGTCGAGGTCTTCCTTCGCGGCTTTCGTCGCCGTCTCCGCCGCCGCCGCCGTCGTCGCCGCCTGCGTGGGTGAAGCGATCGGTCAGTCGAACGTCTTACCGGTCGAACGTTGAAAGGGAAGCGCGGGTGAAGAGTGACGACGGGCGAAGTCCTTAAGGAACGGCGTGCACCACGCGAACGGGGTCGTATGGGAAGCAGTCTCACCGTCGCCGCCGCCGCCGCCAACGCCTCCTCCTTCTCCTTCGCCGCCTCGCGCATCGCGTCCGCCACCGCTGCGCTCCTCTCTCGTTCGGCGACCGCCAGCGCCTCTTCCCTCGCCTTCGTCATCGCCTCGACGAGCATCGCATCGCGCGCGCCGTCCCCCGCCGCCGCGGCTTCTTCCATTCGTCGCCGCTCGCACGCGAACGCGTCGCGCGCGCTCCGCAGCTCCGCCCTCAAGCCGCCTTCGACCTTCTCCGCGTCCTCTCGGACGCGGAGAAGCGCGGTACGCGCGTCATCGAGCTCCGCGATGACGCGCTTCAGCTCGTCGCGCGATTTGGCGGCGTCCGCGGCGTTGGCGCTCTGCATCTCCGTCGCCACCTCCAGGTCCTTGAACATGATCTCCATCACCTCTCGCTGCTCGCGGAACGTCGACTCGACGCGCGTCTTCGCCTCCTCCGCGGCGGCGCATCGAGCGTCCGCCGCTTTAGTCGCCTCCGCGGCGGCGGCGAGCATCGACTCGGAGGCTCTTTTCGCGTCGTCCTCCGCGATCGCGCGCGCCTCGGCCGCGCCCTCCGCGCGCGCCACCTTTAGCGCCGCGCGGCTTTCGCGCGCCTCGAGCTCGAGCGCGGCGAGCTTCGCTGCGAGGTCGCGGACGCGCGCTTCCGCCTTGTCTCTCGCCATCAAGGCCGCCGCCGCGGCCTCGTCGCTGCGCATCCGCCGCTCTTTCTCGTCGATGAGCGCTCGGCTCTTCGCGGAGACGACGCCGGAGGCGGCATTAGCGGCGGAGGGCGCGCGCGCGTCGGCGGAGTCGTTGAGATCCGATTTCTTCGCCGTCGTGGTCGCGCACTTCTCGCGCTCCGTCGTGTCGAGATACGCGTTCGTGAGGACGCCGAGCGCGGTTCGCTCGCCCTTGGGCTTGCTCTTGAGCGCGTTTATCATCGTCGGCGAGACGGGCGGCGACGCGCCCGGGGACGACGACGACGACGACGACGACGCGTCGGCGACCGCGTCGCCGCGTTGACGCCCCTCGCGCGAGATCGACTCGAGCGTCGACAGCGCCGCGACCAGCTCCGTCTCCGCGTGTTTCCTCAGCTCCGGTCGCGTCCGCCGCGAGCGGAGCTTCGCGGACTCGCGCGCGGCCTCCTCCGCCTCCTCCTGGAGCCATTTCGGCACCGCGCGAGGCATGACGCGGGGACGCGCGCGCGCACGACGGAGGGGGCGCGACAGGTGATTTTGAACGAATGTTCCCCCCGGACAACTTACCGGACGCGGAACGAACAACGGAATTTCGTGCATTTCGCGGCGTACTGTACGTACGCGTACAGTAGTACGTTTCGTATGAGTAACTAGTAAGACCTGGCCGCCCTCGCCGCCTGTCACGTCAATCTCGACACGTTTCGCGTTTTTTTGACAACAACGCGCGAGAAACGCCCACCCGCCGGACTTTCCTCGTTGACCGCCGCGCGACTTCGACGCGCGCGCTCGCGTCGCGTCGCTCCTCCGCTCCCGCGCGCGCTCCGCGGACGTCCGCGTCGCGCTTCCCGACGACGCCTCGCGGCCGCTGCCATCGCGCGGGCGCGCGCGGCCGCGTCGTTCGCGCGCCGCCGCCGTCGTCGTCGTCGTCGTCGAGGTGAATCGTGGTCCCGCGGCGCGCGCGCGACCGACCGATCGACCGATCGCGCTCCCGACGCCGCCCGCCGACGTCGAACCGCCGACATCGGCCGGCGCGAACGCTCTCATCAGCGTCGGTGAGTCGTCGTCGGTCATCATGGACAAGTACGCGCGCGTAAAGACGCTCGGGAAGGGCTCGTTCGGGGCTGCGATCCTCGTGACATCGCGCGCCGATCCGTCTGAAAAATTCGTCGTCAAGGAGGTGGACGTGTCGCGGATGCCGCGAGACGAGCGCGAGGCGGCGCGGCTGGAGGCGCAGCTCCTCGCGGCGCTGCACCACCCGAACATCGTGACGTGCCACGAGTCGTTCACGGACCGCGGCAAGCTGTGCATCGTCATGGATTACTGCGAGCGAGGCGACCTCTACCAGCTCCTCAAGGCGCAGGTGCGCGCGCGTCGTCGTCGTCGTCGTTGCGCTTGCCAGCCTGCCAAAAAAAAATCGTTACTCGTTCGTTCACCCTGCGCCTCGGTTTCAAACTTCATCGCGAACACGAAACTGACCGACGCGTCGACCGATCAACTTACGAAACGACAGCGCGGCGCGCCGCTGCCCGAGCGCCGCGTCGTGGACATGTTCACGCAGCTGCTCCTCGGGCTGAAACACGTCCACGACCGCAAGGTGCTTCACAGGTGAGTACTCGTAGTCCGCCCGACCGTCGTCGTTCATAACGCTCATCCTAACGACGTTTCTTTTCGTTTCTTCGTGCGCGCGTTTCTTCGCAGGGATCTGAAGACGCAAAACGTCTTCGTCGCCGCGGACGGGACGCTGCGACTGGGGGACTTTGGCGTGAGCAAGGTGCTGTCGTGCACGACCGCGCTCGCGTCCACCGCGGTGGGGACGCCGTACTATCTGTCCCCGGAGATTTGCGAGAACAAGCCGTACGACCACAAGAGCGACGTGTGGAGTTTAGGATGCGTCCTCTACGAGATGCTCACGCTGACGCATCCGTTTGAAGGCGCGTCGCTGAAGCTTCTCATCCTCAAGATCATCCGCGGGAAGTACCCGCCGGTGAGCGCGCGGTACGGCAAGGCGCTCAGGGACGTCCTGGACGCGATGTTGTCGAAGAACCCCGCGAAGAGACCGGGGGTGAACGACATCCTTAAAAAAGCGCCGTTTAAGGACGCGGCGAAGAGGCTCTTGGAGAAAAAGACGCACGAGGATGAGTTTTCGCACACGGTGATCCACGCGCCGAGGCGAGGCGCGGGCGGCGCCGGGGCCGGCGGCGGGATGCGCGCGCTGCAGAGGGACGGGCGGCTGAGTCCGCCGCGGCGACGGGAGGAGGAGGCGAAGGCGTCGAAAGACCCGTCTCCGCCCTCGGCGTTTGCGGCGCCCGCGGCGTTTGCGGCGGCGGCGGCGGCGCGTCGGAAGCCGCCGCCGGCGGCTGTCTCGCCGCCGGTCATCGCCGTCGTGGGACAGCCCGCGCCGGTCAAGCGATCGAGTCCACCGAGAAGAGCGGCGCCGATCGACGTCCTCGCCGAACGCAGAGCCGCGAGAGCCGCGGAGGAGGCGGCGAGACGACGGAGAGAGGCGGATGAGATTCGAGCGAAACGGCTCGCGGAGGCGGAGGAGCGCAGGTGCGCGTCCCATCTCACACTGGTCCCCGTACGACCGCGTTCGCGTGGTGAACGCCGATTCTTAAGGACTTTTGCCGTCGTCTTTCTCCGCCCACACTTCGCTTTCAATCCCCGCCCTCGACGCCTTTCAACTCCGCTTCTGACGCCTTTAAACTCCACCCAGACGCCGTCTGGAAGCTCGAGAGAAGCGCGAGGTCGCCGCGCGCGTCGCCGCGGAAGAGAAGCGCGCGCAGGAGCGCCTTCGCGCGGAGAAGGCGCGCGCGGAAGCGCGCGAGGAGGCGCGAAGAGAGTTTAAGCAACGCCAGGCTGAGGCGCGCGCGAACGCCGCCGCCGTCGCGCGGTCCGAGCGCGGAAGCCTCGACCCGGAGGCGCCCGCGTGCGAAATTTACGTCAAGGAGTCGCCGCTGATTCAGCAGATGCGCGACGCGCAGCGCAAGCATCTCGAGCGCGCGCGCAAGCAGGAGGAGAGGCGGGCGCGGACGCCGCCGGCGGCGCAGCCGCGGGCGCTCCCGGGCGCGGGAGGAGGACCGGGACCGGGACAAGGACCGGGATCGAACGCGAACGCGAACGCCCACGCGAACGCCGGAGGTGCGTTCTACACACTGGTCCCCATACGACCGCGTCCGCGTGGTGAACGCCGATCCTTAAGGACTTTTCCCGGCGCATCTCTCCGCTCATCCCTCGCTTTCAATCCCCGCCCTCGGCGCCTTTCAACTCCGCTTCTGACGCCTTTCAACTCCATCTGACGCCTTTGAACTTCACCAGGTGATGCCGCGCGCCCCGAATGGAATTTCGGCGAGATCGCGCTCCCGCCGCCGGATCCCCGGATCCCTCGCGGCGTCGCGAGCGCGATGTACCGAGACGTCGGCACCGCGGAGCGCCGCGCGGTGTTTCTCGAGAACCGCGCCGCGGCGGAGCGAAACCGAATGCGCGCGGAGCGTGAAGCGCGAGGCGAGCCGCCCGTCGAGGACGTCGTCGACGAGGCGGCGACGGCGCGACGCCTTCCGCCGCCGCGTCCGTCTAAGGTGCGTTCTATACACTGGTCCCCATACGACCGCGTCGGCGTGGTGAACGCGATTCCTTAAGGACTTTCGCCGTCCTCTCTCTCCGCCCATCCCTCGCTTTTAATCCCGACACACCTCGGCGCCTTTCAACTCCACCTGACGCCTTTGAACTCCACCCCGACGTTCGCTTGTATGGAACGACCCTAAGCCGCGTCCGTCGTCCGCGGGGAAGCGCGAGCGCGAACCGCGATCGCGCGGCGCCTCGGAGGTTACGGATTCCGAGTCCGGGTTGGGTTTGGGCGCGCGCGAGTGCGAGTGCGACCGACCGTCTTCTCCGTTGTCCGAGGAGGAGGCGCGGAGGAAGGCGTTCTGGGACGGCCGCCGCGCCGCGGAGCGCAACCGCCGCCGCGCGGAGGAAAACGAAAACGAGCGGTCCACGGAGGGACACGTCAGCGTTATCGAACGACACGTCAGCGCTGACGCGTATCTGGGCGCGTCGACGGCGACGCCGGAGGACATCGCGGCCGCGGCGGGCGTCGTCGGGCCGAGAGACGACGACGACGCGGAGAGAAGGCTTCGGATGATGACGCCGTCGACGCCGCCGCCGCCGCCGGAGCGCGGCGGCGGCGGCGGCGGCGACGCCCCGGCGGCTCTGGAGCGCTCGCTCGACGCCTCGAGCGCGTTCTTTCCCCCGGACTCCCCGCCGTCGACGGTCTTCGCGGAGGGCGGCGACGTTGTCGTTCACGACGTTGACGACGCCGCGACGGTTGACGTTCCGTCTTCCGCGTCGTTGCCCTCGCGGATCGAACACCTGCGCGCGCATTTGCAAGACGTCCTCGGAGAGAGTAAATTCGTTCGCGCGTACCGAGCCTTGGACGAACTCGACGAAAGCCAGGAAGAAACGGAGACCGTGGAGACGTTACTTCACGTCATGGGCGCGGATATAAACTACCTCAGTCTGATACATCAGCTCCTCGTGTGCGAGGACTCGCTGCACGCGGCGAACGCGGAGGAGGCGTGTTGAGTAGTGGAGTCCGGTAGAGCTGGCCGACGACTTACGCTAAGGTAAACCTTAATTAAGATGGAAGACTCGCTCTTTCACCAACCTTACCGCCTCTGCACCACGTCCCAACCCGCGGGGACGTCCACGGCGCGCTCGTCCACGGCGACCCCGCTCGGATCCCACCCCGGAAACCTCTTGAAAGCGTCCGGTCCGCTCAGAAGCGCGGGCAGCTTGAAAGTTTCTTTCAACCCGCCGTCCGAATTAATTAATTCGTTCACCTTTCGCATCCTCTCCGGCAAGCGCGGCTTGAGACACTCCGATCGAATGCTCTGCATCGCCGCCGCGCACGCGCCTCTCGCGTCACCGAGTCCTCCCACTCTCGCGTCCGCGGCCGTCGCCATCGCGACGCGCAGATCACCGACGTACTTCTCGTACCCGGTGTACTCCGTCGCCGTCGCCTCTTTCAAAATCACCGCCGGCGGGAAACAGTACGAAGACGCGTGGAAGCCCCCGCCCGCGACCCTCGGCAATGAGCCCCTGGGCAGACCTTGCACGTCGCTCGCGAGGTACGCCCCGGGGTCGCCCAGCGTCCACGTCATCCCGCGCGCGGGGAAGTCGCTTCTGCGGGTCGAGGGTCCGCGCGAAGCGAGCGAACGTCGGGGTGGAGTTGAGGGGTGCGTCAGAAGCGGAGTTGAAAAGGTGCGTCGGGATCGAAACCGAGGGGTGCGCGGCGAAGAGAAACGTACTGTACGCCGGGAGATAAAGTCCTTAAGGATCGGCGTTCACCACGCCGACGCGGTCGTATGGGGACCAGTGTGATACTAGGACGCACCTGAACGCGTACTCGATGTTCCCGAACGGGAACCAGATGGCGAAATTGGACGGCGGCGCCGTCGCCGCGTCGTCGCAGTTCGCGAGTCGCCAGACGTCGTCCCGATTCGGGATCTCAGGGTCGTTCCATACAAGCGAATGTCGGGGTGGAGTTGAAAGGCGTCAGTCGGAGTTGAAAGGCGTCGAGGGCGGGGATTGGACGCATTGGATGGGCGGAGAGACACGCCCGCAAAAGTCCTTAAGGATCGGCGTTCACCACGCCGACGCGGTCGTATGGGAACCAGTGTATAGAACGCACCTCATCCACGTGGCCGAATAGGATGATCGTGTCCGGGGCGTTCGCGTATCGCGTCTTCATCTCGGTCGTCACCCACTCGGTTTTGTAGTTTTCTTGCGCGAAGTTTACCCCCGTCGCGTCCGCGCGCGCGACGTTTTCGTTCACCGTCACCACCTCCACTTTATCCGCGTACCGCGCGAATCGCGGGGATTTCATCGCGCGGTTAATCGCGTCGAACGACGGCTCGCCCTTGTGCGTGACGTTCGACCTGACCGCCACGAACGCGTCCACGACGTCGTGGAGTTCGTGCAAACGAATCTCTGAGGGTCGTTCCATACGAGCGATGATATCGGGGTGGAGTTGAAAGGCGTCAGAAGCGGAGTTGAAAGGCGTCGAGGTGTGACGGGATTGAAAGCGTGGGACCCTGGGCGGAGAGAAACGCCGGGTGGAAAAGTCCTTAAGGAACGGCGTTCACCACGCCGACGCGGTCGCACGGGGACCAGTGTGAGATAGAACGCGCCTAGGGTGTCGATCTCTCCACCGCCGAACACAAACACGTCCACGACGGGTTTCTTCGCGCCTCCCGCGCCCCCGCCGCCGCCGCACGCGCGCGTCAGCGCGGGCGACGGCGCGTCGCCGAGCGCCGCCGCGGACGGCTGCTGCGCGAGCGACAGGAGTCGGACCGCCGCGGAGTGGTTCGACGCGACGCGGAGGAGCTCCGAGCACAGCGTCGGCGGCGTCGCGGCGGCGTTCGTCGCGACGACCGCGCCGGTGCCGGCGTCGTTCGGCGGCGGCGGCGGCGGCGGCGGCGGCGGCGGCGGATGCGCCCACGTGACGATCGCGAACGGCGGCGGCGGCGACGGCGACGGAGGGAACACCACCACAGCATCGTCATCGTCCGTCGACTCGCGCGCCTGCGCCTCCTCGACTCGCGTCGCTCGACTCGCGTTCGCGCCGCCGCCGCCGTCCACCCGCCGCGTCAGCTCCTCGACCTGCGTCCTGAGCTCCATGATTTCGCGTTGCTGGTGCGCCTCGCTCTCGACGAGCCGTCCGCCGCCGACGCGCGGCGCCGCGAACGTCGCGAACGTCGACGCGAACGCGAGGATCGCTAAGACGACGAGACCTCCGACGCATCCCGCGCGCATCTTCTCCGCGCGTCGGCTCGTCGTCGGCGAGGAAGTGGGGGACTCGCGAGCGATGAACGCCGCCTTCTCGAGATCGTCCACGACGACGTCGGCGTCGTCGTCGGACGTCATGGCGCGCTCGGTCCGCGGGATCTGAGACGGCGAACGGTCGGGCTTTGAACGTTCAACCCTAAACCAGCGGAGACGCTCGTTGAAATAATTCGACGTCAGTTTCGCGAGCGGTCGAGCCTGAAATTTTGAACCTGAGAACCGTCGAGTCGACCCTAGAATCGTTTTTTTCATCGGCTCAAACACCCGCGCCCGCGACGGTTCGCGTTTTCGCGACACTAAAAAAACTTACGCCGCGCCAACGACTCCGACGGAACGAACGAGCGTCGCGCGTCATACCGCGCGTCATACCTCGGCGGCGACGCGCACGCGCGGACCCTCCTCGCGTTCACCACCCTCCCCCCTTCCTCCGATACGCTCGACGCGGCGGACGCGTCGCGCTCGCACGGTAGCGTCACGGCCGCGCGCGAATCTCCGCGCCGCTCGCTCGCGCCATCCAGCATGGCTCCGAAATCGACGAAGACCGCCGTGCAGTCGGTCGGTAAAATCTTGAACGAAGCGCAGGTCTCGCTCTCGACGCACAAGAAATGCGTCAAGCTCATGCTCGCGCGGCGTCACGCCGACCCGGACAGCTTCCTCCCGGAGATCTGCAACTGCATCTTGCCCGTGCTCCTGGAGTACAAGGTGCGACGACCGCCCGAAGGAAGCGAAGACGAGACGGACGCGCGATGTCATGTCGTGTCGTCGTTTTCCCCGAGAAAGAAAAAAGGGGAACGACCATCCGCCCCGCGCGCGCGTCTCACACTGGTCCCCATACGACCGCGTTCGCGTTGTGAACGCCGATCCTTAAGGACTTCGCCCGACCGCGTCTCCCCCCGCGCGACCCCTTCCCTGACGCTCCCTGACCCCCACCCCGTCCCGCACGATCCCCTCCCTCGATCATCAGCGCGACCTCTGCGCGGAGCGCGTCGTTCGATTCGTCGTCACCTTCACCGCCGCGCGCGCGCCCGGGATGGAGATGGAGGGCGACGATTTCTGCGAAGCGTTTCTCGGATTCCTCCTCAACCTCGCCGCCGCCAAGGACAAAGCCGTCCGATTCCGCGTGTGCCAGATCGTCGCCGGCGTCCTCAACGCGCTCGCCGTGGACGCGGAGATCAGCGACGAACTCTACGAGCGCATGGAGGACGTCATGCTCGAGCGTCTGAGGGATAAGATGCCCCTCGTCCGCGCGCAAGCCGCCAGGCGCGTTCTATCTCACGCCGGTCCCCGTACGACCGCGTCGGCGTGGTGAACGCCGATCCTTAAGGACTTTCTCTCCCGGCGCATCTCTCCGCCCAGGGTCCCTCGCTTTCAATCCCGACACACCTCGGCGCCTTTCAACGCCAACTGACGCCTTTGAACTCCACCCCGACGTTCGCTCGTATGGAACGACCCGCCAGGGCGCTCTCGCGGCTGCAAGACGGAGGCGAAGCCGGCGATTTCAGCGAAGACGCCATCACGAAGGCGTTCATCACGCTGCTAAGCGCGGAGAAGAACAAGGACACGCGCAAGGCGATCCTGGGCTCGCTCGCCATCTCCGATTACACGATCCCGTTCGTCGTGGAGCGCACGCGCGACGCGTCGGAGGATGTCCGCCGCGTCGCGTTTCTCGCGATGACGTCAAAGGCGCGTTCTACCTCACACTGGTCCCCATACGACCCCGTTCGCGTGGTGAACGCCATTCCTTAAGGACTTTTCCTGTCGTTTCTCTGCGCCCAGGGTCCCTCGCTTTCAATCCCGACACACCGGTCTCGATGCCTTTCAACTCCGCTTCTGACGCCTTTCAACTCCACCCCGCGACGACGTCAAAGGTGCCGGTGGCGGCGGTGTCCATCGCGCTGCGCGCGACGGCGGCGCGCCGCGGCCTCGCGGACCGCTCCCCGAACGTCCGCGCCGCCGCGGTCGACATGATCAAGCGGTGGCTCGACGCGTTCGAGGGCGACGTCCTCGCGCTCCTCGCGGCGGTGGATGCGGAAACGCACGAAGACGTCGCCGACGCGATCGTCGCCGAGCTCATCGCGTGCCGTCGAATTAAACCCGCGGTGATCGCCGCGTCCGTCGCGGAGGGCACCGCGCCCGGCGGCGGCCTCCGCCGCGCCGCGGACGCGCCGCCGATGACCCCGGAGGCGGCGGTGTACTGGCGCGTGATTTGCCAGTCGCTCGCCGCCGCCGCGGGCGCGAGCGGCTCAGACGCGGCGACGGCGGTTGGCCAAAACCAAGTCGTCTCAGGCGCGTTCTATACACTGGTCCCCATACGACCGCGTTGGCGTGGTGGACGCCGATCCTTAAGGACTTTTCCCGGCGCATCTCTCCGCCCACCCCTCGCTTTCAATACCCGCCCTCGACGCCTTTCAACTCCATCTGACGCCTTTCAACTCCACCCCGACGTTCGCTTGTATGGAACGGCCCTCAGCCGCCGTCGCGGGGGAGAAACTCGACGCGCTCGAGTCCGCGCTCCCGGCGGAGGCGTCCGCGCTCCTCGCGCTCATCGCGAGCCACGCCAAGATGGGCGCGAAGTTTGTCGCGAGGCAGCTCCTGCCGCTGCTGTCGCTCGTGGATCTCGCGGACGGCGCGACGCGGCGCGGCGCGATATCTCTGGTCGCCGCCGAGCTCGCCGCGAAACCCGCCGCCGCGGACGACGCGACGTTCGACGACGTCGCCGGCGCGGTGTCGTCGCACGCGCACGGCGGCGACGGCGCGTGGGAGCGCGCGCTGGTCGCGACCGCGAAGATGGCGCACGGCTCCAACGCGGCGGCGACGGCGAGCGTTCTCGAAGCCGCCGACGCGTTGCGCGCGCGCGACGGCGACGACGAAAAGGCGCACGCGCAGGCGCTCTTCCTCGCGACGCTGCTCCTGGAAAACCTCCCGAGGAATGCGCTGTCGACGACCGCGTCCGAGGCGCTCATGGAGACGCTCGTGCGCCCGGGCGTGACGCACGAGGTGCGTCCCATACACTGGTCCCCGTACGACCCCGTTGGCGTGGTGAACGCCGATCCTTAAGGACTTTTCCACCCGGCGTTTCTCTCCGCCCAGGGTCCCTCGCTTTCAATCCCCGCCCTCGTTCCCTTTCAACTCCATCTGACGCCTTTCAACTCCAGTCGCGCGCGGTGCGGAAGGAGGCGATCACGTGCTGCGGGTTGTTGTGCGTCGTGAACGGCGCCAAGCCGTCGGCGGAGTGCGTCAAGATTTTGAGAGCCGCGCTCGCGAAGGATGCGGCGACGGTGAAGTGCGCGGCGGCGAAGGCGCTCGGCGACCTCGCGCTCATCTTTGGCCCGGCGACGCTGGACGCCCTGAACGGCGGCGATGGCAATGGCGCGGCTGGCGCGGAAGATTCTTCCGATTTCGACGGCGACGACGACGACGCGGCGGCGCCGCTCGAGAGGGCGTTTCTCTCCGCGCTCGACGACGCCGACGCGGCGGTGGACGCCGCCGCCGTCGCCGCCGCGGAGGAGCGCTATTCCTCCAACCCCTCGCTCGGCGACGACGACCTCGGCGTGGACGTCAGCGGCGGTAAAATCGCCGCGGAGGCGGAGGCGGAGAGTTGCGTCGGCACCGCCGCCGCGGAGGCGCTCGCGAAGCTCTGCCTCCGACGCGGCGCCGCCGCGTTCGCGTCCGCGCCCGCGGTGGTTTCAAAACTGCTGCGAACCTATTTCGCGGTCGACGCGCGATCGCGGCCGAGGCTCGCGCAGTGCCTCGCGGTTTTCTTCCCCGCGCTCGCGTCCGGGCCGGAGGACAGAAGGAGGCTCGTCTCAGACGCCGCGCTGCCGACGCTGCGCGCCGCGGCGAAGCAGAAGGGGGTCGCCAAGGTGGCGAACTACCTCGTCCACCTCCTCACGGCGTGCGCGCCCGTCGTCGAGATGGCCGCCTCAATCGCCGCGACCGCCGCGGTATCCGACGACGTCACGGAGGACACGACGTCAACGTCAGCGTCGGCGAAGACCGCCCCCGGACAAGTCAGGCGCGTTCTTCTTCACACTGGTTCCCATACGACCCCGATCGCGTGGTGAACGCCGATCCTTAAGGACTTCGCCCGGCACATCTCTGCGCCCACCCCTCGCTTTCAATCCCCGCCCACGACGCCTTTCAACTCCATCTGACGCCTTTCAACTCGACGCCTTTCAACTCGGTATGAACGGATTCAGACCCGCCGCGACGGCGCGCGGCGAAGTGTTGATCGCGTCTCTCCTCAAGGAGGCACTCGCGGTGACGCTTCGACCGACGTCGCTGTACGCGACGACCGCGGAGAAGACGCTGTCCAAGGCGTACGTCGGCGCGCTCGCGAAGGTTGCCGCGCACGGGTGCGTCCTCGACGGACGCGCGAGCTCGGAGAGAACCGCGTTGGCGCACGCTAGCGTCGCCGTCAAGCTGTGCGCGGCGCGCGTCGCGGAGAAAACCGCGGCGAAGGATTTAAACGTCGCGTCGACGAACGTCGCGCGCGCGATGAAGCAGTTGTTATTCGCGGCGGACGAAGAGACGGAGGACGACGCGACGACGACCGCGGAGGACGCCGAGGAGGCGACGACGGCGGCGGTGATGGCGGAGTGCGAGGCGTTGTCGCGGAGTCGAGAGCTGGGCGTCGCCGACGGCGTCAGCGGCGTCGCGCTCATCCCGACGACGAAAGCGGTCAAGGCGGCGGATGCTAAGGAGAAGGAGACGACGCCGCCGCCCGAAGAGATCGACGCGACGGAGGAGGAGGAGGAGGAGGAGCCCGCCGCCGCGAAGGGCAAGGCGGGGCGCGCCGCGCGGGGCTCGCGCGCGGCGCTCAAGGAGAACTTCGCGCGCTAAACGACCGAAGGCACGCGAACGCGCCGCCGCCTTAACCGCCGCCGCTGTACATACTACGATAGAGGGGGGGACCCGCGCGAAGAGCGAACCGAATCAACCTTGTCATGATACCTTATGTTACAAGCACGACCAAACCGCAACGCATACACTACTACCTTCGTACTAACTACGCTTATGTAGTTAGTCTTAAAGAATCACCGCACGAAGTTGTCCACGTAGCTCGCGCCCAAGCCGACGCTCTCGTAGTGCTTCCGCGCCATGTCGAGCTTATCGAACACGTCCTCGGACTTGATCACGTCCCCGCGTTCGTCGCAGTAATTCAACGACCCCTGCACGTGAAACATCGTGATCATCTCGTCGCACCCTTCCGGAACCACGAGCGTGTGCGTCTCCCCCGGCGGCTCGAACACGTAGCTCCCTTCCTTCGCGACCCAGTCGTGCTCGAGGTACCTCCACTCGCCTCGTAACACCCAGCCGTGCACCGCCCCGGGGTGTTTATGCCTCGAGAGCACCCCCGCGCCCTTCACGCGCAAGAGGTTAACGTAGTACCCGTTGCTCACGTTGAAGAGTAACGGATGGAACGAGATCGTCTCCGTCTGCGGGACCCACAGCCTCTCGTCGATGCCGTCGATATCGCCGGGCGTCGGCATCGTCTGCACGATGACTTCTTTCGCGACGTACGGCGAGACGTAGCCGGTGAACGCGCTCGGCGGCTTCGATCGCTCCGCCTCCTGTTCCGCCCGTTTGCGTCGCCGCGCCTCTTCCTTCTTCTCGCCCTCGAGTTCGGTCATCTTCTTCGCGACGTCCACCTTGGCGTCCGCGTGTTGAATCGCGTCCAACGCCGCCTTGGACGCGCTGTCCGGGTCCGCCCCGGTCGCGGCCGCCATCTCCGCGGCGTTCTCCACGAGCGCCTGCTTCGCCGCGGCTTCCGCGTGCGACGCGCGTTCGAGCTTTTCGAGCGCCGTCGCGACTTCCTTCTCCTTCTCGCGAAGCTTCGCGTTGAGCTCGTTCTCTGATGAGGGTGGTCAAAAGCAGGGTCGTCGTTCGGGGTGGATGGGATGGGGGGATTTCAAAGGCGTCAGGAGTGGAGTTGAAAGGCGTCGTCGCGGCGTACGGAGTCGTACGGAAACCAAAACCAGTGTACTGTACGGAAAGAGCGCGCCTTTGTTCTTCAGCTGCGCCTTGAGCTCCTCCTCCTTCTTCTTCAGCGCCTCGTCCTTCTCCGCCCACGCCTTCTTCAGCTCCCTGTCCTTCTCCTCGTACGCCTTGTCGCGCTCCGCGGTGCGCTCGCCGAGGTACCACTCCTTCTTTTGCACCGATTCGGTCAGCTCGCTGATGAGGGCCGTTCCGTACGAGCGAACGAATGAACGTCGGGGTGGAGTTGAAAGGCGTCAGTTGGAGTTGAAAGGCGTCGCGGTCGGGGATTGAAAGCGAAGGATGAGCGGAGAGATGCGCCGGCAAAAGTCCTTAAGGATCGGCGTTCACCACGCCGACGGGGTCGTATGGGGACCAGTGTATACTCGTAGAACGCGCCTGATCTTGCCCTGGAGCTCGTTGACGTTGGCCTGGCGCTCGTCGCGCTCGCGACGGACAGCCTCCAGCTCTTTCATGAGGTCGCCGCCCTCCTGGTACTTCGCCTCGGTGTCGTGCACTTTACGCCACGCCTCCTGTTCCTTCTCGCGCGCCGCTTGAATGACGTTGTTCACGTCTTGAAGCGCCGCGATCTGAGGGCCATTCCATACGAGCGAACGTCGGGGTGGAGTTGAAAGGCGTCAGTCAGTTGGAGTTGAAAGGCGTCGAGGTGTGTCGGGATTGAAAGCGTGGTGTGGGCGGAGAGATGCGCCGGGCAAAGTCCTTAAGGATCGGCGTTCACCACGCCAGCGCGGTCGTATGGGAACCAGTGTGAGATAGAACGCGCCTGAAGGTCGAGCTCGTTTCGGAGCTCGTGAATCTGGTCTTCTTTTTGTCGCAATCTTTCCTCGAGCTCCTCCGCGGTCGCCGCGCGCGTTACGACGGTCGTCCCGCGCGAGACGGGACGACGCCACGGCGCGCGGCGCGTGGTCGAAGGGTGCCCGCGTGTCGAGGCGGCTGGCGTCGCGAACGACGCGACCGTGGCGAGCGAGGTCATGGCGGCGTCGGTCGGGGGAAAGCGCGTCGCGGAGAGACAATGCCGACGCGGATAAAGTGGATTCCCGTGACGTGCTGACGCGGCCGCGCTTGAGGAGATTAGTTTCATCGATCAGCGTTTCATCGAGTGCATCGGTCGAGTGCATCGGTCGAGTGCATCGGTCGCCGGAATTTTTCACCCCGCGCGGCCGTTCGGTTTCACCCTCGAGAGATCTCCGGGAGACCGCTTCGAGCGTCGAATGACAGCAGTGGTATGACACACGATGCGGACAGACGACGACGCGCCCGCGGCCGCGGCGGGGGCCATGACCGCGCCCGGCGACGACGCAAAGCGCGCGGAGCGGCGGACGTCCGTCACGTTCGCGTCCGCGGACGTCATCGTCGAGGGGAGCGACGCGGGCGGCGGCGGCGGCGGCGGCGACGCGCGGCGTCCCCCGGCGGGGTCGCGACGCGTCTCCGTCGGAAGCGGCGCCGCGGCGAGCGCGCGCGTGAGCGCGCTCCGCGACGGCTCGTTCGCGGCGTCGGACTTTGTGAACACGAACAGGATCGTCCTGAGGAGCGACGGGAGAGGGAACGCGTACTTGAATCAGTACGTCGTCATCAAAGACCTAGGGCAGGGCGCGTTCGGCAAGGTGCGCGGTGCCGAATTCCGAACCAAGAATTCTTCCTCCGAACGACGACGAACGATGAACGATGCACTGCGCGACCCGCTCGACGGACGGGCGCTTTCTCCTCGCGCTCTCGCTCTCTCGCTCGCTCGCTCGCTCTCTTCATCAACCGACCAATCACGTGCACGAGATACTGACACGTGTACGCCCTCGGCCAATCACATCGCCCTCGCATCAGGTGAAGCTGTGCCTCAACACGAAGACGAACCGAATGTGCGCGTTGAAGTGCATCAACCGCAAGCTTCTGCGGCGTAAATACGCGTCGGTCGTTCGCGGCGGCGGCGCCGCGGGTGCGTTCCCCGCCAGCCGCACGTTATTATGTTTACACGTATACACTCTATCAACCAATCACGTGCACGCGTTACTGACACGTGTACGCCCTCGACTGAACACGTCGCCCGCAGGCGCGCCCTCGGTCGCCGGGAACGACGCGGTGAAGCGCGAGATCGCCATCATGAAGAAGCTCATACACCCGAACGTCGTGCGTCTGTACGAGGTCATCGACGACGACGTCGGGAAGTACATATTCCTCGCGCTGGAGTACGTGCCGGGTGGGGTGGTGTACGAGCCGGCTGCTTACGACGGCGGCCGCATGGTGCGCGCTGTTTTGGTTTTCGTCATATTCGTTTTGGCGTTCGCCACCCCGTTCGTCGTCATTCATATGACGCGTGTCCTCCCTTTGCGCATGTTACGACCACGTGACGTTACACGTCATCATCTCATCTAACCACACCCAATCGTTTTATTCCACGTGTGTGTCACTAAACCACAGAGCGAGGAGGTGGCGTTGCGGTATTTCCGCGAGACGTGCGTCGGGTTAAGTTTTCTTCACGCCAACGGCGTCGCGCATCGCGACTTGAAACCGGACAACCTGCTTAAAAAGACTGACGGCACGGTGAAAATCACGGACTTTGGGGTCAGCGAGCTGTTCGACGGGTCGAAGAAGGGAAACTTGACTGGCGGCGTCGGCACGCCCGCGTTCGTCGCGCCGGAGTTGGTCGCGACCCGCGAAGCCGCTGCGGCTGCGGCGGCGTACTTTGAGAAAGATTTGAAACCCATCTTGAAACCGAGCCGCTCGGGTTCGAAACCGGGGTTCGAAACCGACGTCGCCGCGCGCGAGCTCGCCGCCGAGGCCGAGGAAGACTCCGCCGATTGCGACGGGAAAGGAGGAGGCGTCGACGCGAAAGCGTGCGACGTGTGGTCGCTCGGCGTGTGTCTCTTCTACCAAGGTGCGTTCTATACACTGGTTCCCATACGACCCCGTCGGCGTGGTGGACGCCGATCCTTAAGGACTTTTGCCGTCGTCTCTCTCCGCCCACCCCGCGCTTTCAACGCCCGCCCTCGACGCCTTTCAGCTCCACCTGACGCCTTTGAACTCCACCCCGACAATCGCTTGTATGGAACGGCCCCAAGTTTGCGGCGTCGTGCCGTTCCCGGGCGCGTCCGCGGAGGAGGTGGCGCGACGCGTCCGCGAAGACTCGATGCGGGTGCGTGCATCGCATCGTTTAATTGTGTGAGCTCACGTTCGTTCGTTCCTTTTTCACCCGTCCATCGGGTTCAACCCTCGCTCGCGTCCCCTTTCAACTGACCGACGGACGCGTGAACTTTTTTCGAAATCACGGAACGACCTGACGCAGGTTCCGAAGGGCGCGAAGCTCGCGCCGTCGCTGCTCGACCTCCTCGAGAAGATCCTGGATAAGAACCCGAAGACGCGCGCGACGCTTTCGCAGGTCATGGAGCACCCGTGGGTCACGAAGAACGGAAAGCAGCCGCTGCGGGTGACGCACGACGCGAGCGCGCGGAATTCGGTCACCTCCGCGGATGTCCTCGCGTCAATCGGCGACGTCGGGAACGCGTCGTTTTCGGTCGAGTCGTTCTTCGCGCAAAAGGCTGCGACCGCGCGGACGTTCAAGAGAGGGGAGTACTTAGTCCGGCAAGGTGAGCGCGGGAGCAGCGAGATGTTTTACATCGAGGAGGGCGAGGTCGAGGTCGTGACGAAGAGGAGGGCGGCCGGGGGCGGCGGCGGCGCCGGCGGCGGCGGCGACGAAAAGGAGGAAGAAGAAGACGAGGACGACCACTTCGACGACGACATCATGTCCATGGCGATGATGAACGTCGCGGAAGAGGAGACCCCCGCATCGGAAGAGCGGAACGCGCGCGACGACGAGAGAGAGAACGCCGCCGGGAAGAGAGAGGAGGAGTCGAAGAAGAAGAAGAAGAAGAAGAAGAAGAAGAAGAGTCGCGGCGGCGGAGGAGGAGGACTTGGATTTTTTTCGTGCTGCCTCGGCGGAAAAAACGCCTCCCCGGCGACGACGCGCGAACCGTCCGATTCCGACCCTAAACGACGCGACGACGACGCAATGACGATCGCGGACGACGTCTTCGATGACCTGCGAGTGATCCGATCGCCGCACAGCATCAACGCGTTGATCGCGCGACGAGGTCCCGGCGACGTCATCGGCGAGATGTCGTTGTTGACCCCGGGGCCGTCGGCGCCTCGAAGCGCTTCCGTGCGCGCCGTCTCCGAGACGGTGAAGTGTTCCGTGATTTCGAAGGAGAGCTTAGGGGAGATCAACCCGGAACTCTTAGAGGAGCTCAGGTTGGGGGCGACGGAGCGCGAGAGCGAGCTGCTGTTAGGGCAGACGCGTCTGAAGCTGGGGAACTACCAAGCCCCGAATTAGTCTAATTACTGTAGTGGAATCCATCGGATGTATACGTAAGTTTCATCTCGTCGACGATACGAGTAGTCAGGAGGCGTCGAAACGTCGTCTCGCGCCGAGCTCGATCGCGTCGCCTACTCTGATCACCTCCCCGACGTCGTCCGTCACGACGTTCCACCCGAAGTACTTCTCGTCCGCCCACTTCGCGCGGAATCCGAGCTTCTCGCCGCTCCGCATCTCCCCCAGCGTCGGCAACGGCGAAGCGTCCAACCCGCCGCGCGCGCCCGAGTCTTGGTCCACGCTCGGCATCACGCACCGCGCGCAGGGCTTCACGAACCGCAACGTAACGCCTTTACCGCCGCCGTTATTTTTCGTATTCATTTGTCGTGCGGCGGCGTCCCTACTTCTATCGTCGTCGTGAACATCGCCAGCTGTTTCACCCGACTGAACGCGCATAGAGCCGCCGCCGCCGCCGCCGCCGCGGACGACGACGTCGGCGTACGCGTCCTCGTCGAACGCGTCCACGCCGTCGAAGACGACGTTCGGTCGAAACCGGTTCATCGGCACCGCGGGCTCGTTCTTCGCTTTCAGACCGTCGTTCAACGCGCGAAGCGACCCCTCGGACGCGATCAGGATCGGGAACCCGTCGCTGAGAGTCGTTCCATACAAAAAATGTTCATCGGTCAGTTGAAAGGGGGAGCGATCAAATGTTGAAACCGATGGATGGGTGAAAAACGTTTGCATAGAACGCACCTGAACGCGGACGCCGCGTCGGGGGCGAACTCCGGATCCGTCGGCCGCGACGGCGTCGCCGCGGCGTCTCGTCTTCGGGTCGAGGGTCCATACGAGCGAACGAACGTCGGGGTGGAGTTGATAGGCGTCAGAAGCGGAGTTGAAAGGCGTCGAGGTGTGTCGGGATTGAAAGCGAGGGACCCTGGACGGAGAGAGACGACGGGCAAAGTCCTTAAGGATCGGCGTTCACCACGCCGACGCGGTCGTATGGGGACCAGTGTATGGGACCCTGGGCGGAGAGACGCTCGCGGCAAAAGTCCGTCCTCAAGGAACGGCGTTCACCGCGCCGACGCGGTCGTACGGGGACCGGTGTGAATGCGAACGCGCCTTAATCTCTCCCGCCGTCTGCGCGAGAGTTCGTTCGCGCCCGAGGACGCGAGAAACCCCGCGAGGAGGTTGACCTTCGCGTCCGGGACCCGCAGCGCGGCCGCGGCGGCGAACGCGGCGAGCGCGCCGACGAGCGCCTTCTCCTTCGCCGAGCGCTGCGGGGTTGAGTTGAAAGGCGTCAGATGGAGTTGAAAGGCGTCGCGGTGTGTCGGGATTGAAAGCGAGGGACCCTGGGCGGAGAGAAACGCTCGCGGCAAAAGTCCTTAAGGATCGGCGTTCACCACGCGAACGGGGTCGTATGGGAACCAGTGTACAACAGAACGCGCCTCAACCGCGCCGCCGCCGCCGCCGCCGACGCCGCGCGCGGATTCGATCGCCGCCCTCGGCAACGACCCGTCCCCTAACCACCTCACGAGCCGCACGCTCTTCCCTAAGAGCTCGCTGAACCACGCCGCGGCGGCGTCGCCCTCGTCCCCCGCGACGCCGACCCACTCCCACACGCCCACGGAGACTCTCCGCAACGGCTTCTCGCACAGTAACGAAATCTCGAGCCGCGACGCCATCCCTTCCGCGCGCAGCGTCATCTTCGCGTCGTCGCGCAGGGACTCGCCGTCCCAGTCCTCCCTCGAGATCTCCTCCGGGAGCGTCGCGCGCACGAGCGCGAGCTTCGGGTCCGTGCGCTGGGACACGAACATCGACGCGGCGCGCGGAGTCGCCGATCGCTTTCTTCCGTCTCTTGCGCACGGAGATTTCTTCGTCCTCGGGGCGAGCACGACCATCCACGCGCGGTCGAAGAGGAGGCCGGTGGCGGAGACGCGCGCGGACTGCAGCGAGACGCCGCCGCAGGATTTCACGGGGTAGACGGTCAGCGACGTCACCGTCGGGGGGGAGGAGGTCGCGTCCGTCATGCCCGCGGCGGGCACGACGCGCGGCGACGAGTGAGGTTGTTGATCTCAGCGTCGACTCAGGTGCGAGGTTCAGGTGCGTTCTATGCAAACGTTTTTCACCCACCGCTCGGTTTCAACATTTGATCGCATCCCCTTTCAACTGACCGGTGTTCTGTATGGAATGGCCCTCAGTAAACGCAGAGTAAACGAACGACCGCTGCTGTGAGAAAAACTCAGCTCGTATCGGCGCGCACAAGCGGACGCCCTCTGGTCTCCCGCCTCGAGAGGCGCGCCGCGCTGTCGCGCCGCGCCCCCCCCGCGCCGCGCGAGCGACGAATCGAGAAACCGCCTCAGCTCCGCCGCCGTCCCCGTTCGACGCGCGCGGCGCGACGCCTCGCGTCGCGGCGCGCGCGCGCCGCGAGGCGTCGCGCGCAAACACGAAGTGCGCCGCGCGTCGCCCCCGCCCCCCGCCCGTTCATGGACCCGCGCGCGCGCCACTCGTTCGTGCGCATGCCAGCCCCTCGACCGAAGCGCGCGCGCGCCGCCGGCGCCGGCGGCATTGACGCCGCCGCGCGCGCGACGAACGCCGAGGTTGGTTCGCGCGCGCGACCAGAGCCCGCGTTTGAGTGGCTTTTTTCCTCTCTAGCAAGCTCGCTCGTCCCTTCCTCCTCCTCACGACGCGCGCGCGCTCCCTTCCCCCCGTCCCCCCTCCTCGCCGCAGCGACCCCCGCGCGGATGCGCGCTCTCCTCCCTCGCGCGCGGCTGCGTCCGCCGCGACGACGACGACAACGAAAACGCATTGGACGCGAGCGTTACTACCCCATCACAGCTACCCCGAAGAAGCGCGTCGCGGCAGCACGTCGTCGTCGGGGACGCGCTGACGCACCTCCCGAACGCGGTTGTCCTCACGCCGCTCCCCGCGGCCGCCTCCGACGACGACGACGAAGACGCGGAGGTGTCCGCGATGACGACGCCGGAGAAGGTGTCCGCGGCGGTGACGCGGTACGTCGACGACGTCCGCGACGCGCTCGTCCGCGGCGGCGACGTGGGCGAAGACGCGGGCGAAGACGCCGCCGGCGCTCAAGGTGCGTTCGATACACTGGTTCCCATACGACGGCGTTGGCGTGGTGAACGCCGTTCCTTAAGGACTTTGCCCGGCGCATCTCTCCGCCTACCCCTCGCTTTCAATCCCCGACCTCGACGCCTTTCAACTCCAACTGACGCCTTTGAAATCCACCCGACGTTCGATGGTCAAGGTGGAGAACGTGCTCGTGTTGTTCGACGCCGAGGAACCCCCTACCCAAACGCCGCCTCGACCGCTTCCTCCTTCACGTCGATGCCGCCGTTCGTGACCCTCGAGGCGGACGCGACGCCGCTGGAGGTGACGCAGCTGCCGATACGCATCGCGAACGAGGCGCTCGCGGCGGCGCGACGCGGCGGCGGCGGCGGCGGCGGCGGCGGCGGCGGCGGCGAGATCCGAATCGAACCCGCGCACGCGCTGCGCGTCGTCGTCCCTCACGTCGCGCCGCTCGAAGACCATCGCGGTGATCGAGATCCCGCGACGGAGGCGAACGCGCTCGCGCTCGCGCGCCTCGCGCTCGAGGGCCACGCCGCGGAGGAGCTCGTCTCGCGCGACGATCAGGTGCGTTCTATACACTGGTCCCCATACGACCGCGTTGGCGAGGTGGACGCCGATCCTTAAGGACTTTTGCCGTCGCATCTCTCCGCCCACCCATCCCATTCAATCCCCGCCCTCGGCGCCTTTCAACTCCAACTGATGCCTTTGAACTCCACCCCGACTTTCGCTTGTATAGAACGGCCCTCACGCCTCTGAGCTCGGGGGATACAAACGCGCGGACGCGTTTGGGGGATCTTCGTTCGGATCTTCTTCCTCGTTCGGAGGTTCGGGAGGGAAGGTCGTTCACTTCGCGTCCGTCGCCGCGGAGGACGTCGTCACGCGTGAGCTGCTGCTCGTGAGCTCGTTCGCTATCGGTGAAGACACCGGCGTCGCAAACAAACGCGGACCCAATCAGCGACGGACGCGTGTCTCCTCGCCGCGAGAGCCGCCGGCGAATAAAAAGCGGCGGTGGACGTTTTTTTCTTCTCGCGGGCGGGCGCCGGCGCCGGCGCCGACGGACGACGCGTCCGACGCGTCGCCGCCGCCCGGGCCCGGAGATATCGTCGCGGTGACGATCATCCACCCCGTACGCGTCGTCGGCCTTGGTCTTGACACGTCAGCAGACGAATATTCAGCCACGTCATCATTCAAACGTGCGGCGGCGGACGACGACGGCGACGAAATCCCCGTCGGCGCGGTCGCGTTCCGCGGGTACTCGGACGCGTCGCGCGCCGCGCGTCGAGTCCTTCTTCATAACGGCACCGTGAATGGCGTTAGTTTTGGAGGAAACGGAAACGGCCGCAGCAGCAGCGTTTTCGCCGCCCACGGCGTGAGCATCGACCACGCGAAGCTTCACACGTTCCTCGCGCGCGCGGCGTGCGCGCACGGAGACGCTAAGCTCGCCGCGGTGGACGTCCGCGGCGACGGCGGAGGTGAGACTGCTTCCCATACGACCCCGTTCGCGTGGTGCACGCCGTTCCTTAAGGACTTCGCCCGTCGTCACTCTTCACCCGCGCTTCCCTTTCAACGTTCGACCGGTAAGACGTTCGACTGACCGATCGCTTCACCCACGCAGGCGACGGCGACGACCGGGGAGCGAAAAATTACGACGGCGACGGCGACGGCGACGGCGACCGACCGATCCCGCCGCGCGGCGACCTCGTCTTCACGTACGCCGCCCTCGCGGACGCGGCGGCGTCGCTGGCGTCGTTCCTCGTGAACGTCCTGCGAGTCCGTCCGAGAGACCGCGTCGGCGTTCTCCTCCTCAACAGCGTCGAGGCGCGTTCGTTCCCGTTCCCGTTTCGTTTGGTTTTCCCCGCGATGGGTTCGGATCGATTTCACGCGTCATCAAATCAAATCTGCTCGCGCGCTCACCAATCACGACCCTCCACGTCACACTATATTATACACACCATATCCACTCCAGGTCATGATCCTTCACTACGCGTGCGCGTCCGTGGGCGCGTGCGTGTTGAACCTCAACACGCACTTGGTGTCTCGAGAGCTGTCGCACGTCCTCCGCGACTCCGGCGCGGCGTGCGTCTTCGCGCGGCGAGATCCGCACGCGGGGATCCTGTCGGACGTACTGTCGGAAACTGTCGGAGACGAAGAAGAACCACCAAAGTGTCGGATGAAAGTCAACGTCGCGCTGAGGGAGATCGTCTGGGTGCCGTCATCGTCGAGCGAGAGCGCCGCCGCCGCGACCGACGGGCGCTCGTTCTCCGGCGCGACGCTCCGGGAGTGGCCGCGGACGCGCCGCGGCCGGCCGCGGTCGGAGAGTTTTTCCGTACCCATGGTCACCGACGACGACGAAAGGGAGACCGCGGGGCAGAACGCGCACATGTATTACACCAGCGGCACGACTGGTAATCCGAAAGGTACGTAACGCTACCTCAATAGCCGTTTCGTTTCGTTTCGTTCTCTCACACTTTCCCGCCCGAAGAAGCTGAATCGCGTTCGCGCCGTCCCCCCCCCTCATCCCCCGCTCCCTCCCTTCCCCGCTCCCCGTAGGCGTCATGTTAACGCACGAGATCGTCGGCGCGCACGCGATCGCGGCGTGCGCGGAGATGAAACTCCACGGTGACGATGTCTGGGCGCACGTCGCGCCGATGTTCCACCTCGTCGACGCGTTCGCGATATACTCGATGACCCTCGTCGGGGGTAGGCACGTCATCGTCCCGACGTTTGAAGCCGGCGCCGTCATTCGCTTGATCGAACGCGAGGGGATCACCGTGACGAACGTCGGTTCTACGATGATCGCGATCATGTGTCATAATCCGTTACTGAAAACGCACGACCTGAGTACGTTACGCGTGGTGTCGTGCGGCGGGTGTCCGCTCGCGCCGGCGGCGGTGACGAGGGCGATTGCAATTTTCGGCTGCGAGTTTTTCATCTCGTACGGGATGACCGAGTGTTGCGGGAAAATATCCATGTCGATCTTGTCCGACAGTTTCCGACACGACAACGACGTGCAGACGCAGTTAAAGACGATATGCACGAGCGGCCGCCCGTTCGCGCTCATGGACGTCAAAGTTCTGAACCCGAAGACGAGATTCCCGGTGGTAAACGCCGGGGAAGAAATCGGCGAAGTCTGGGTTCGCGGCTCGACGTCGTTCCATGGATACTGGAACCGCGACCGTCGCGATGACGATTCTTTCGATGAACACGGGTGGTTCAACACCGGTGATCTCGCGGTCGTTCGCGAGGACGGGTACATCACGCTCGTGGACAGGGCGAAGGATATGATCCTCTGCGGCGGCGAAAACGGTACGGCGCGATTCTTTTTTTTCCATTTCATTTTTTCCGTCCCGTCCGCTGACCGTACGCTGACCGTACCCGCGTCTCTCCGACGACGACCGCAGTGTACACCGCGGAGGTCGAGAGCGCGCTGCACGCGCACCCGTCCGTCGCGCAGGCGGCGGTCTTCGGCACGCCGCACCCGGTCATGGGTGAAATCGTCAACGCGGTCGTCACGCTGCGACCTGCGGCGCGGGAGCCCGGCGGCGACGGCGACGGCGACGGCGACGTGAACGATGACGCGCGTCCGAGGGATCCCAAAGGGGACATTCTCGCGCACTGCCGCCGCACCCTCAGCGGGTATAAAGTCCCCGCGAGCGTCAAGGTCGTCCACGAGCTCCCCACGAACGCGAGCGGTAAAATTTTGAAGCGGAAGCTCCGAGAGCAGTGCATCGGGGGCACGCTCGTGACGCGCACGGCCTCCGCGCCCGCGAGCGTCGGCGTCGACGGGACGACGACGAACGCGTCATCAGCGACGCGGCGCGCGTTCACGCGGCAGTTTACCCGCGCGATCGAGCCGGAGGTTTTCGAACCTGAGCCGCTGATCATCGATCGCGCGCACGACGGCGCGTCGTCGTGGGCGTTAATTCTGGACGACGACTCCGCGGAGGCTGAGGACCCCGCGTTCGCCGCGGAAGTCGTCGACGAAATACTCGCGTCCAATCCCGACGCTACTAGGACGCTCTTCCTGTGGTCGCCGTCGCCGTCGCGATCGCTCCTTTCGATGCTGACCGCGGCGGCGGCGGGATCGGTTTCGAGGGACGTGCGCGTCGTGGTTTCGCTGATCGACGCTCGCGATGAAGCGCAGGTCGCGGCCGCGAGCGTGCTGGCGTGGACGACGTCGGAGGACGCCGAGCGCGCGGTCGACGTCGCCGTGCGCGTCGGCGACGGACTGTCGGACACGTTTTCCGACATCATGTCCGAAACTTTCTCCGACACCATGCTGACGCCGCGCGGCGTCGTCCGCGTCTCGCGAGCGAGCCGTCGAGACGAGCGGCGACTCGGGCCGCCGTGTGAGCGTCCACCCTCGCCGCCGCCGCCGCCGCCGCCGCCGCGACCGACCGCCGTCGATTTCGTCGCCGCCGTCCGCGCCGCCGTCGTCGACGCCGCGAACGTCCCCGACCTCGCGAACGACCAACCTCTGATGCAAGCCGGGCTCGCGTCCAACGGCGCGGTCGCCGTGCACGCGGCGTTAGAGACCGCGTTCAACGTGACGCTTCCCGCGACGTTGGTGTTCGATTACCCGACCGTCGACGCAATCGCGGCGCACATGGAAGCCGCGGCGACGGCGAGCGAAGAAGAAGAAGAACACGGCGCAAACGCGACTTCTCACAGCGCCGCCGCCGTGCGCGCGTTCGCGACGACGGCCGTGCACGACGCGGTGCGAGAGGTTCTAGAGCTCCCGCGCGCCGCGGACGTCCCCGAAGACGACGCGCCGTTGATGCAACGCGGGCTGACGTCCTCCGCGGCGGTGCGGCTGCGCGACCTCCTCGACGACGCGCTCGCACTGGTTCCCATACGACCGCGTTCGCGTGGTGAACGCCGATCCTTAAGGACTTTTGCCGATCGCCCGCGCGACCTGGCACCCCCCCGCGCGCGAGAGCACCTGCCGAGCACGCTCGCGTTCGATCATCCCACGATCGGCGCGCTCGTCGCGTTCGCGATCAGCGCGATGGCGGTCGTCGGCGAAGAAGAGGACGACGACGCGGCGAGGGCGGCGGCGGCGGCGCGAGCGGAAATGACGTCGTCGCGCGCGTCCGCATCTGAGGTGCGTTCTATACAAACGATTTTCACCCATCGCCCGGTTTCAACATTTGATCGCGTCTCCTTTCAACTGACCGGTGAACTTTTTTTGTATGGAATGGCCCTCAGTCCGAGTCCGCCGCCACCGCGGCGGTGACCGCCGTCGACGGCGTGCTTCCCCCCGGCGGCGACGCCCTCGTCGACGCGTCGTCGTGCACTACCCGCGGCGGCCTCGACGCGGTCTCGCTCGCGCCGCTGGCACGCTGGGACTTGAACCGTCACGACGGTTCGTGTTCGAAAGACCCGGCGCCCCGTTTCGGCGGGTTCGCGCGTTCCCCCGCGTCGTTCGATCACGAGATCGCCTCCGTCGGCGCACCGGAAGCGGCCGCGATGGACCCGCAGCAGCGCCTCGTGCTCACCGCGTGCGTGTCTTTATCGGTATTCGAAACGGCGTGCGTTATCCGCGACGGTTCGTATCCGAGACGCGAAGATTGGGCGACGATGATCGGTCTGTCGCAAGTCGAGTACCCGAGGGTGTCGCTCGCGGACGCGTCCCCGGGGCCGTACTACGCGACGGGCGCGCATCTGTCCGTAACCGCCGGCCGCGTGGCGTTTACGCTAGGGTTCGGCGGACCCGCCATCGTCATCGACACCGCGTGCTCGTCATCCTTAGTCGCGATCGGTCACGCGCGGGAGTACGTGTGCGGTCGCGGCTTCGAACGCGCGGCGACGACGACGACGAAATCGCGCGGATGCGTCGTCGGCGGCGTGAATCTCACGATCGACGCGACATGGTCCCTCGCGTGCGCCGCCGCGCGCATGCTCGCCCCAGACGGCCGCTGCAAGACTTTGGATTCGACCGCGGACGGGTACGTCCGCGCGGAGGCGTGCGGGGTGCTTCACGTCGTCGGGCAAAGTCCAAGTCCTTCAGGATCGGCGTTCACCACGCCGACGCGGTCGTATGGGGACCAGTGTGGTCGAGGGCGCGCGCCGTCTTTCCTCGCCGTCTCCGGCGCGTCCGCGAACCAGGACGGACGCAGCAGCGGGCTCACGGCGCCGAACGGCCCGGCGCAGACGACCGCGATTCGACTCGCCCTCGCGTCCGCGGAAGGTAACGCATCGGATGTGACCGTTTTAGAGATGCACGGCACGGGGACCGCGCGCTCGGGGATCCGATCGAAGTCGGCGCCGCCGCCGCCGCGTTGTCCTCCTCCGACCCCTTTCAAACCCCTTTCAAGCCCTTTCAAACCCCTTTCAAACCGCGGCTTTCATCGGGATCGACGCCGTCGACCGCGTCCGCGTCCGCGTCGATCGTGACGTACGCCGCGGCGAAAGCGTCGGTCGGGCACGCGGAGCCCGCGGCCGGGGTCGTCGGCGTCCTCGCCCTTCGCGCGACGCTCTTGAAGACCAGGTGCGTTCTATATCACACTGGTCCCCATACGACCCCGTTAGCGTGGTGAACGCCGATCCTTAAGGACTTTTCCCGGCGCATCTCCCCGCCCACCCCTCGCTTTCAATCCCCGCCCGCGTTGCCTTTCAACTCCATCTGACGCCTTTCAACTCCACCCCGACTTTCAAGAGCGCCGCCGTTGACGCATTTGCGATGGCCGAACCCGCACGTCCGCGCCGCGCTCGAGCATCGATCGCGGGGTCGGCACGCCGCGCGGCTTCCCATGGCGGCCAGCGCGGAAGTCGAAAGGCGGCGGCGAACGCTCGCGTCCGTGAGCGCGTTCGCGTTTCAAGGGACGAACGCGCACGCGCTGCTCGAGGTCATGCGCGGCGCTCGAGTGATCGGCGGCGGCGCCGCGACCGCGTTCCTCGACCGAGGGAAGCACTGGTCGATGCCGTCGCCGCACGCGTGGGTCGACGCCGCCGCTGTGATACTCTCTGACGTCGTCTGCGTCGCTGCTGTATTCGATGTTATCCTCGGAGGGTGTAACGCTCGTACGTCGACCGTTACGTTATGGGATCACGTCGTGCACGGCAAGCCGTTGTGTCCCGCGGCGGCGTTTCTCGAAACCGCCGTCGCCGCCGCGGACCGGTCGTATACGAACCGACCGACCGCGTCCGACGCGGCGGACGCGCGCGGCGGCACCCCGGGCGTTCGCTTCGTCGCGGTGCCGTCGCCGCTCGTGCTGCCGGCGCGCGACGACGCCGCGGCGACGACGACGATGCGCGTCACCGTGAGAGACGATCGCGTGCGGGTGGAGTCGTCGGCCCGGTCCCGGTCCTTCGAAAACGACGCCGACGCGCGACTTCGAAGACGCGTCAGCCTTCACGCCGACGGCGGCCTCCTCTGCATCGCGCCGCGGCGGCGTCCATCGCGCGCGGACGCCGCCGACGCTTTAGTTGTACTCTTCTCGCCGTCGACGCCGGCCCCATCTTCTCGACCGCGCGCGTTCGCGTCGCTGACGTGCGCGCACGCGTCGCAGGCGGGAAGCTTCGGCGTCGATCCCGCGATGCTAGACGCGGGGATTCACCTCGCCGAGGGCAGCGTCTCGACGGGGACTCGCGCCGCGCGCATCCCCTCGGCGGTTGGAGCGTTTTGCATTCGCGACGACGACGATTCGCGTCATCATTCGCGACGACGGTTCGCGTCGTGCGTCGCGAGAGAGGGCGACGCGACCGCGAGAGAGGCGATCAACGACCACGTCGTCGGCGGCCGCGCGACGCTCGGCGGACTTCGCCTGACTCGGCCGCGCGCCGTCGATCCCGCGACTCCGGGACTCGAACCGTCACGACGGTTCGCGGTCGAAACGGTCGAAACGGTTTTGTACGAGACGCGCTGGCGCGCGACGCCGTCTTGTCTCGCCGCCGCGGGTCCCGAAACGGTTTCGAAACGCATCGTCTCGGCGACGCGACCGCGACCGCGACGCGCGGCGGTTACGGCGGAGCGAACGGCGTCGACCGCGCTCGCGGCATTCCTCGCGTCTTCGCGCGCGCCGTCCTCCTCCGCACTGCTCCGCACGATCGGCGCGCACCGGCCGACCGCGAACGTCGCGCCATCCTCCGCGAGCGACGCGAGCGACAGCGCGGGCGTCTGGGGCGCCGCGCGGGCGTACGGGTTAGAGGTTATGGGCACGGTGGACGCCGTCGACGCGGCGCCGCCGGCGGCGGCGAAGGCGAAGGCGGCGGCGAAGGCTTGGACAGCGCGGAGGCGCGAGAGCGATCGAATTGCAGACGCGTTGACGCGCACGACGCGCGGCGCCGGCGCGGCGCACGTCGCGCGGCTGCTCCCGCGGGTCCCGGCGTCCGCGGGAGAAGCGTCGTCGTCGTCCGCTGTCACCCTCCTCGAGCGCGTGATCGGACGCGCGGTGCTCCGCGACGGCGGCGGCGGCGGTCGCGGCGGATTTTCGGCGGTCGCGGCGGCTTTTCGTCGCCCTCCGGGACCCGCCGTCGGCGGCGCCGCGTTCGCCGCGGGCGGCCTCGGCGCGCTCGGCGTCGTCGTGACGCGCTGGTTCCTTCGCGAGGGCGGCGACGTCGCGGTGATGACCGGTCGAAGCGGTCGCCAGGCGTCGACGCCGCTTCCGGGGTCAAAACCCGGCGCTTTGGCGACGACGCGCGCGCTCTTCGTCGCCGTTCGATCGGACGCGTCAGCGTCCGAGGAAGCCCGCGCCGCGCTCGACATTCTTCACGAAATAGGAGGGGGATATACTAACGCCCGCGGGTTGACCGTTTTCAACATCAGCGGCGTGCTTCAGGACGCCGCCGTGGCGAACCAGACGTCCGGGAAGGTGCGCGTCGTGTGCGCGCCGAAAACGGTCGCGGCGAGGATACTCTTCGACCGCGCGCTTCAGGTGCGTTTTATACAAAAGTTTTTCACCCATAACAACTTAGCTCGGTTTCAACACTCACTTGATCGCATCTCTTTTCAACTGATCGATGAACTATTTTTGTATGGAACGGCCCTCAGGTCCCCATCTCGTCCACCGTCGCCTTCTCGAGCGTCACCGCGCTCGTGGGCAACGCCGGGCAGTTCGGATACGCCGCCGCGAACGCGATGCTGGACGCCAAGGCGCTCGCGCACGCGAACGCGGGCGTCGCGTCGAAGTCCGTGCAGTTTGGCGCGTGGGCGGAGAGCGGCATGGCGGCGGATAGCAATCTCTCCGAGCGCGCGCGACGCGCGGGACTCGGGCTGTTGACGCGGCGGGACGGTCTCCGCGCGATCGCCGAGGCGCTTCGAGTGGATGACGTGGGCGTATCTGATGATGATTGGAACACGTCAGCAGCTTCGACGACGATCGCGGCGTGTCCGTTCGACTGGGAGCGGTACAAAGCGCGTCACGCGCGCGCGTCCGCGTCGTCGTTTCTCTCCGAAGTCGGCGGCGACGCGGCGCCGCCGCCGCCGGTTCGGTCCGCGGTCTCCGACGCGGCGTCGGTAAACGCACAGAAGACGTCGACCGTTACAGGAGGGACTCCCACGACCGACGACCCGCGCGTCACCGCCCGCGCGATCGTCCACGACGCCATACGCGCGGTCCTCGGGAAGCCTCTCGACGACGATGACGCGCCTCTCGTGGACGCCGGGATCGACTCGCTGTCCACCGCGGAGCTCGCCGCCGCGCTCGGGGACGGGATCCGCGGGCTCCCCGGCGGCGGCGGCGACGCGCTTCCGTCGACGCTCGTGTTCGATTACCCGACGCCGCGCGCGCTCGTGGCGTTCATCGTCGCCGCGTTGCCGGTCACGCGCGCGGTGGTCGCGATCGCGTCGAACGAAGACGTCGGTCGCGAGTCGTCAAACGGGGGCGCCGCGTCGTCGAATCGAAGATTTCTTCGCGGGAGCGGCGGCGCTTCGGTCGTCGTCGCCGTCGGCGGCGAAACCGCCGCCGGGGACGTCTCAGGTGCGTTCTATACACTGGTCCCCATACGACCGCGTCGGCGTGGTGAACGCCGATCCTTAAGGACTTTGCCCGTCGCATCTCTCCGCCCATCCCACGCTTTCAATCCCCGCCCTCGACGCCTTTCAACTCTGACTGACGTCTTTCAACTCCACCCCGACATTCGCTCGTATAGAACGGCCCTCCGCGAGCGCCTACGCGAGCGCCTCCGCGCCGCCTTCGGACGCGGTGCGCGTCCTCCCGCTGTCGCGGTGGGACCTGGAGATGGACGACTGGAACGGCGGCGGCGAGGCCGCGTCTGGATCGGTCGCGCCTCGATTCGGCGGCTTCGTCTCGCGCGTCGCGCGATTCGACGCGGATGCGTTTGGCGTCAACCCCTCGGAAGCGCACGCGATGGATCCGCAGCAGCGCCGGCTGTTGACGTGGACCTCGCGCGCGCTCTCGGACGCGAAATTAGAAACCCCACAACGGTCTACCGAAGAACCCCTGGTCGGCGTGTACGTCGGCGCGGCGACGACGGATTACGGCAAGCTCGCGTCGGACGCGGACGCGACGCCGTCGGCGACGGCGGCGACCGGAAGCGCGTTTCTTTCCGTCACCGCGGGTCGATGTGCGTTTACTTTAAACACGCGAGGCCCTGCGATCGCGATCGACACCGCGTGCTCGTCCGGACTCGTCGCGACGCACGCCGCGCGCGCGGCGATCGATCGTCGCGAGGACGACCGCGGCGACGCGCGGCGACGACAACTACAAGTCGTCGCCGGAGTGAACTTTTTGCTGCACCGCTCCACGACCGCGATGTTCCACGCCGCGGGCATGCTCGCCCCGGACGGGCGGTGCAAATCCTTGGACGCGAGCGCGGACGGGTACGTCCGCGGCGAAGCCTGCGTCGTGCTCGCGCTCGACTGTGGAGGAGGATGCGAATCGTCACACCCCGGGGGAGGAAACGAATCGTCGCACCCCGCCGCCGCCGCCGCCGCCGTCGTCGTCGTCGTCGTCGTCGTCGGCTCGGGGGTGAACCAAGACGGGAGGAGCGGTTCCCTCACGGCGCCGAACGGCCCGTCGCAGCGCGCGGTCATGCGCGCGGCTAGGCGCGAGGCCGACGCCGCGGAGAGCGCGACCGGCACCGCGCCGCGGCGGCGGCGACTCGCGACGCTGCAGACGCACGGCACCGGAACGCCCCTCGGCGACCCGATCGAAATCGGAGCCGCCGTCGCCGTCGCCGCCGACGACGACGACCCCGACCGCGTCGTCGCCGCCGCCGACGACTTGCTTCTCGGGGCGACGAAAGCGTCCGTCGCGCACGCGGAATCTCCCGCGGGGTTGATCGGGCTCCTCGCCGCGATCACGACCAGTTTGATCGGCGCGTCGAACGACGTGAACCCGCACCTGCGATGGGTGAACCCCCACGTCGCCGGCGTCCTCGAGGCTGCGAAGAAACGCCGCGAGCGATCCGCGGCGGCGACGCGGCAACGCGCCGCGTCGGCGTCGTTCCTCGGCCGCGACGCGCTCGCGGGCGCGAGCGCGTTCGCGTTTCAGGGCACGAATGCGCACGCGCTCGTGGCGAAGAATAATCTTGAAGGTATAACGGATGTTGACGGAGCGTTACGAATGTGGTCGCGCGTCGCGACGACGCGCGCGGAACGCCGTTTCTGGCTCGCGCCCGCGCCGCACCCGCTCATCGTGCGAGCGTCCGCCGACGGCGGCGGTGGCTTCGCGCGCTTTCACGTGGGCTCGATCGCGAACGCGCCGCGCGCGTCGAGCCTGCGCGATCACGCCGTGAACGGACGGAGCTTGATGCCCTGCGCCGGGTTCTTGGAGTTGATACGCGCGGCCGTCGCGTTTTCTATTTCGTCGGTCGAGTCGACGGCGGCGGCGGCGGCGGCGACGCGCGTCGTCATCGCTTCTCCCTTGGACCTCCGCGCTCCCGACGACGCTCACGTGCGCGTGCGCGTCGATCGAACGACGGGCGCGGTCGAGTGCGACGCGGGAACGGGAACGGGAACGGGAACGCGCGTGAAGGCGTCGACGACCGCGGTCGCGGCTTTCCCGACGACGGCGACGACGACGACGGCGACGACGACGACGGCGGCGGCGGGTCCAGGCCCACCGGCGCGAACCGTCTTCGGGCGCCGCGCGTCGTTCCTCGAGGAGGCGACGACTCTCCTCGCGTCGCTCGCGCGCGCGTCGTCCGACGACAACGACGACGATTACACCTCGGCGGTGTCGCCCGCTGAGCTAGATAACGCGTTCCAATCCGTATCCGCCGCGTGGACGCCGCGCGGCGGGACGTCGCCGCCGCGGGGGCTAAACGTCCCGACCGCCGTCGACGCGTTTCTCGCGACGGCCGCGTCGTCTGACTGTTTACCCGTACAACACGCGTCGTCGTCGTCCTTCGCCTCGAGCGCGGTGATAGATCACGGCTCGCGCGGGTACACGAGCCAGCACGGGGTCGCGACGAACGGCGTCGTCGTCCGGGGAGTGCGCGCGAAACCGATGCGGCGGCGGGCGGCGCGTTCTTTTGATTCTGATGAAACCGCCGTCGTCGCCGCGAACGCGATCGACGCCCCCGAGCTCACCGTGTTGATCCCCGCGTCTCAAGCGACGCCGAGCCGCCACCGCGGTCGTTCAAACCGGGAGGAGATTGCTAACAGTCCCGCCGCCGCGTCGAGGTCGCCGTTCGGCGCGATCGCGCGGTCGTGCGCGTGCGTGTACGCCGCAGCCGCCGCCGCCGCCGCCGCGACGAGCCGCGACGGCGAGTCGCTCTCCGGCGTGACCGTCGCCGGCGGCGAGCGGCTTGGCGTCGACGGCGGCGCGCGCGCGATGGACGCGGAACTGGGCTCGCGCGTGCGCGTGCGCGCCTCGTCTTTGGACGGGCGCGCGCGCGTCGCGGTTCGCGCGCCAGCCTCCGACTGGTTCTCCGTACGACGAACTACAACGCATCGAACGCTCGCGCGGCGGCTTCTCGCTCCCGCGTCGGACTGTTTACCCGTACACGTACGAACCCATCAGAAGTCGTCGGCGCCGCCCTCGACCTTCGACGCCGCGGCGTCGTCGTCGTCATCGTCGTGCGTCGTCACCGGAGGGACTGGCGCTCTCGGCGTCGTCTTCGCCGCCGCGGCGACCGACGCCTGGGGCTGCTCGAGGGTCACCTTGCTCTCCCGGGTCGGGAGACGCGACGTCGCCGTCGCGGCGACACGCGGCGCCGGCGTGACACGTGTCGTCGCCGCGGACGCGTCCACGCGCGCGGATACGTCCGCGTGGCACGACGCGATTGGATGGCGGTCCGCATTTTGCGATCCTCCGCTCGGGGTTCTCCTCCACGCGGGCGGGGTGCTCCGAGACGCGGCGGCGACGAACGCGTCCGCGGGCGCCGCGCGAGCTGTCGTCGCGTCAAAAAAACTCCACGACGGCGGCCGTTTCTTCCTCACGCAGAACCCCGCGCGCGCGCTCGTGTTCTTCTCCTCCATCGCGAGCTGCGTGGGCAGCGCGGGGCAGATTCCGTACAGCGCCGCGAACGCGTCCTTGGACTCCGCGAGCGCGACGATGACGCGCGAAGGGCTACCCGCGGCGTCGACGCAGTGGGGCCCGTTCGACGCCGGCGGCGGCGGCATGGTCGACGCCGCCGCCGTCCGCGCGTCGCTCGCGCGATCGGGGTTCGGACTCTTGGCCCGTCACGAAGGCGTTCACGCGTGCGAGCGCGTGATGTGTGGGTTAGAAAACGGACGCCGGGATGGCGTTACTTTCGCCGCGGTGACGTGCGCGTCGAGGACGGATTGGGCCGTCGTCGCGTCGCGAAGACCTGGCGCCGACGTCGCGCGGTTCTTGGAGGACATCCTCGACGACGACGACGTCGGTGCGAATACGCGTGCGATCGATCAGAGAAGAACTCTTTTGGTGACTACTACGGATGCGCCGCGTGTAGATATGAACCGGCACGATGTTAACACCAACGCCGCGGCGGTTCGAATCCCCCTCCGGGACGTTCTCGACGCCGTTCGTTCCGTCGTCGCGTCGCTCGCTGGCAGGGACGTCTCCGCGGATGAACCGCTCATGGACGCGGGGCTGGACTCGCTCACCGCCGTCGACGCGCGCGCGGAGGTGTCCAAAACGTTCAACGTGACGCTCCCCGCGACGGCGCTGTTCGATTACCCGACCGCGGAGGCGCTCGCGACGCGCGTGTGGGGCGTATTGGCGCCGCCGCCGGCGCCGGCGGCGCCCGCGCGAGCGGTCGTCCCCGAAAACGCGAGAGAGGCCGCCGCCGCCGCCGCCGCCGCGGTCGTCGCGTTCTCGTCCGCCGGAGGCGCGGGTCCCCACGACGCCGAGCGCGTTCGCACGATACCGCCGCATCGGTGGGACGTCGAGACCGCGCGCGTCCGCGGCGTCCTCCCCGCCGCGTTCGGTTCGTTTCTCGCGTCGCCCGAGACGTTCGACAACGACGCGTGCGCGCTCAGTCTGACGGAAGCGTCCGTCGTCGACGTTCAACAGCGTCTCGCGCTCGATGCCATCTCCACCTTCGCGCTCCTCCTCGTATCGGACGACGACGAAACGGGTGGAAAACGTGCGTTTCATGGCACCGACACGGGCGTGTACGTCGGCGTCGCGAGCAGAGATTACGACGACATCTCGAAGCAAGTAGGCGTACACGGTCAGTGGTCGCCCTCCGCGCTCGCCGCCGCCGCGAGCTTCGGCAGCGTCGTCCCCGGCCGCGCGTCGTTCACGTTCGCGCTGACCGGTCCGTCGATCGCAATCGACACCGCGTGCTCGTCGTCGCTCGTCGCGGCGAAGATCGCGTTCGATGACGTCGCCGTCGCCGCGCTGCCGGTGTGCGGCGCGGTCGTCCTCGGCGTCAACGTGACGTTGACCCCGCGCGTGACCGAAACCTTCCGCGCGGCCGGGATGCTGTCGCCCACGGGGCGGTGTAAGACGCTCGACGCGAGCGCGGACGGGTACGTCCGCGCGGAGGAGTGCCGCGCGGTATCGCTGAAGGGCACGAGCGCGAGTGCGAGCGCGAACGCGTCGTTCGATGGACCCGGCGACGCCGTCGTCGTCGTCGGCGGCGCCGGGGTCAATCAAGACGGCCGAAGCAGCTCTCTCACGGCGCCGAACGGCCCGTCCCAACAAGCGGTCATCCGCGCGGCGATGACGGACGACGACTACGTGCTCATACATCACCACGCGCGCGTCCTGCACATGCACGGCACGGGGACGCCCCTCGGCGACCCGATCGAAATCGGCGCCGCCGTCGCCGTCTTCGCCCAGCGAGGGGTGATGGGCGGAGAGACGCGCCGGGAAAAGTCCTTAAGGATCGGCGTTCACCGCGCCGACGCGGTCGTACGGGAACCAGTGACCGCGTCGTCGCCGCCGCCGCCGCTGCGTCTCGAGTCCAGCAAGGCGTGGACCGGGCACGCGGAGCCCGCCGCGGGCGCGCTCGGGCTCGTCGTCCTGTGCGCGAACGCGAGCGAAGGAAAGACCGCCGGGTTCGGAGGGACGCTCCGAGTGATGAACCCTCACGTCGTCGCGTGCGTGCGCGGCGGCGGCGGCGGCGGCGGGATCGTCGTCGCGGCCCCTCGGGCGACCGCGCCGCTGCCGATGCGCTCCGACGCCAGCTGCGATGGAGTCGTCCGCGGCGGCGTGAGCGCGTTCGCGTTCCAGGGCACGAACGCGCACGTCCGCGTCGTCGTCGGGACGACGCGCAGACGAAACGATCGCGATCGCGCGGCGGGCTTTTGGCGCGACGAAGCGATATCAACGACGGCGCACCGCCGTCGCGCGTGGATCGCGCCGCCGACGCCGCTCTCGCTCTCGTCGGTCGCGATGTCCGACGAAGTGAACGACGCCGCGAGGTTCGACGCGAGCGCGTTGACCCGCGAACCGCGTGGGAACGCGTTCGAGGACCACGTCGTCGCCGGTGAAGCGTTGTTCCCGGGCGCGGGGATGTTGCACGCGTCTCAGGTGCGTTCGAGTCACACTGGTCCCCATACGACCCCGTCGGCGTGGTGAACGCCGATCCTTAAGGACTTTCCCCGGCGTCTCTCTCCGCCCAGGGTACCTCACTTTCAATCCCCGCCCTCGACGCCTTTCAACTCCGCTTCTGACGCCTTTGAACTCCACCCCGACGTTCGCTCGTATGGAATGGCCCTCAGGAAGCCGCCGCCGCCGCCTCGGGGTCGACGGTTCCTCTTCTTCTTCTTCTTCTTCGCGCGGTGATACCGGCGCCGTTGCTCCTCCGCGGATGTAACGTTCGTCGACTCCACGTCACCGTGAGGCTCGCGAGCGGTCTCGTGACGTTTCGGTCGAGCCGGGAAGGACGCGAGACGACGCACGCGTCGTCCACCGCCGCTCGCGCCGCGATTTCTGCGCGCGGCGGCGGCGGGAATTACCGACCGACCGCGATCAGCCTCGACGCGCGGCGCGCGAGCCACGCCGTCCCGATCGACGCCGCCGCCGCGTACGCGTCCATCCGCGAGGTAGGGCTGCAGTACGGCCCTCGCTTCCGACCGTTACACGCGATACGGGGAGAAGAAACATCCGTCGGCGGCGGCGGCGGCGGCGGCGGCGGCGGCGCGTCCCGCGTTTCGAAATTTCGCGTCCCCCGGTCGTGCGGCGTTGTCGCGTCCACGGCGGTCGTCGTCGACGGCGCCATGCAGCTCTCCGCGCCTATTCTTCCGACGTCATCATATAACTCGCGTCGTCTCCGAGTGCCCGCGAGCGTCGGTGCGTACGCGAGCCCGGGCGGCGGCGGTCGGAACGGAGACGGGGACGCCGGCTGGGTGTACTTCTGCGGCGGCGGCGGCGACGACGGCGACGGCGACGGCGACGGCGCCGCGACGGACCACGGCTGCGAGTGGGACGGCGGCGGCGGCGGCGGCGGCGGGCGTTCCAGCGCCACGGCGCGACTCGTGGAGCTCGTGTCTCGACCGTTACCCTCGATCGCATCCTCTGTAACGCCCGCGGGGATGACGTCACGAAGTCGCGGGCGGCTCGGCGGCGCCGCGACGCGCGGCGTTCGATACGAACTTCACGCTCGCGCCGCCTTGGTCGTTCGCGACGCCGACGCCGACGCCGAGCGCGAGACCGTTCGCGTGCGTTCGTTGGCAGCGTCACGTCGGCGGGGGCCGGTGCTCGCGATGCTGCCCGCGGGGAACGCGAGCGTGCGCGCCGTCGCCGCGGCGGTCGCGGCGTCGCACGCGCCGGCGCGATGGGTCGCGACCGCAGGGGGTCCGTCGGACGGCTCGGGGTTGAAATTTTCTGCTCGCGGCGCCGCGATCGGGGCGTGCGTTCGGGGCGTCGCCCTCTCCGTCGCTCTGGAGTCGCCCCCTCATCTCTTCGCGGAGAATGAAGATGATGAGAACGACGACGACGACGACGCGATCCGCGAAACCACCGACCGCCGCCGCGAGAAGAGGGTCGTCGCGGCGAACGCGAACGTGCTTCTGCCGTCGTTCCCGCGCGTTGGACGACGACCGCCGACGCCGGCGCCTCAAGTGCGTTCTATACACTGGTCCCCATACGACCGCGTTCGCGTGGTGAACGCCGATCCTTAAGGACTTTGCCCGTCTCATCTCTCCGCCCACCCCTCGCTTTCAATACCCGCCCTCGGCGTCTTTCAACTTCAACTGACGCCTTTCAACTCCACCCCGACGTTCACTTGTATGGAACGACCCTCAGCGGGCCTTCCTCGCCGCGCTCTTCGGACCGCGGCGAAACGCATCCGTCGCGTCAGTTATGCTATTGCTTGATACAGTACAATCTCACGGCGGATCGTATGATGCACCGCCGCCGCCGACGTCGACGACCGACGCCTTTCGAATCGTCGGAGGGTTGGGCGCGGTCGGCACCGCCGCCGCGGAACGCTTCGCCGCCGCCGCGAAAAATACGACGACGACGGTCAGGATGACGCTCGCCGGCCGCGTCGGCCGCGTAGCCTCGCGCGCCGTCCCCGGGTCCGGTCCCGGTTCCTCCGGTACTGACACCGCCTTCCCAACCGCAACGCTCGTGACCGCGATCAAATGCGACGGCGCGACCGCAGAAGACGTCGACGCGAGTATCGCGCTCGCGCCGCCGGGGCTCGTCACGATTCACGCCGGCGGGGTCCTCCGCGACGGGCTCGCGGCGTCGCAAGCCGCCGGCGCCGCGCGAGGCGTCTTCGCGCCGAAAACGGTCGCCACTGGAGCGTTTCTCGCGTCGACGCTCTGTGGCACCGCGCGCGCCGGCGCGGGCGACATCCTTCTGTCCTCGGTCGCGTCGCTGCTCGGGTCCGCGGGGCAGTCGAACTACTCCGCGGCGAACGCCGCGCTCGACGCGGCGGCGGCGATGGCGAGGCGCGCGGGCGCCGCCGCGACGGCGACGGCGTTCGGCCCGATCGGCGGCGGCGGCGGCGGCGGGGGCGGGGGCGGCGGGATGGCGGCCGCGGACGCGCGCACCACCGCGCGTCTCGAACGCGTCGGGCTATCGCTGCTCGAGACCGCGGTGGGGGTGGGCGCGATCGAGGACGTCGTCGACGGAGGGTGGGCGGCGGCGTCGGCGGCGTCGGTCGTCGTCGCGGCGTTCGATTGGCCCGTCGCGACGCGGGCCGCGTCTGAGGAGGTCCGCGCGGGCGTCTTGCGCGAGTTCGCGAGCGACGACGACGACAGTGAAGAGGACTGTTCCATCGTCGACGCCGTCGTCGTCACCACGAAACGCTCGAATGTGAGTCGTTACGCGGACGTCGCCGGGCTCGAGGCGATGATCGCCGCGGAGACGAAAAAAGTCATCGGCGACGGCGACGGCGAAGGCGCCGCCCTCGACCGCGACGCGCCGCTCATGGCGAGCGGGTTGGACTCCCTCGGCGCGGTCGAGCTTCGCGGCGCGATCGCGGCGAAAGTACTCGGCGGCGTGGACCTGCCCGCGACGTTGCTCTTCGATTACCCGACGATCGCGGCCGTCGCGACGCACCTTCATCGACGCTTCGGCGGCGGCGACGGCGACGGCGGCGACGAAGCGAGCGTCGCGCCCGTCCGCGTCGTCGGGTCCGACGGAGGCGCCGCCCCGCGCGCGGTCGCGGTCGCAGACGCGTGCACCGGCGGCGAACGCGCCTCCTCGTCGCGCGACGCCGTCGCGCCCATCCCGCGCGATCGATGGGACGTGGACGCGCGCGGCGCCGCCGCCGGGGACGACGCGCCGCCGCCGCCGGGTTCCCGGTTTGGCGGGTTTATTTCCACGTCGTCGTTGACGGCGTTCGATCACGACCTCCTCGGCGTGCGCGTCCACGCCGAAGCGATGCACTTAGACCCGCGGCAGCGCGTCTTAGTCGCGGACGTATCCGCCGCGTGGACGGCGGCGGCGACGACGACAGCGAAGCAGCGAACGAACGACGTCGCGGTGTTCACCGGCGTCGCCGGAAAGGATTACGCGTTACTGCTCAAATCGTGCGGCGTTCAGGTGCGTTCTAGATATCCAAACGTTTTTCACCCACCCTGTCCCACCCTGTAGTTTCAACAACGGATTGCATCCCCCCCCTTTCAGTTGACCGGTGATGGAATCGAATCGCCCGCAGATCGGCACGTTCACCGGCACCGGGAACGAAGCCAGCGTGACGTGCGGGCGCGTGATGTTCTCGCTCGGGTTCACGGGCGCGTCCGCGGCGATCGACACCGCGTGCTCATCCTCTCTCGTCGCCGCGTCGTTCGCGTTGGACGCGGTGCGCCGCTCGTTCGACGGACTCGGACGCGTCGATCGGGCCCCAAGGACAGCGCACGCGTTCGCCGCGGGGGCGAGTCTGATGCTCACCCCGGACATGCACCTCACGCTCGGCGGCGCGGGAATGCTCTCACATTTCGGGCGGTGTATGGTGCGCTCTATACAAAAGTTTTTCACCCATCGCCCGGTTTCAACATTTGAACGCGTCCCCTTTCAACTGACCGGTGAACTCTTTTTTCTATGGCCCTAAGACATTGGACGCGAGCGCGGACGGGTACGGGCGCGGGGAAGCGTGCGCGTGCGTCCTCATCGCGTGCGGCGACGCGAACGAGAGAGAAGAAGACGAAGATACTATAAAGGGCGACGCCGTCGTCGCGTTCGCGGGGTCGGCGGTGAACCAAGACGGACGGAGCAGCTCTTTGACCGCGCCGAACGGTCCGTCCCAGCGCGCGGTCGTTCGAGAAGCCGCTTTCGGTTTCGGTTCCGGTTCCGGTTCCGGTTCCGGCGCCGTGACGGAGGAACGCGTCGGGGGAACGCGCCTGCTGCAAATGCACGGCACGGGGACGCCGCTCGGCGACCCGATCGAGGTCAACGCCGCCGTCGACGCGTTCTTCTTTCTTCATCTCCGTCTCCGCCGCCGCACGTCGTCCTCCCCGACTGACGACGCCTCGACCGCGACTGCCGTCGTCCTCGTTCTCGAGGCTGTGAAATCATGGCGCGGGCACGCCGAGCCCGCGGCCGGCGTCCTCGGCCTCGCGACGCTGCGCTCGCAGCTCGCGGAGCTCGCGACGCACGGGCAGTGCCACCTCCGCGCGATGAACCCGCACGCGTCGGACGCGTCGCTGAAAGCGTTCGGACGCGGCGGGGGGGTCGTCGCGCCGCGCGGTAATTCCGCCGCCGTCGACGCGCGCGCCGCGTCGACGCGCGGCGGCGTCAGCGCGTTTGCGTTTCAGGGCACGAACGCGCACGTGGCGATGGCGCGTCGCGGCGCCGACGCGGTCAGTCGGTCGGTCGATGCGCGCTGGGCCGCCGCGGAGGCGACGCGCGCGTGGCCGGCGATCGCGGCGACGCGCGGCGTCGCGCCCGTTCGAGCTCTCCCGACGCCGACGCGGCTGCGGTTGGTGTTTCAGGAGGAGGCGGAGTCGCTCGAGCGTCGCGCGCCGGCGCACGCGTTGCACGTCGTCGTCGCCGCGGTCCGCGCCGCGCTTGATGAGCGCGGAACGGCAGCCTCTTCGGGGATTCGAGACGCCGTCGTCCGATCGAACGCGGGGTGGGGCGCCGGCGACGCGACCGCGGCGCGCGCTGTCGACGTCGACGCCGCGCGAGGCGCCATCGAGATGACGGCTCTCGTGGGCGGCTCGTCCGCCAGCGTCCGCGTGCGCGCGCGCGTCGCGACGATCGTCGTAGTTCGAACTCGATCCGGCGACGACTTCGGCGTCTCCGACGCGGAAGCGGCGGTTTCAGGTGCGTTCTATACAATGTTCCCCATACGACCGCGCTCGCGTGGTGAACGCCGATCCTTAAGGACTTTTCCCGGGGTCTCTCTCCGCCCACCCCCCGCTTTCAATCCCCGTCCTTGACGCCTTTCAACGCCAACTGACGCCTTTCAACTCCACCCCGATATCATCGCTTCGTATAGAACGCCCCTCACGTCGGCGAAACGACGCCGCGCGCGCGGTCGCGGACGCGACCGCGCTTGCCGCCGCGCTCGACGCGGCCGCGCTCGCGCTCGACCACCACCTCCTCGGCGGGTCATCGAACGCGGGGCGGCTCGAGCTCGCCGCGGCGAGCGGATGCGTCGTGACGTCGTCCGCGGACGCGTTCGAGTCGTCGGCGGAGGAGGCGCCGATGACGACGACGACGACGGGCGTTTCGTCTTCATCCGCGGGCGCGGTCGTCGCGAGCGTCTTCATCCTCTCTCGTCGACGCGGCGACGGCGGCGTCGTCGCCGAACTCTGCGGCGGGGTGTACAACTACGCCCGGGTCGGGCGCACCTCTCCGCACGCGTCCGTCGGCGGCGGTTCGCGGGAAGAAGAGCCCCCGCCGCGAACGCCGCTTCCGACGTACGAAGTGACGTGGCAAGCGACCCCGGAGCGCCGCGCGCGTCGACCGCGCTGCGGTTTCGGTTCCGGTTTCGGCGGCGGCGGCGGCGCCGCGCGCGCCGCGCGCGTTGGCCGCGTGAGATGCGCCGCGAGCGCGTTGACCGCGTTGCACGCGCGCTCGCCGCCCGACGACGACGGCGGCGGCGACGTTCGCGTCGTCGTCGCGCCGTCGGAGTGGTGTCTCTCTGGGATCGTCCGCGCCGCGGAGGCGGAGTCGCGCAAAGAGTCCGGGTCGTCCGTGTCGTCCTCTCGCGCGCTCGGCGGGTCGATCACGATCGCGACGACGAGTCCGAGTTCGAGTTCGAGTTCGAGCACTCGCGAGAGAGGTTTGACGGATCGCGCGACCGATGAAACGGGCGTCGAGGGAGCGTTTTCCGTCTCATCACTCGGCGCCGTCGCGCGTCCGAAGCTTCTGCCGCGGCCGCGACCGACCCGCGCGGCGGCGCCGCCGCGCGTCTCGTCGATCGCGATCGTCGGCGGGCACGGCGCGCTCGCGTCGGCGGTGACGACGTCGCTCTTGCAAGGCGGCGGCGGCGGCGGCGTCCGCGTCGTCGAGCTGTACTCCCGCGCCGGGCGACCCTCCTCTGACGATGAACCGGGACACCTCGCAAACGCGCGGTCGCGACGGCGCGGCGGGTGGCGATGCGTGTTCACCGCGCAGAGCTTCGACGGCGGGTCTCGCGAGTCCGTGGACGCGCGGTTCGGCCTTAACAACGATCGATGTAACGGTTCAGGTTCCGGCGTTGCGCGGCCGGTTCCGGGTATCGTACTGCGCGCCAACGGCGCGCTTCGCGACGCGCTCGTCCCGAGGCAAACCGCGGGGACCGTCCGATCGATCTTCGCGTCGAAGGCTTCAATCGGGTCGGTTTTCCTTTCGACGATGCACCCCTTGACCGCGGACGTGCTGTTCTCGTCCGTCAGCGCGCTGCTCGGGTCGCCCGGGCAGGCGAACTACGCGGCGGCGAACGCGGCGCTCGACGCCGCCGCCGCCGCCGCGCGCGAGGAAGGCCGCGCCGTTCGAAGCGCGCAGTTCGGCGCGTGGAATACACGCGACGCCGGGATGGCCGCGACGGCGAAACGCTCAAACACCAGCCGTTACGCGGCGGCGTCGTCTTCGACGCTCGCGAGGCTAGAGCGGTTGGGCGTCGGCGCGCTGGAGCCGGAGGTGGGCGTCGCCGCGTTGTGGAGCATCCTCGGGGAAGGAGGCGACGACGCGCCGCCGGCGACGACGGCGGTGACTCCGTTCGAGTGGGCGACGTTTTTCGGCGCGCACCCGTCGCTCGCGAAGGAGCACCTCTTTTCGGAGTATACCGGAGTGATACGACACGTGTCGTCGTCTGCTCGAGGAGAGGAATCTGGGATTGTTGGTGATGATTACATATCCAGCTGTGAGGACGCGAAGGCGACGCGCGTCGCCGATGTGGGCGCCGCCGTCGCCGCCGCCGTCGCCGCCGTCCTCGGCGCCGCCGTGGATGAAAACGAACCGCTCATGGCCGCGGGGTTGGACTCCCTCGGCGTCACGGAGCTCCGCGCCGCGCTGAGGAAGGACGTCGGCGTGGAGATCCCCGCGACCGCGCTGTTCGATCACCCGTCCGTCGCCGCGCTCGCGTCGTTCATCGGCGGCGAGGTTGTGACTCGCGCGATGAAGGCGTCGCCGTCGAAACCGTCGAAACCGGGCAAACCGGTCCTTTCAACCTCCTCCGCGCTCGCGGTCGACCCGTCGCGCCGACGCCTGACGCCGACGACGACGATCGTCGGACACGCGTGCGATACCGTGCGCGGGGGATCGACGAGCGCGAGCGGCGACGGTCGTCTGAAGCTGTCGTCTGAAGCCGACGTCGTCCCGTGCGCGCGATGGGACGCGGAAAATGGGAAAAACGGGCGGCGGCGGCGGCGGCGGCGGCGCGACGTCGTCGTCCTCACCCCTCCCGATGCGCTTCGGCGCTTTCCTCCTTCGCCGCGTCGACCGCTTCGACCCGGACGCGTTCGGCGCGCACCGCGGCGAAGCGAAACACGTCGACCCGCAGCAGCGCCTCCTCCTCGAGTCGACGCTCGCCGCGCTCCTCGGAGCCGGCGACGGCGATTTCGTCTCCGTCGTCGGAAACCCCGGCGGCGTCGCCGTCGCCGTCGGAATCCAACACATGGAATACGCGCACCTCGGGAGCGGCGGCGGCGGCGGCGGCGGCGGCGGGGATCGAACCGGCGGTGACGCGTCTCCGTACGCCGCGACGGGGTCCGCGCTGAGCGTCGCCGCGGGTCGAATCGCGTTCGCGTTCGGCTTCGGTTCGACCGCCGTCTCGGTGGACACCGCGTGCAGCGCCGCGCTGACCGCCGTCCACGTCGCGCGCTCGGGGGCGTTGCATCGGGGAGGGTTCGCCGACGACAGCTCACGGCTGTCGAATTTGAACTTGAATTCATACTCGAATTCGGAACGGTCGGCGTCGTCGGCGTCGTCGTCGCGTCACTCGGTGTGCGGCGGCGCGAACCTCATGCTCGGCGCGACGAACGCCGCGGCGATCCGCGCGGCCGGGATGCTCGCCGTCGACGGTCGATGTAAAACTTTCGACGCGGGCGCGGACGGATACGGTCGCGGGGAAGCGTGCGGGGTGTTTCTGCTTCGTCACTCGGGACCCGGTGGCGAATCTGATTCGGATCAAAAGGTGCCGATCGGCGTCTTGGGCGTGCGCGTGGACGCGTCCGCGGCGAATCAGGACGGACGGAGCGGGTCGCTGACCGCGCCGAACGGGCTCGCGCAACGCGCGGCGATCGCGGAAGCGTGGCGCGAATCCGCCCCCGCCTCGTTCCCCCGCGCCGTCTCCACGCACGGGACGGGGACCGCGCTCGGGGATCCCATCGAGATGAGCGCGCTGAGGGCGGCGTGTGGAGAGATCGCTGCCACGTGTACAGATAGTATGGAACGAACGGCTGATATGGAGCCGTTACCGGCCACCGCGGCGGCGGCGTCAAAGTCGAGCGTCGGTCACGCCGAAGCCGCGGCGGGGACGACCGCGATCCTCGAAGTCGTCACCACCCTTCGCGCGCGCACGATCGCGCCGTTGAAGCATCTTCGAACGCTAAACGCACACCTTTCGGCCGCGTTGGAGTCGCACCGCGTGTGTACTGGTAACGGCGACTCTGGATGCATTTTCATCATGCCGCGCGGGGGCGGCGGCGCCGCCGCCTGCGGCGCCGCCGGCGTCAGCGCGTTCGCTTTCATGGGCACCAACGTCCACGTCGTCTTATCTGGAGATGATGATTGGTCCACGTCAGCACCCTCGTCGGCACCTTCGCGAGAGAAAACCACGCTGCCGTGGCGTCGCGAGCGATCGTGGCGCCTGGACGGCCCCGACGGCGGCGTGCTAGCCCTCGCGCGCGTCGCCGCGACTCGCGTCTCGCGACTCGCGGCGCGAATGGCGTCGTCTCCTGCTGAGGTGCGTTCTATACACTGGTTCCCATACGACCGCGTTCGCGTGGTGAACGCCGATCCTTAAGGACTTTGCCCGGCGCGTCTCTCCGCCCACCCCGCGCTTTCGATTCCCGCCCGCGACGCCTTTCAACTCCATCTGACGCCTTTCAACTCCACCCCGACTTTCGCTTGTATAGAACGGCCCTGAGTGGCGGCCGCTCGACGGGTCTTCCGACCGCCCGTTTCTCGTTCGCGCGGACGCGCTCGCGATCGCAATCGACGCGGCGACGACCGCGGTGTTCAGCGGAAGCAGTACTGGCCGTTTTAACGGTAACGCTCTGGAGTCGACCGTTTCGTTGACGCGCGCGACGTTCCTCGGCGGCGGCGGCGACCCCGGGTGGCGCGGCGGCGGGTTCGCGGTGGACGTCGACGGCGTCGACGGCGGCGTCGGCGTGTTCGCGCCGTCGTCGCGCGCGATCGTGATGCGAAGCCGCGTCGGACGCGTGCTCGATGTCGCCACGGCGAACGCCGCAGGGTTCGCTTTGGGTTCGTTCGACGGCGGCGCGGCTTCGATTATTCTCGAGGCACGGCGCTCGACGCGCGTCGAAACGTACGCGAGAGCGGGGAGCGCGCGCGGGACCCGCGACGCCGGCCGCGTCGCGCCCCTCGCGATCGACGCCATCGTCGCGACGCTCGAGCGCGGCGCGTACGACATCGCGACCGTCAAATCGTTCTCCTCCGCCGCCGCCGACGACGACGACGCCGATGCGCGGCGTGCCGTTTCGCTCGTCGCGTCGACCGACGGCGCTTTCGTCGGCGGCGTCGGTTTCGGGTCATCAGTCCGGGGGACTCTCGGGATCAGGGGGACCGCGGCGTCCGCGGGACCCGACGACGGCGACTACGCGCGCGAGCCGACGTCCTCGCGCGCGACGACGAAGATGGACGACGTCCCGAAGGCGTCGTCTCCGAAAGTCGCCGCGTCGGACGTCGCCGCCGTCGTCGCCGCCGTCGCGGCCGACCTCGCCGGCGGCGTCGCGGTGAGCGTCGACGCGCCGCTCCTCGACGCCGGGATCGACTCTATCGCCGCGGTGGAGTTCGTGACGACGGTGCAATCCGCGGTGGGGGTGCCGTTGGACGTTTCGGAGGTGGCGACGTTGCCGACGATGGGCGCGATCGTCGAGAGGGTGACGAACGCCGTCGCGGCGGCGGCGGCGGCGGCGGCGGCGGATGAAATTTCGGATGAAATTTCCGCGCGGCGTCCGGGAACGTCTCCCGCCGTCGCCGCCGTCGCGCGCGACCTCTCCGTCGCCGACGACGGGATGATCAAATCGCTGAAGCCGGCGCGCAAACCGCCGCCCGCGTTATTCCTCGGCGCGCCCGCGTTCGGGGACGGTCCCTTGGCGTACATGAAACTCGTCCACGCGCTTCCTCTGGGAGACCATCCGGTGATGACCCTGGAGCGAGACACCACGTCCACGCCGTGGCCGGAAGCGGCGCGGACGCACGCGTCGCGCATCGCGACGTCGCAGCCGGACGGAATTATCGCGATCGGAGGGCACTCCCTCGGCGGGCTTCTCGCGGTGGAGTCCGCGGTGTGCCTAGAGACGGAGCACGGACGAGAGGTGTCGTGCTTCTTATTCGACGCGCCGCATCCGGTGCAATTCAAGAGCGAGTGGAACGACGTTCCGGGGGGAGGTGCCAACTCTGAAGAAGAAGAAGAGGGTGCCAACTCCAACTCCTCCTCCGACGACGAAGAAGAAGAGAGCACCGGCCTCGCGTACATGGAGGTCGTGCTGACGTCGTTTCACTTCGACACGATCGCCGCCGGGTGGTCGGGGATGACCCGGGATGAAAAGTACGCCACGTTTGAAGACGTCACGTTTCAAGCCACCGGACGCGTCGTCGACGCGAGAGCGATGGACGAAGAGATCAGCGCGGGGCCGTACGCCGCGCAGTGGAACAGCGGGATCGTGAGGAACGAGGCGGACGGGACGTGCGACGTGAAGGCGTGGAAGATGCTGCGCGGGAACGCGGACGATGAAGACGACGACGACGGCGGCGACGGCGAGAAAAAAAACACAAAAATATTCCACCGAGTCCGCGGCAAAGTCACGGTGTACAAAGCCTCGGACGAGAGCAGCGCGCTGTTCGAGACCGACCTACAGATGGAACACGGCGGCGCGGTGTTACGCTCCGTGAGCGGGTACGCCTGGGCGCTCGCGTGCGATCACCTGGAGATCGTGCACTGCCAAGGGAGTCACATGAACTTGATGACGCCGGAGGAGGACGGCGGGGATCTGGTGCGTTCTATACAAAAGTTTTTCACCCACCGCTCGGTTTCAACATTTGATCGCTCCCCATTTCAACTGACCGGTGAACTGTTTTTGTATGGAATGGCCCTCAGACGCACACGATCGCGCCGCATTTGACGCGCGAGCTATCGCGGGCGTGGGGGGACGTCGTCGTTAAACCACAAACGGCTTCCAACGAAGCGTTACCAACCACCACGACAGCAGCGACGACGACGACGGCGCCGATAGTGACCCTAAACGACGCGGAGCGCGCCTTGGAAACGCACGGCGAGCTCGGGTACGACTTCGCGCCGTGGGTCGCCGAGACGTGGCACGACATGCGCGACGCGGATGCCGCGTCAGGTGCGTTCTATACACTGGTCCCCATACGACCGCGTTGGCGAGGTGGACGCCGATCCTTAAGATCTTTTGCCGGCGCATCTCTCCGCCCACCCCTCGCTTTCAATCCCCGCCCTCGACGCCTTTCAACTCCAACCGACGCCTTTGAACTCCACCCCGACATTCGCTTGTATAGAACGGCCCTCAGACGCCCCCGCGAGTCGCGGCAGGCTCGGACTTCCGTGCTGGACGCGTCCCGGGGTGGTCGTCGACGCCGTCCGCGGGAACCCCGGGGTGAGGTTACCCGCGCTGGACGAGTCGTTAGGCGGCGCCGTGCTCGGATTAAACGTCCTATCGCGCGCGTTGCTCGACGACGAGAAGGACGCGGACGCGGACGCGGAAGGGCATCAGGTGCGTTCTATACACTGGTTCCCATACGACCGCGTTCGCGTGGTGAACGCCGTTCCTTAAGGACTTTTGCCGTCGTCTCTCTCCGCCCACAACACGCTTTCAATCCCCGTCCTCGACGCCTTTCAACGCCAACTGACGCCTTTCAACCCCAAAAAACCAAAACCAAAAGAATCGTCGGGACGCGACGCGACGGCGCGACACCGTGATGGTGCTCGTCCAGGACCTCGTGAGCGACGTCGAGCACTGGTCCGCGATCGCGCTGACCGCGCGCGTGCCCGTGATCGGGGTCCACCTCCCCTCGGGCCTAATTCCATGTTCGAACGACGACGACGGGGACAGCGGCGGCGACTGCGGCGGCGGCGGCGGCGGGAACGAAAACGAAAACGAAAACGACGACGACGACGCGCGATTCGCCGCCGTCGTCGTCGGCGCGACGCGCGCGGCGCTCAACCTCCACGATCGAGTTGAAAACGCCGAAGATGCGGCCGTTACGACAACAACAAAGAAGATCATCTTCGCCGCGCTCCCCGGAACGTCCGCCGCGCGCGTCGCGTTCCACGCCGCGATGCACTTCGAGCTGTGCGGCATCGCCGACGCGTGCGCCGTGGTGGCGTTGGACGGAGGCGCGTTCTATCTCACACTAGTCCCCATACGACCGCGTTCGCGTGGTGAACGCCGATCCTTAAGGACTTTCGCCGTCGTCTATTTCCGCCCACCCCTCGCTTTCAATCCCCGCCCTCGACGCCTTTCAACTCCGCTTCTGACGCCTTTCAACTCCACCCCGATATCATCGCTTCGTATGGAACGCCCCTTAGACCGCGACGACGTCTTTTCCGCGAGGCTCTCCAAGCTCCCGCCGCGCGCGTTAGACCCCGCGTACCAGGCGCTCGCGGGGAAGTTGCAGGAGACGGAGACGCCCGGGGGCTGGCGCGCGTTTCGAGGGTTCGTTGGGAAGAGCCCGGGGTCGAACCCGCGGCGTTCGAACAGTTCGAACGCGAACGCGACAGCCGGCGACAGCCGGCACGCGGCGGCGCTCGAGGCGGCGTCGCGGCGGCGGCCGCGCGAGACGTCGCGCCGCGCGTGGGACGAGGACGTCGACGACGCGATCGTTCGCGTCGTCGCGCTGTGTGCGATCGCGCGCGAGAGCGTGGACGTGGACGTGGTGAGCGCGCACGTCGCGGTGATGTGATGAAGGTTCGCGCGTAGTTGTAGCTTTGCTCCGCGCGACTGGTACGGCGCGGTTGAAGATTTTGTTCAAGTTTCTGTTCATTTCACTTCCAACGACGCGTCGTTCTGTTCTTCTTCACTCTCGCCCGCGCGAGATCCTCCCCGCCCCCGCCCGCGATGCGTCTGACCGTGCGCACGCCGCGCATGGGGTGGTCCGCGGTGATCGACGTCCCCGATAAGTGCCTCGTCGGGGAGCTCAGGAAGACCGCCGCGCAGGCCGCGGACGTCCCGCCGGCGCGCGCGAGGCTCATCCTCCGAGGCGCGACGCTGGAGGTGCGACCGACGCGACGATCGCGATCGCTCGCTCGCGCGCGCTCGGGTGCCCACATCCATCACCGACGCGCCCGCGTCGCTGACGACGCGACGCGCGCTCTCTCTTCCCCCTCTCGCCCGCAGGACGACTCCAGGATCGCGCCCATCAAACCGGACGACACCGTCCTCGTCGCGCTCGCGCCCGAGCCGGTGAACCGCGGCGGACGCGCGGGAGGGACGCGCGACGACGACGACGACGACGACGACGACGACGACGCGGTTCGATTCCCCTTCGGCCGCCTCGATCGCGCGCGAACGTCGCGAACGCGTCTGCGGCTTCTCCGGTTCCTCCAGCACCGCGTGAAGCTCCCGGAAGCGCTCGCGCACGGGATACTGCGCGTGCGGCTGAGGACCTACGCGGGGGTGGTGGTGTGGCTGACGCTGTGCCGCGCGTCGTGGAGGTGCGCGGGGGCGAACAATTCATTTTTTTCCTCCGTCTCTTCGTTCGTTCGTCGTTCGGGGCGGCGAAAAGAAAAGCGCGCACGACGCCTGACCGGTTCTTCTCCCCGCCGCCGCAATTCCGTCCAGGTACGACCACGCGCCGCTGTTTCTCTTAGCGACCGGGTTCTTCCTCGTGTTCGCCGGGCTCGGGACGAAAAAGCCCGGCGAGGCGAGCGCGTACTCGCTGTTCAACGAAAACTTCCGCGAGTTGCCGGGAAACTTCAACGCCGGCGACGTCGACAGAGTCAACCGCGGCGGGGGGTACTGACGAGGCGCGTTCTTCTCGCACTGGTGCCCATACGACCGCGTTCGAGCGGTGCACGCCGTTCCGTGAGGCCTTTCGCGGGCGAACGAGAGAAGTGGAAGCGATGCCGGCAGTAGTAACTAGACTAGACTAGTCTTGTAGACCGCGGTAGTGACGTGAACTGACGTCGGTCGGTGCGACACGCGCTGCCAGGCGCTTCGCGCGACGCGTCACGTCAGCCGCGGGAAAACCTTTCCCGAACCAATCGCATCTCATCGCGGTCAGACTCGACCGCGCCGCCGCATGCTCCGAGCCCTCGCCCGCTGCCGCGCGTCCAGGACACCCTCACTCCACCCCCGGTCGTCGTCGTTCGCGTGCGCGGCGTCGACGCGCATGGCGCCGAAGCACGACGCGAAGCCATCCTTCCCCGAAAAATACGTCGTTCCCGAGCGATGGACGCCCCCAGGCGACCTCGGCGGGAAGTTTGGCGGGATGAACCGCCCGACCGCGGGCGCGCGGTTCGAAAGAGCCCTCCCAGTCGGGAAGCACCCTCTGCAGCTGTACTCCCTCGGGACGCCGAACGGGCAGAAGGTGACGGTGTTGCTCGAAGAGTTGGGGCTCGACTACGACGCGTGGAAATGCGACATCGTCGCCGATCCGCCCGCGCAGTTCAGCTCCGGGTTCGTGGAGGCGAACCCGAACTCGAAGATCCCGGTGCTGATGGATCACAGGGACGCGAAAAGTCACGGCGCGCCGCCGACGCGGGTGTTCGAGAGCTGCCACATCTTGTTGCACCTGTGCGAAGCCGCCGGCGCGAGCGGAGAAAAGTTTCTACCGAGCGCGCGCGTCGATCCGCGCGGACGGACGGAGTGCCTCAACTGGCTCTTCTGGCAGGCTGCCTCCGCGCCGTACATCGGCGGCGGGTTCGGGCACTTCTACAACTACGCGCCCGCGAACTATCAGTACGCGATCGACCGGTTCGCGATGGAGACGAAGCGACAGCTGGACGTGTTGGATAAGCAACTCGCGGGGAAAACCTTCGTGGTGGAACGAAACGACGACCGATACGGGGACGCGCCGACGATCGCGGACTTTGCGATCTACCCGTGGGTGAAGTGCATCGACGTGCACTACGAGGCTGGGGAGTTTCTATCGTTGAAGGAGGACTACGCGAACATCACGCGGTGGTGCGAGACGTTGGAACGACGGGAAGGGGTGAAGAGGGGGATGCGGGTGAACGCGTTCGGGCCGGGCGCGGTGGAGGAGCGGCACAGCGCCGCGGACTTTGATTAGCACGTGTACGAGGTGTAGTCGCGGTTCATTGTGTGGTAGTACATTCTTTATTCTTTGCTATACGCTTCGCGTCGCGATCGTTCGCGGTCGTGTTCCACACTCCGCGTCGTTACCAATCGTCCATGAGTATGTCCCACACATTCTCCGCAAATGGCGTCCAGCGGTGTCCTCGTGTTACCGCCGCATCATAGGTTTCCTCGTCCACCGGAGCTCCGTGCCTGATAGCCCATATTGCCGTCTCCAACTGATCTCCAAGAACACACGAGAGAGCAGTTTGTACGTCCCAAGGCGCGCCGTTCGTTAGCGCCCATTTCAGAACGTGAAAATGACCAGAGTATGCCGCGCCGCTACAAACTGTCGCGTCCCACGGAGCGCCGTTCTCTCGCGCCCACTCGAGAACGTGCAGGTGACCTCGCTTGGCGGCTTTCGTGCAAGTATCAGCCCAAGGATACTCGTTCTCTCGCAGCCACTTGAGCAGCTCGAGTTCGCCAGCGTAAGCGGCCCAGCCACAGAAACGTTTGGCCTTCTCGCTCATGGGTTCGAAACCACACGGAACGACAGCGACGAGTTGGAAGCCAGAGTAAATTTTTCCCTCAAACCCCCGCGTCACCGACGCGAGAAGCTCCTCGACGCGCGCCTTCGGCAAGCTCAGCACGCCGTCGTGGCGCATCAGATACTTGACCGCATCGCCAGAGATGAATCCTCGTTCAGCTCGATCGAACGCCGCGGGCAACGACGCGACTCGCGCGTCCGCGTCGCGGAAGACGCGACCGACGCGCGCGAGCGCGCAGCGGTCGCGCGCGTTCGGCAGGAACGAGAAGACGAGACACGCGAGGGCGGGCTCGGCGGCGAGGACGTCGCCGAGGGTGGCAGCGGCGGGGGCGGCGCTCGGATCAGGAGGAGAAGCCTTCGGGCGTCGAGATCTCGTCATCACGACGCGCGGGGTGGAAGGCGCGCGCGTCGAGGAGTGCGCAGCGCGCGCGCCCCTCCTCGCTCGACACGGAAAGTCGAACTCCCGCTCCCAGCCAGCTGGCGCGAAAACAGAACACTCCGCTCCGGTCCGCGCAGCGCCCGGCGAAGCGTCACTGCGGCCGCGCGCTGCGCACCACTCGCGATGGAGGCGACGGCGCACCCGCGCGTGATGCCGATCGCGTATGTCCAGGCGAACGCGGTGTTCGCTCGCGGGTGGACGATACGATGGCGCGACATCGAGGCGCGTCGCCGGCCGCGTCCGGGCGCTCGAGGACGTCCATCGTTTTTCTTCCTCCCGCCTTCTTCGATCTCGCCGCTGAACGCCCGCCCCCCTCCATCCCTCCCTTCCTTCCCTCCCTCCATCAGAAAACGCTGCGGGACCTCCTCCTCCCCGTCGTCATCGTCTTCGCGCTCATCGTCCTCGAGGTCATCATCGGCGAGGAATCCCTCCCCGCGGTCCCGAAACTCCCCGCGGTCGACACCGCGTGCGATCCGCACCCGCCCGGCGCGAACGTCTCGAGAGGCGCGGTGTGCTGGTACTACCCCGTGCGCGCGACGCACGAGCACGTCGTGGGGTACGCGCCGAACAACTACGCGTCGATTAACGCGCTCATGGCGGACGTGCTCCCGAGGGTCGCGGACTCCGCGCCGCGGCTGCACGCGGAGTGGACGGGCGAGCTCACCATGCGAGGCTTCGAGACGGAATCGGCGCTCGTGGAGTTTTACAAGACGCAGGCGCGTTCTATCTCATCACACTGGTTCCCATACGACCTCGTCGGCGTGGTGAACGCCGATCCTTAAGGACTTTTGCCGTCGTCTCCCTCCGCCCACCTCTCGGTTTCAATCCCCGACCTCGACGCCTTTCAACTCCGCTTCTGACGCCTTTCAACTCCACCCCGATATCATCGCTTCGTATGGAACGACCCGCAGCCGCACTCGGTGTACGCCGGCGTCGTCTTCCCGCGGTTCCTCCCCGCGCGCGACGCGTTCAGGGACCTCTCGAACGCCGCCGCGGGGTTACCCCCCGCGGGCGCGCCGCCGCCCCTGGACGAAACGCTCCGCGTGGACGAGTCGTTTCAGATTTTGATGAACGGATCGTGCGTCCTATCTCGCACTGGTCCCCATACGACCGCGTCCGCGCGGTGAACGCCGTTCCTTGAGGACTTTGCCCGGCGTTGCTGTCCTCCCAGCCCTCGCTTTCAATCCCCGCCCTCGACGCCTTTGAACTCCACCCCTGACGCCTTTGAACTCCACCCCGACATTCGTCGCTTCGTATGGAACGACCATCAGATACGTCCCGGGCGGCGGGCTCGACGGCGGCGAGAGCGTCGGCGACGAGTGCCGCCCGCAGATCGCCGCGGACGGGTCTCTGTACTCCCCGAAGGGCCGCGGGACGTTGCCGACGCTGTGCTCGTCCATGAGTTACCTGAGCACGGGGTTTTTGCACTTGCAGAGCGCGATGGCGTCGGCGCTGGGGCAACGCGCCGTCGGCGACGGCGGCGGCGATTCATCGCTCGGATGCGGCCCGGACGCCGCCGCCGCCAACATATCAGCATCGAGTGGTGCCCTCACCGTCGAGATCGCGTACGCGCAAGCGCCGCTGCCGGAGTACGACCGCGGGTTCGGCAGCGTCACCATGCGTCTGTTCGCCGCGGTGTATCTGACCGGGTGCCTCGTGAACACCCTCTACGCGTCGACGCGAGGTGCGCCGCGCGTTTTGTTGCGAGACTGCTTCCCGTACGACCGCGTTGGCGTGGTGAACGCCGATCCATAAGGACTTTTGCCGTCGTCTCTCTGCGCCCACACCTCGCTTTGAATCCCCCCGCCCTCGACGCCTTTCAACGCCAACTGACGCCTTTGAACTCCACCCCGACGTTCGCAGTGATCCTGGACGACCGCGCGTCGCGAGCCAAGGAGACGCTCCAAGCCGCGGGGCTCACCTCCGCGGCGTACTGGGTCGGGACCGCGCTCTTGACCGTATGCTCCAACGCCGCGAGCGGGGGATTCCTCGTGTTCGCGACCGTGTTTCTCGGGTTCTTCGACCTAATATCCGCGCCGCCGTTGCTGTTGCTCACGTCCGCGTACGCCGCGGCGGCGACGTCGCTCGGGTTTCTCATCGCGACGATTTTCAAAAAACGCCGCGCCGCGGAAGCGGCGGTGGGGTCTTCGCTCGTGTTATCCGCCGCGATATTCATCCCGCAGACGCTGTTCGGCGCGCCGGCGTGGAAGGTGTTGATCGCGAACTTCCTCGCCCCCGTCGCGTTCGCGGGCGCGATGGACGTCGCCGTGCAAGCGCAGGCGGGGGGGACGCCGTTGACGCTGACGAACTTCGCGTCCGATTCCATCGGAAGGGATCCGTCCACGGGCGGCGCGGGCGGGCACCACGCGATCACCGCGCTCGAGGCGTTCTTCTTGCTCCTCTTCGACGCGATCGTCTACGCGCTCGTCGCGCTGTACGTCGAGAACGCGAAGCGGTGGGGGGACGGGACGTTCATGTTCCGGAGGCAGTTTTGGCGCGGCGGCGGCGCGTTGTTCGGCGGCGGCGGCGGCGCCGGCGACATCGGCGCGGCCGTCGCGCTCGAGATGGAGGACCCGTCCATGGGAGGCCGGGTCGAGGTCCTCCTCGAAGACGTTCTCATCGGGGAGGAGGACGAGAGCGTCGCCGCGGCGGGCGAAGGAGCGAGCGCGAGCGCGAGCGCGGCGCCCGCGACGGCGCGGCGGCGGCGGCGGCGGCTCGAGCCCACGGTCAAACTCGTCGACGTCGTCGTCAACGACGCGCTTGCGCTGACGCCCGCGATGATGGGAGGACGCGGCGGCGCCCGGGGCAAAAACCAACAACAGAAACGATGGCGGTCGTGGTTCGGGTCGCGGTCCGGGTCGAACCGACGCGCGGCGGACCGACGCGTCAACGTCGTCGACGGGGTCTCGCTCGCCGCGCACTCTGGGCAGATTCTCGCGCTCCTCGGCCACAGCGGCTCCGGGAAGTCCGCGATCATCGAGCTCATCGCCGGGTCCAGAGCGCGCGCGGAGGGCGAGATGGAGTGCTTCGGGACCCCGACGCGGGTGAAGTGGGACCCCGCGAGCGAGGGCGTGTCCGTGGGGCTGTGCGCGCAGCACGCGGTGAGCGAAGGCGGGCTCACGGCGAGGGAGCATCTCGGGTTTTTCGCGCGGCTGCATAAGCAGATCATCGCCGCGGAGAGCGCGTCGATATCGAACGGGTACCACTCGTTTCACTCCGACGAAGACATCGCCGCGATGGAGGAACTTCTGACGCACGCGGGGTTGATGGAAGGGTTGACCCCGAACATGCCGATCAGGGAGTTGGACCCGGGGCAGCGCCGGGCGCTTCAAGTCGTCCTCGCGTTCGCGGGCGTCGCGATGGAGGCGGTCAGGCGCGACGCCGACCAATCCGCGCCCGCCACGTCACCACCCACCGACGGCACCTCGGCACCTTCTCCCAGTACCACCACCACACCGCCGGCCGCGAAGCCGCGAACGCTCGTGCTCCTCGACGAGCCCACGAGCGACGACATGGACCCGGCGTTGCAGAAGATGGTGTGGTCGTTGATTCGTCGGTACAAGTCGCGGTGCACCATCGTGATCGCGACGCGCAGCGTCACGGAGGCGACCTCGATCGCGGACCGCGTCGCGATGATCTCGCACGGGAAAATCAAGTGCGTCGGCTCGCCGACGTTTCTCACGAAGCTGTTCGGTCTAGGCTACCGCCTTCACGTGACGTTTAAGCAGCAGCCGACGGGGGTGTCGCGCCGTGAGGGCGAGGGCGATCCCGGGCTGGCGGTGCTCGCGAAAGTGAGAGAGCGGTGCCCGAAAGCGACGACGATCACCTCGATCGCGGCGTCGAACCGCACGGACATCTCGCAGGAGGTAACGTCTTCGTCGTTGCCGTTATCCTCGCGCCATGGAGAGGGCGGCGGCGGCGCGAGAGACGACGCGACGACGACGATTTCCCTCGTCGGCGAGGACGTCCCGCTCGGGAAGATTCTCACGGACTTGACGTCCGCCGCGGACGCGTTACACATCGCGGACGCCGCGCTCGAGGCGACGTCGTTGGACGAAGTCTTCACGAAGCTCGGGCAGGAGGCGGAGGAGGAGTCCGAGACGCTCTTACCGCTCGACGCGGGCGTCCTCGCGTTCGGGGACGACTCCCTGACGCGAGGACTCCTCGGGCTCGGGCTCGGCGGCGGCGACGGCGACGACGACGAAGGCGGCGGATCTTCCAGCGCGGTCGAGCTCCACCGCGCGCGCGTCGGGCGCAAGCGAGGCAACGCCGCGTTCGCGCGCGACACCGCGGCGATCGCGTCGCTGCGATTGAAAGAGTACGCGCGCACGCCGTGGAGCACGTGCGCGTTGTTTCTTCTCCCCGCCGTCGTCGCGTTGCTCCTGTTGTCGATTCAAACCGCGGTGCGGAACGCGAGGCCGGAGCACCGAGTCTCGACGTACGCGCGGTGGGTCCCCGCCGCGTCCGGGTCCGCGGCGGCGGACGACGACGCGACGCGCGTGTCGTACAGCGTGTCCGACACTGTCGGACATGACGCCGCGTCCGACGCGGCGGCGGTGATGACCGCCGCGCTCGGGTCGTCCGAGGCGGCGAACCTCGCGGCGACGACCGGCGCGCTCGCGAGCGTCGTCGCGAACCCCGGCGCGAACGCCCTCCACGTGTCGTTCACGGAAGTGAACCTCGCCGCGTGCGTCGTGCGAGCGACGGTGACGTACGATCCGCTCGCGGACGTCCACGTCCTTCCGAGGACGGTGAGACTGCTTCCCATACGACCCCGTTCGCGTGGTGAACGCCATTCCTTAAGGACTTTTCCCGTCGTCACTCTTCACCCGCGCTTCCCTTTCAACGTTTGACCGGTAAGACGTTCGACTGACCGACGCGTTCCCGATCGCTTCGCCCAGGTGTCGAACTTGTACACCTCCGCGATTCGCGCCGTCGCGGCGAACAAGACGGCCGCCGGCGCCGCGAGCGCCGCGAATGTGACCGCTGTCGCGGCGCACTTACCGTACGAGACGCCGTTCGGGAGCGCATGGAGCTACCTCGCGTCGATGGCTGTCCCGGTCGCGTTGCTGTACGTCCCCGTGCGCGTCGCGGCGACGGCGACGAACGAACGCGTGAGCTCGCACAGGTTGACGTTGACGCTCTCGGGACTCTCTCCCGCGGCGTACTGGACCGGCGGTCTGCTCGTCGACCTGGCGCTCTCCGTCGCGTCGATATTCCTCGTCGCGCTGTGCGGGACGTCCGTGGGCGTCGCGCCGTGGGACGACGCCGCCGCGCCCGCGGCGTTGTGCGTCCTTTTGAGCGCGTTTCCGTCGCTCATCTTGTGCGCCTACGCGATGTCCTTTTCGTTCGAAGGCGCGTTCTATCTCACACTGGTCCCCATACGACCGCGTTGGCGTGGTGAACGCCGATCCTTAAGGACTTTTGCCGGCTCATCTCTCCGCTCATCCCTCGCTTTCAACACCCGCCCTCGGCGCCTTTCAACTCCGCTTCTGACGCCTTTCAACTCCACCCCGACGTTCGCTCGTATAGACGCCTTCAACGCCTCGCACGCGATGACGACCGGGTTCCAAGTCCTGTCCCTGTTCGCGGTGCTCATACTCCTCCCGCTCGACGGCGAGGACGAGAGCACGTCGCACTATCACCTCATCGTCAGCGCGGTTTTCCCGCCGTACGCTCTGTTGGGCGGCTCGCACTTGGTGTGCTGGAAAGCGCTCTCGGACGACAACGGCCCGAGGGAGCCGCGCGCGTCGGGCGCGTTCTATTTCCACACTGGTTCCCATACGACCGCGTTCGTGCGGTGCACGCCGATCCTTAATAATGAGTTTCTTCTTTGCCCGGCGATCGTCTCTCTTCGCCCACCCCTCGGTTTCAATCAATCCCGACACACCGCGACGCCTTTCGACTCCGCTTCTGACGCCTTTCTTTGAACTCCACCCCGACGTCGCTTTGAATGGACCCTCGACCCTCATCAGACTTTTTCGAGGACGAGCTCATCCCGGTCGGGATGCGCGGCGCCGTCGTCGGGTGGTTTTTGTGGGCCGCGCTGCTCCTGCACGCGGAGCGCGACCACGCGCGGCGGCTGCGCGACGGCGTGAACGTGATCGGCGCGGCGGAAGCGGAGGCCGCCGCGGGGAACGACGCGGTGATGGAGCGCGAAAGAGTGCAGCGATTCGCGGCGACGCACGGCGGGCCGCAGCCGATCGGGGAGGACGACGCCGCGGCGCAGGTGGCCGCGGACCTCGCGGCGGCGGTTCGCGCGCGAACCGTCGCGCAGCAGCAGCAGCAGGTGGCGGACGCGGAAGCGGACGCGGAGGCGGGGACGGTTGACGTTCGTTCGTCTTCTTCTTCCGACGACGACGCGCCGCCGCCGTATCTCTTCGCCGCCGTCGGCGTGAGCGCGCCGGCGCCGCGGCGGCAGATGCACGTCAGCGATGACTTCAGTGACTTCAGCGACCTCCCCGTCGCGGTCACGGAAGGCCCCGGCGCGGGCGCGGTGTGTAACCTCTACCTCGGCGTCGCCCCGCGCGAGGTTGTCGCTCTCGTCGGCGGCGCGCGGTCGTCCGGGAAGGAAGCCGCGTTGCGATGCGCCGCCGGCGTCGACGCGTTCGGCGGGGACGTCCTCGTCACGTCCGTCGACCAATCCGCATCTGCCACGTCACCGCCTGAGATCGGCGGGCGCAGGGCGAGGAGCTTGCGGAGGAACGGCGTCGTCGCGTTAGAGCGCGGCGCTGTCGGCGTGTGCCTGAAGGACGACGCGCTGTGGGAGCGATTGAGCGTCCTCGAACATTTGACGCTGCACGCGACGATTCACGGGTTGGATCGCCCGCGCACGGTCGCGTACGCCGCCGCGGAGGCTGTCGGGCTGACGCTCGTGAAGGCTGGGGGAGGGGCGCAGCAGAACGGCACGAGCGGCGGCGGCGACGGGATAACGGCCGACGGCGAAACGTTTCGGGACGACGGCTTCGCGGACGACGGCGTCGGCGGCGGTGGTGGGAACTGGTTCGCGCGAACCTTCGGGAGGGGGCAAAAAAACGCGAGCGCGGGAGACGCCGCCGCCGCCGCGATTCTGAACGCGCCCGCGCGCGAGCTCAGCGCGTCGCGGCGGCGGCAGCTCGCCGTCGCGATCGCCCTCCTCGGAGATCCGATGTTTCTTCTCTTGGACGCGCCGACGCGCGCGGTGGACTCGCACGCGAGGCGCGCCATCTGGGCGCGGATTCAAAGGCGCGTCCTAGTATCGCACTAGTCCCCATACGACCCCGTTCGCGTGGTGCACGCCATTCCTTAAGGAGTTTGCCCGCGCGCGTTTCTCTCCGCCCACCCCTCGGTTTCAATCCCGGCACACGTCGACGCCTTTCAACTCCGCTTCTGACGCCTTTGAACTCCGCCCCGACGTCGCTTTGAATGAACCCTCGACCCTCGAAGGCACGCCGCGAGAGGCGGAGGCGCGCTCGTGTCCTCCGACGCCATGGACGAGGTCGAGGCGATATGCACGCGCGTCTGCGCGCTCGTGGACGGCGACGTCGCGGCGGTGGACACGCCGCGTCGCATGAAAGCGCGGCACGGGCTGTCGTACCATTTGCGGGTGACTCTCCGCGGCGGCGGCGGCGGCGACGACGCGGCGGCGGCGCCGTCCGACCAATCCGATACCGCCACGTCAGCGAGCCCCGACGACGTCGCCGCGTGCCACGCGGTCGTCCGCTCCGTCGCCCCGAGCGCGCTGACGTCGGAGACCGCGTCGTTCGACGGCGGCGTCGGATGCGCGTACGAGCTCTCTCGGCTGTCGCTTCCCGGTCTCGCGCGCCTGTGCGCTAAGGCGCGTTCTGTACACTGGTCCCCATACGAGCGCGTCGGCGTGGTGAACGCCGATCCTTAAGGACTTTCGCCGGCGCATCTCTCCGCCCAGGGTCCCTCGCTTTCAACACCCGACCGCGACGCCTTTCAACTCCACCTGACGCCTTTCAACTCCACCTGACGCCTTTCAACTCCACCCCGACATCGCTTCGTATGGAACGACCCTAAGCTCGAGAGCGCGGGGGGCGCGGACGCGCGCGACGTCGAAGGGTTGGGCGACGGCGTGAAGAGCGGCGCGGGCGCGACTCGCGGGTTGATCGAGGCGTACACGCTGTCGCAGCCGACGCTGCAGCAGGTGCTTCTGAACCTTCAGGGGAGGTCGTGAGGCGAGAAGGAGGTAGGCGCGCTCATAGGGCGCTCGTGTCTGTCTGTGAGAGGATTAAACTGTAAAACTGCGCTCATCATGAGACTGGAGGAAAAAACAACCGACCGCGGCTTCTACCCGTCTGTGGCCGCCTTTTGCTCCGCCACGCCGCCTCCGCTCGCCCTCTTCCGGGCGCACGCGGCCGCACGCTCTCACGCCCCGCGCGCCGTCCCCCGCGCGCTCCACTCCACCGAACGCAGGGACCGAAGCAACGCGGCATCCCTCATGGTCGCGTTCCTCCCCGTCGCCGGCGCCGGCAAGGTGGCCGGCGCTAGGGTTCACCCCGTCGTCGTGTTCAACGCGTGCGATTCCTTCGTCCGCCGCGCGGAGGCGCAGGACCGCGTCATCGGCACGCTGCTCGGCAGCGTCGGCGTGGACGGCGTCGTGGACGTCCGAAACTGCTACGCGGTCCCGCACAACGAGCAGAACGACACCGTGTACGTGGACGTGGAGTTCCACCGCGCGATGATCGAGCTCCACCAAAAGGTGAACCCGAGCGAAAAGATCGTCGGGTGGTACAGCACGGGCGACGGCGTCGTCCCCACGGACGCGCTGATTCACGAGTTTTACTCGCACGAGTGCCAGAACCCGGTGCACGTCACGTTGGACGTCGGGTTTAACGATCGCGCGAAGCTGATGCGAGCGTGGACCGGCAGCAGCATCGCGATCGGCGCGCAGGCGCGTCGCGAGCGTTCGATCGGTCGATCGCCCCTCTCTCGCTCGCGCGTCGATCGATCAGTCGATTCGTTTCGATCCGATCGACCGACGCGATTTCATCGACGACGGCCCGCTCTCGCGATGAAACGTTTCCTTTCAAATCGCCGACTGACGCGTCGTTCTCTTCTCTTCGCGAAAACCTCCTCCCTCCTCGTCCCGCCAGGCGAAATCGGCGGCGGACGCCGCGGGGGACAAGGCTGCCGCGGCGGCGGCGATCGCGGAGAAGAAGGAGACCGCGCCGGGCGAGGACGGCGACGACGCCGCGGCGACGGGGCCCGGCGACGACGCCTCCGCGTCCGCCGCGAAGCCGCCCGCGGCGATCCACTTCCAAGAGATCAATCTTACAAACGTCTTCGACGAGGCGGAGCGCGTGGGCGTAGCGAGGCTCTGCGCGCCGTCCTCGGACGCGTCCACGTCCGACGACGTCAGCGGCGCGGACGGCTTACAGAAGACCGTCGCGAAGCTGTCCGGGATGCTCGACGACGCGGCGAAGCACGTCGCGGCGGTGTGGTGCGTCCATACACTGGTCCCCATACGACCGCGTCGGCGTGGTGAACGCCGATCCTTAAGGACTTTTCCCGGCGTCACTCTCCGCCCAGGGTCCCTCCCTTTCAACGCCCGCCCTCGGCGCCTTTCAACTCCGCCTCTGACGCCTTTCAACTCCACCCCGATATCATCGCTCGTATGGACAATTACCCTCAGCGACGGGAAGGCGCCGGCGGATGCGGAGATTGGCCGGCATCTGTCGGACGCGTTGTCGGCGGTGCCGCGGCTGACCAAGGAGCAGTTCGAGAAGCTGTTCGGGGACTCCGTCGCGGACGTGCTGCTGACGCGGTACCTCGCGAACATCACGAAGATGCAGCTGATGCTCGCGGAGAAGCTCCAGACGACGTCCTTGCTCGTGTAATCATAAAATTTTGGAGGATGGATTCTGATCATGTTACAACTTCGCCCCCCCCCCCTCGCCGCCTCTTCTCTTCTCTTCTCTTCTCTCCGTCGATCGCATCGCGTCGCGCTATCGTAATAAATTACCATACAGTACCTCCTCTTCTTCTTCTTCTTCTTCTTCTTCTTCTTCTTCTTCTTCTTCTTCACACGTACGCCTCGCCGAGGTCGGAGAAGTTATGCGCGAGCTCCGCGACGTCGAACGGCCGGTGCAGCCACTCGTCCGCGGCGCGACTCATCGCCGTCACCGGATGCTGATCCGCGTACCCCTTCACGACGCGTCTTCGGTGTAAACTCGCGCTGTAGTTGCCCGCCGTGGGCACCTTCGGCATCGCGTGCGAGTGCAACAGCGGCCAAAACTTGAGGCACAGACCCTCCAGGACGTCTCTTCGGCGCTGAGGGTCGTTCCATACAAAGCGATGATATCGGGGTGGAGTTGAAAGGCGTCAGTTGGAGTTGAAAGGCATCGAGGTGTGTCGGGATTGAAAGCGTGCGCCTGGGCGGAGAGAAACGCCGGGAAAAGTCCGTAAGAAACGGCGTTCACCACGCCGACGCGGTCGTATGGGGACCAGTGTGAGATAGAACGCGCCTGAGGCTCGCGAAGCTGCGCGGGGGACCAACGCGCGCTCATCCGCCGCCACACCTCCATGAACTCGTCGCGGATCATGTCGTCCGCGAAGAGCGTCGGGAGTAACCGCAGCGATGGCGAGCACGAGTTCGAATACAGCTCGCGCGCCGCGTGCAACGCCTCCACCGCGGCGATCTCTCGGTACGTCGCGAGCACCGGGACCATCGCGCACGGGCACAAAATCTCCCTCGGGAGCTTGTTCGCGAGCTCGGACTGCTTAAAGTTGAGCATCTGCGCCTTGACGCACAACGTCGGCCCGCGTTGAAGCTTCTTCCCCGTCGCCGTCTGCCTTCGCCACATCGACGCCGCGGCGCGTCCCGCCGCCGCGGACTGCTCCAATCGCATCGGCGCGTGAACGTCCGCGCCGAGGAGCGGCACGTCCACGAAGCTCGACCCCTCTCTCAGGTCGTCCGGCCAGGGCACGCGGCCCCACGCGACGCAGATTTCATCCACGACGGCGGATCGTCGCTTCGCCGCCAACTCGTCAACCGCGTCGAATCCGGCGGCGCTCGCGGCTCTCGCCTCGTCGTTCTCCACCTCGTCGTCCGCGCCCGCGGCGGGGACGACGTTCAGCTCCACGTGCAGCATCACGTCCGCGGCGCCGCCGCGAACGTTCGCGTTCTTCTTCCGGTCCGAACGCATGAGCAGATGAAACGCGTCGGGGGGCGCGACGGGTTTGCCGTTCGGTCCCGTCTCTCCGAATCGCCACGACGGCACCCCCGCGTCGAGCGTCTTCCGCCCCGGGATCGTCACCACGTTCCCTATGTAATCTCGCCCGTCGTGCAGACACGCGCGGAGTAACGCCTGGTGCTCCTGCCGGTCCAGCCCCGCGCTCGGGACGTCCAGGGCTTTGGTGAACGTGACGCACATCGTCGGCGCGAACGCGTCCGCGAGGTCGGGCTGGTCGGTCCATCGCGCGAAGCGACCGACGTCGGGGTTGAGTTGAAAGGCGTCAGAAGTGGAGTTGAAAGGCGTCGAGGCGCGTCGGGATCGATGAAACCAGTGCGGCGTAAACAGGACGCACCCAGTACTCCGGCATGGCGTTGGCGTCGGCGCGTCTCGCGCGGTCGAACCTCTCGCCGTACGACCCGATCGACGTGCCGTCCTCCGTGAGCGTCGGCACGAGCGCGGAGGCGTACGAGAACGCCGGGGAGAGCGACCGCTCGCGGAGCGTGGACGGCCGCGCGTGCGCCGCCATCTTGCCGACGCGATCGATGAATGACATCGTGCTGACCGCAGCCTTCACGCGTCGCCATCCGCTTCCTCCTCCTCCTCCTCCTCCTCCTCCTCCTTCGCCGCCTCTCGCCGCCGCCGCGACGTTCGAGGGAGGCTGCTGCTGTTGCCGCTGGTCGCGCGGTCGCAGCGGCGACGACGGCAGCGGCGCGCGCGCGTTCGACGCGTTCGTCGCCGCGCCGCTCGGCGACCGCTGCTGCTGCCGCCGCGCCGCGGGCGCGTTCGCCGCCGCGCCGGCGCCGGCGCCGGCGCCGCCTCCGCGCGCGCCGTCGAACAGCGCGCGCGCGTCGTGCCGCGTGTGCACGACCGTCGGCCGCAGCGTCGCGGCGTCCGCCGCCGGCGGCGACGCGGGCGCGGACGCCTGCGCGAGCTCTTCCCGCGGCGTCGGCGGTCGTTCGCGTTCGCTCGGCGCGGGTGGTCCCCGCGGCATCCCTAAGGACGCCTCGAGTCCGTGCGACGCCATCACTCCTGCTGCGCGCGCGCGGAGGGAGGGGCGGCGATGCTCGCGCGCGGTGCGATGCGATACGCGCGGGCGGGGCGGCGGGACGGGCGGTGTGGCGCCGCGGTGAGGCCGCGCGCGCTTCAAATGCGAGCGAACGACGAGCGCGCCTCGGCTCGTCCCCCTTTACCGCAGGACAATCGGGTACTTTTCGTATATCGTAACTGTAACTGTTTGCTCATACGAACCGTACTGTAGTACGAAAGTACTTTTTCGAAATCGGTTGTCGTCCGACCCGATGTCTTGTCGTTGTCAGCGATCGTTCGCTCGCCCGCTTATTGCGTTTGACCCCGCGCCCACCCAGCACGCGCCGCGTCGCGTCGCGTCGCGCCCCGTCCCCACTTCCTTCCCTCCTTCCTTCCACCCCCCTCCGCCTCCCTCCTCCCGCGCGATGCCCATCGGCGCCCCCGCGCCGAGCGACTCGGACGACGACGACGCGCTGTCCGAGTACGAGGGCGACGAGAACATCGGCTACGACCCGTCGTTCGAAGGCCGAGGGGGAGTGACCGCGTCAGATCGCGACGCGATGGTGCCGTGCAACGCCGCGAAAGACTTCCGCGAGGCGTCGCGATACGACGTCGCGGACGCCTCCGTCGCCGCCGCGCGGGACTTCCCGGACGCGGTCCTCCGAATCGCGTCTCCCGCGGGAGTCCGCGCGCAGGTGTCGCGGTTCAACCGCGACGGATCGATCGTCGTAGTCGGCGGCGACGACGGCGCCGCGCGCGCGTACCACGCGCGCACGGGCGCGGCGTTTCATCAGTTCGTCCCGTCGCGGCACGGCGGCGATGGCGTCGACGCGGAGAACCCGGGCGTCGTCACGTCCCTGCGCTTCTTACCCTCGCGCGGCGGCGGCGGCGACGGCGGCGGCGGCGGCGGCGGCGGCGGCGGGGACGGGGACAACGTAGCGCTCGTGGCGTCTTCCTCAGGCCGGCTGTGGCACTGGCACTGCACGTCCGGCAAGACGATCGGCGCGCCCGTCGTCGAGCCCGGCAACCAGATCCTCGCGTGCGACGTCCGCGGCGACGGCGAGACGTTCGCGACTGCGGGCTACGACGGCACCATCCGCGTCTACGACGAAGCCACGCGGAAGCTCAGAGCGTCGTTGCGAGGGTGGAGCGCGGGGGAGGACCCCGCGACCGGCGCGCCGACGCGCCCGCCGTGGAAGCCCGCCGGCCCGCCGAAGATGGTGCACGTCGGGAACGGCGAGTACCGCGAGAAGTCGATCGTGAACCCGGTGAAAGACTGCGGGCACGCGGACAGAGTGCTCGGTCTCGCGTACGCGTCGGATAGTCACGACGTCTTGGTCAGCGGCGGGTGGGATAACACGCTCCAGATGTGGGACGCGCGCGCCGGCCCGACGTCCGTGCGACGCGTTCGCGGACCGCACGTGTGCGGGGACTCGATCCACGTCACGCCGTTGAACGACGACGGCGCGCGCGCGCAAGTTTTGTGCGGGTCGTGGCGAACGCGACGTCCCTTGCAAGCGTTCGATCTCGGCACCTTCATGTTCATGTACGAAGTCCCGTTCGGGGTGGTTCCGGACGCGAAGGGCGAGGAGAACGCGAACGCGAACGCGACGCCGTGCTCGGTGTACGCCGCGCGGTTCGGGAAGGACGGCGGTCCGTGCGAGGGTTTGATATTCGCCGGCGGCAGCGGCGGGAACGAGGTCAGGGTCATCTCGCGACCGGGGTACGGCGACCACTCCGGCGGGAAGGCGCGTTCTGTTTTCTTCGCACTGGTCCCCATACGACCGCGTTCGCGTGGTGAACGCCGTTTCTTAATGAGGAGTTTCTTTGCCATTTCGCGCGTTGTGTTTCTCTCCGCCGACCCCCCCCTCGGTTTCAACGCCCGACCTCGACGCCTTTCAACTTTGACTGACGCCTTTGAACTCCACCCCGACGTCTGTCGCTTCGCGTAGGCTTTCGCTCCGGTGTCGGCGCCGGACGGGTTGCGCACGAAGGCGCGGCTGCACGGGCTATCCTCGCCCGTGCACGGGATAGATCTGAGCGCGGGGGAGGATCGCATCGCGGTGACGTGCGCGGACGAGGTGTTGGTGTACGACACCGCGTCGTTGGGTGGGTTGAGGGGTCGCGCGAGTAGTCACGAATAAAACGAGCGTTTTTTTTTGGTAATGATTTTTTTTTTCAGACGCGAGCGCGAGTGCGCTCCCGACTTCTTCGACGCTCGTCGCGTCGTCCTCGACTCCGCCGACTCTCGCTCACTTCTTCGCCATCATCTCCTTCACGAAATCGAACGCCGCGGTGTCCTTGTGTTGACTGTACGACGACTTCGTCGGGCTGGTCGAGCTCCCGCCGCCGCCGCCGCTCCCGAGCCCGCCGCCGCCGCGAGGTTGCGTCGAGATCGGCCGCGACGGCGGCGGCGGCGGCGGCGGCATCCGCGTCTGTTGCCACTGCTGCTGCTGCTGCTGCTGCTGCTGGAACATCATCTGCTGCTGGTGATACATCTGCTGCTGCTGGTACATCTGCTGCTGCTGGTACATCTGTTGCTGCTGCTGTCGTTGCTGCGGCGTCATTATCGGCTGTTGTTGATACGCCGCCGCCGCCGTCGGCGCGCCCCCTCCGCCGCCGCCGCGGGTCGGGGACATCGATAACCCGCCTAAGAGGTCGTCCAACCCGCCACCGCCGCTCATCAGGTCGCTCGTCGGGACCGCGCGCGTCGTCGCCGTCGCCGTCGGCGAGGTCGACGCGACGCCGAGACCGAAGAAATCATCCGTCGCGTTCGTCTGCGCGTTCGTCGCGCCGCCGGCGACGCCGTCGATCGCCCGCTTCGCCGCGACCGCCCTCTCGCGCAGCGCGTCGTTCCCCACGCCTCCGTTCGCCGCATCACGCAGCGCGTTCGCGCACGTCGCGTCGCCCACGAACGCGTCGACAACCTTCCTCGCGCCGCCGCCGCCGCCGCCGCCGCTCCCCCCCGCCCCCGCCGCCGCCGCCGCCGCCGCGAGCGCTTCGAGGCAACTCGCGGCTTTATACGCGCCCCGCCAAGCCTCGCCGCCGCTCGCGCTCCCGCGCGTCAGCTTCTCCCCCAGCGCGCGCGCGATCCCGCTCGGGAGCAACCCCCCGCCCTCGCACGCGCGCAGGAACGCGGCGAGGTCATCCGGGGACGGCGCCAGCTTCACGCCGCCGCCCGCGCACGCCGCGTCCACCCTGCGCGCCTCTTCGCTTCCGACGAGCTCGAACGACGCCGCCGCGTGCGCGTTCAGTCGGTCCTTATCCGGCGATAACGGCGCGATGGACGGATCGGGCCGCCGCGCGCCCGGTGGTGGTTTGACCGGGCTCGGCGCGGTCAGCGACGCGAACGGCGACGGCGACGGCGCGGGCGGCGCGACGACGATCGGCGGCGGTTTTTGCGGCGCCTGCGCGGGTGAAGCGATCGGTCAGTCGAACGTCTTACCGGTCAAACGTTGAAAGGGAAGCGCGGGTGAAGAGTGACGACGGGAAAAGTCCTTAAGGAACGGCGTGCACCACGCGAACGGGGTTGTATGGGAAGCAGTCTCACCGCCTCCCGCCGATCGGGGCCCCACGTCCCGGTCGTCTTCCTCAGCCTCGGCGCGTCGTCCCCGCCACCGATGATCGCCGCGTCTTCGGCTTCGGCTTCGGCTTCGGTCGTCGACGACGTGGGGATGACCTCCTCCCACCGCCCGAGCTCGTCGCCGCCGCTGCCGAAGTCGCCGCCGCCCGCGTCGAACCGTTCCGAGAGCGTCTTCGAGCCTCGGCGGTGCGTTCCGCCGCCGCCGCCGCCGCCTCCTCCTCCTCCTCCTCCGAACCCGACGCTCCCGAACCCGCCGGTGCCGTCGCTCCCGAACCCCTCGATCCGATCCCCGGAGACGCGCCGTCGCCCGGGGCGGTAGTTATCGTCGTCGTCGTTCGCCGCGGCGGCGGCGTCCGCGGCGGCGGCGTCAGGGCCGTTCTATACAAGCGAACGTCGGGGTGGAGTTCATAGGCGTCAGTTGAAGTTGAAAGGCGTCGAGGACGGGGATTGAAAGCGAGGGACCCTGGGCGGAGAGATGCGCCGGGAAAAGTCCTTAAGGATCGGCGTCCACCACGCGAACGGGGTCGTATGGGGACCAGTGTATAGAACGCACCTCGTCTTTCGGAAACATGGCGGCGATCGCCTCCGTCGCCTGGTCTCTGACCGCCTCGTGCGGCGCGTCCCCGCGGTGCTCGTCCGGCGGCCCGCGGTGCGCGACGCACGCGCGCACGCGCGCGGCGCAGTGCTTCGCGGCGGCGCGACGGAACCGCGCGTCCCCGCGCTGACACACGTACTTGAGGCATCGAAGCGCCTTCAGCTTGACGTGCGGGGATGAATGATCGATGCGCTTGCCGACGTGCGCGGCGACGTCGTCGAGGGCGTCCGTCGGCCACGATCTCGTCGCGGTCGCGAGCTCCTCGAGGAGGTAGACTGATGAGGTAGGCGCGAAGCGAAGCGAGCGCGGGGAGGGACGGGGAGGACGTCAGGGCGGGGCGAGAGGTCAGAAGGCGAGAGGGCGAGAGGTCAGAGGGAAGCGGGGGGCGGGCGGGGGGGGGGCGAATCTGAGACCCGACGCGAGTAACAACCGAACGACGCGCGACGGGACGCACCCGCGGCGGGCTTCGCGTCGTCCACGCACACGGCGTCGATCTTGCGATGCCGCGCGAACGCGTCCACGGCGTCGGACCCGCGGTGGACCGCGGACGCGACCGCGCCTCGCAACGCGTCCATGGCTGTGACAGACGACGTTCGGAGGCGCCGCGGCGCGGCTGACTCGGATTATCGGACGAGCGCCCTTCGCCGAGTCGGATCCATAACCGCGCGCGCGTCCCCGACAACGAACGCGCGCGTCCCCGCCAGCGTCATGACGTCTTCCACGCCGCCCGAAGAAGTCTCAAAGGACGTCTCCTCGGACGACACGACGGCGACGACGCGCGCGCTCATCACGCGCCTGTACGACGAGCGCGAAGCGATGGAGAAAGAGATGGCGGCGATAAGCGCGCGGCTCAGCAGAGACGGAGCGCCCGGCATGCGCGGCGCGCTCGTCGACGACGAGGGGTTCCCCATCCCGGACGTGGACTTATACGCGGTGCGAGCCGACCGCGGGCGGTACGCGACGCTCAGGAACGACCACGACGACATAACGGACGCGATCGAGCGCGCGATGGCGTCGCTGCACGCGGTCGCGAGCGCGACGCGAGGGGTGGGCGCCGTGGACGTGAACGCGACGATGAATCCGCGCGCCGCGCGGGTCCCGAGCGAGCGCGTCGCCGCGCGCCCCGCGGACGCGATGACGGACGGCGAATCCGCGGCGGGCGGCGTCGCCGCGTTCGTCGCCGCGCCGAGGGACCCGAGGGCGGAGCCGCCCGCGGGGACGGCGGCGTTCGCGGTCGTGGACGAGATGCACGGCGGTTCGCCCGCGGCGTCGGCGGGGCTCAGATTGCACGACCGCGTCATCGCGTTCGGCGGCGTCGAACGCGGGGCGGGTGCGACGTTTGACATCGTTTTCCTTTCCTCCCATATCTTCCCAGACCTTCCCTCGACGGACACGTCATCACTCGACTCGCAATCACGACCGCTCAACACGCCACGTCATCGCGCCACTGACGAATCGCATCGCATCGCGCCGTCCCTCCTCGCGTATCATCCATCCTCCGACACGACAGACGAAAGAGAAAACGAAAACATCCTCCCGCGCGTCGCCGCGCTTCTCGCGGCGAAGGAAGGCGCGGAGGTGCCGGTGTGGGTGACGAGAGGGACGGACCGCGTCCGGGTGTTCGTGACCCCGGCGAAGTGGGAGGGAAGAGGGTTGCTCGGGTGCCACATGCGCCCGCTGCGGTGACGACGAAAGGAAGCGCACGACGGACGGTTCGGTTGTTTGTACGTACCTGTAAATTAATTAATGTAGTCTACTCATACTGACCTTCGGTACTGTACGTAAATACTCGCGTCCGACTCGCTACCAGCCGCCGCCGCCGCCGCCCCCGAGCGCGTCCTCTCCGAACGTCGCCGCGCGGATCGCTTCTAACCCGAACGTCTCGCCTATTTTCCGCTTCGACGCTTTGACAACGTCGACGATTTTGACGACGCCCGTCCGCGTCGGCGTCTGCTTCGGTCGCGTCGGCTCCCGCGGCGGTCGCTTCTCGTCTCCATCTCCCGAAACTTCCTCGTCGTCTTCCTCGTCGTCGTCCTCTTCTTCCGCGGCGGCGAGTTCCGCGGCGGCTTTGCCGCCGTCTTGGTACTGCCTGACTTTACCCACGTTGGACGCGAGCATGGTCTCGATGAATGACCGCGGCGCGTCGTCGTCGTCGTCGTCGCGTTTGGTTTTCTTCTGCTTCTTTTTTGGTCTTTTCTCTTCTCGCGGCGGCGGCGGCGGCGGCGGCGCGCCGTCGTCGTCGTCGTCGTCGTCCGGTCGTTCCCGCTTTTTCTCCTTCTTCTTCTTCTTTTTCTTCGAGGACAGTATCATCACGTCGTCGTCGTCGTCGTCCCGACGCGCGGCGGACGGCCTGTCGTCGTCCTCCTCCCCCCCCTCCTCCGCCGGCGTCGGCGCCGCCTCCCTTCGCTCCTCCTCCTCCTCCTCCTCCTCGCGCGGCGCCTCCTTCTCGATCCACCCCCCCGGCCCAACCTTCCTCCCGTCCAGCGCGCGCAAACTCGGGCACATCTTCACCGCCGCCGCGTCGTACCCCTCGCGCCTCGACAGCGGGCACCCCCGCAGCGACAGCTGTTGCAATCGCGTCATCCCCTTCAAACACGCGACGTCGCCCCAGTCCTCGAATCGGTTGTGCGACGCGTCGAGCACGCGCAGCCACTCGCACGACGTCCCCAGCTCCGGCGGCAACGCCTTGAGCGCGTTGTGCGCGAGCCTTAATTCTTTCAATCGCGCGCAGTTCGCGAGCGAACTTCCCGGGAGCTTCCGCAGCGCGTTGCGAGACAACGACAATTTCGTGAGCTCGCGCGCTGAGGGTCGAGGGTCCATACGAGCGAACGTCGGGGCGGAGTTCAAAGGCGTCAGAAGCGGAGTTGAAAGGCGTCGAGGTGTGTCGGGATTGAAACCAGCGAGGGACCCTGGGCGGGGAGATGCGCCGGGAGAGAAAGTCCTTAAGGATCGGCGTTCACCACGCGAACGTGGTCGTATGGGAACCAGTGTGACATTGGGACGCGCCCGAGGCGAGCTCGTCGGCGATCGCGTCGACCGCGTTCGACGACAGCACCACGGTGTTGAGCGCTTTCAGCCCTCGCAGCGGCGCGAGCGATTCGATCGCGTTGTCGTTCGCGATGATCGCCGCGAGGTTCGTCAGCGACTCGATGCCGTCGAGCGAGTCGAGGCGGTTGCCGCTGACGTTCAGGACGCGCAGCGCGGTGACAGCTGTGTCATCGTCCGCGGCGGCGCGCTCGCGCTTTTTGTTTTCGTCGTCGCGACGCTTCTTCTTCGTCTTCGTCGTCGCCGCCGCGTCGCCGCCGCCGCCGGCGCCGCCGAACGCCGCGAGCGCGCCCGGCGGCAGATCGTTGTTCGCGAGGTTCAAGTGCTTCAGCCGCTTCATCCCCGCGAGGACACTCAGCGACGCCGCGCACTTCGCGGCGTCGCCGCCGAGAACGTTGTCCGCGACGTCCACGCGCGTCGCGCCGGCGCATCGCGCCGCGAAGGACGCGTCCACGACGTCGACGCCCCTCGCCTTGGCGTTCACCGCGGAGACGTCGCCGCCGCCGCCTCCGCCGGTCGCGAGCGAAGACGCGAACGCCGCGTCCAGCGCGGGCATGACTTCGTGATGACTCGAGTCGACTGCGCCGCGCGTCCGCTCGAATGGAGCGCCGTCAGTCGCTGCGGTACACGTACCCCGTCGCTCTCGGAACTCGCAGTGCACTCGCACGCGAGACGCGACGCGAGTAGGCGAGCGCGATCCGCCCGCCGTGAGGTGGCAGCGTCACCCCTGATGAGATGACGCGGCACTTCCGCGGGCACGCGACGCGCGCACCCGACGCGCCCCACGCGGCGGATCACACCCGCGCTCGCGCTCCGAACCGAGAGAACCGCGGACGCGGACGACGCGCGCGATGGCGACGGCGACGGGGCTCGTCGCGACGGGGGGGGGGCCCGTCCTCCGCTCCGCGATCCGATCGTCGTCGTCCGCGAAGACGAAGCGAGGGAGAAGATCGTCGTTTCGATCCTCCGCGCGCCCGCGCGCCGCTCGCGTCGCCGTCGCCGTCGTCGCCTCCTCCTCCTCCTCCTCGTCGTCGTCGTCGTTCGAACCCTTCGGCGAGAAGATCGTCTTCGAGCCCGTGACGTACGACTTTCACACCTCGCGCGAGGACGTCATCGTGCGCGATCGCAGCGGACGCGTCGTGCGCAAGATTCGCGGAGGGAACGCGTCGGGCGCGGCGTTCGCGTTCAAGGCGTCGTCCGAGCGGGCGCCCGCGCCCGCGCCCGCGCCAGCATCGTCGCCGCCGGCGCCCGCGTCGTCGGCGCCGAAGCCCGCGTACGCGGACGGCGGCGAGGCTCGACTCGCGGAGCTCAAGTCCAAGCTCGGGTGGGTCCAGAGCGGCCTCGACGCGGTGACGCGCGCGGCGGATTTCGCAGTAAACGGCGCGCCGCGCGCGCCGCCGTCCGTCGAGCCGGTATCGAACGAGGCGCAGGCGTGGATCGACGCGTGGAGCGCGGGGAAGGGCGACGCGCCGTACGGCGATCCGGGAGCGGTCACCGCCGCGGGCGCGGGGGGGGGAGGAAAGGCGAACGCGAACGCGAACGCGGCGGAGACGTCAGGCGCGTTCTATACACTGGTCCCCATACGACCCCGTCGGCGTGGTGAACGCCGTTCCTTAAGGACTTTTGCCGTCGTCTCTCTGCGCCCACCCCTCGCGTTCAATCCCCGTCCTCGGCGCCTTTCAACTCCGCTTCTGACGCCTTTCAACTCCACCCCGACTTTCGCTTGTATAGAACGGCCCTCGTCGTCGTCGTCGTCGTCGTCGAAGGACCTTTTCGATCGGGTGGATCTGGCGGCGTTCGCCGGCGAGGCGTCGCGCGCGAAGACGTCGTTCGACCCGACGCAGGCGACGTGCGACGAGGAGGATCAAGAGGCGATGGAGAGCGCGCTCGGGTTCGGCGGCGGCGCGTCGTTCGAAGCCGCGGTGAGCGACGACGCCGCCGCGGTTTCGACGACGGCGGCGACGACGGCGGCGGGGGGTGAAAAGAAATTCGCGCTGGACGAGATGGACGTCGCCGCGTTCGGAGCCGACGCCGCCGCGAAGACGTCGTTCGACCCGACCGCGGCGACGTGCGACGAGGACGACCAGGAAGCGATGGAGAGCGTCTTAAACCTCGCGGGCGGGAAGTCGTTCGAGGCGGCGGTGAACGATTCCGAAGCGGCGCCCGCGGTTTCCGCGGCGGCGTTGTCCTTGGACCAGATTGCGTTCGGAACCCCGCCGTCGGACGTCCCGTGGCGCGCGAGCCCCGACGGCGTCGACGACGTGGACGACGAGACGATGCGCACGGACGACGAGGCGGATCAGGAGGCGATGGAGGACGTCCTCAACTTTGCCGCGTCGCACCCGTCGTGCCAAATCGACCAAGCCGACGTCACCGCGCCGAAGACGCACGAGAAGCCCGTCATCGCCAAGTCGCACAAGGCGGCCTTCTTCGACCTCGACGGCACGATCGCGAACAGCAACGTCGTCGCGCAGTACGTCGTCGCGAAGTGCGACCAGATGACCACGTTCTGGAAGTTTCTGTGGCTCCCGTTGTACGCGTTGAAGTGCGCGTTTTACCTGGTCGTCGACTGGCTCAGGTGCGTTCTATACAAACGTACTATATTTCACCCATCGCTCGGTTTCAACATTTGATCGCGCCCCCTTTCAACTGACCGATGAACATTTTTTGTATGGAACGACCCTCAGCCGTTCGACGTTTAACGCGCTGTTCGCGAGAGACTTTCGCGGGATGTCCGCGACGCGCGCGTCGAAGAAGAAGATGGCGCAGATCGTTTACGACAAGTACATGCACGACAGGGTGTTCCCGAACGCCGTCGCGCACGTGAACGCGCTCAAGGAGGAGGACTACAAGATCGTCCTCGTCACCGGGTCGCTGGATTTCATGATCGAACCGCTCGCGCGCGTGCTCAGGCGCGTTCTATCTCACACTGGTTCCCATACGACCCCGTCGCCGTGGTGAACGCCGATCCTTAAAGACTTTTCCCGGCGTTCGCATCTCTCCGCCCAGGGTCCCTCGCGTTCAATCCCCGCCCGTGTTGCCTTTCAACTCCGCTTCTGACGCCTTTCAACTCCACCCCAACTTCGCTTCATATGGAACGACCCTCAGAGCCGACCACGTCATCGCGAACTCGCTCGAGGAGACGGAGGGGCGGTACGGCAAAGGGACGGTGTTCACCGGGAAGTTGAAGGGAACCCCCGTCGCGGATGAAGAAAAACGCGTCCGAGTGATGCGTTACGCGGAGCAGCACGGGATCGATCTGGCGCGGTCCAAGGCGTACGGGGACTCGTTGTCGGACGCGGCGATGTTGGAATGCGTCGGCGAAGCCGCGGTGGTGAGTCCGAGCAGCGCGGGGATGCGACGACGCGCGGAGGAGGAAGGGTGGGAGGTGCTCGGGTGGAGGGAGGAGCACGAGAGGGCGGGCGGCGCCCTCGCGGGGAGGGCGGGCGCCGCCGCGTGAGGATGACACGACGACGTGAAAGATGAAAATACTTCTCAGACTCCGAAATACTTCGAACGAACGCGCGGTCGCGTGCGCTCGCTCGTCCAGTCAGCACGTATCACAGATCCACCGTGGCGTTCGTTCGTTCACGAGAGAACGAATGAATCCTCTCACAGCGCGACGCGCCTCGGCGGGGCGGCGCGTCGCTCATCTGACGGCGTCGAGTCGCGCGATGGCGACGACGCGCGCGCCGTCCATCGCGCTTCCACGCGCGATGGCGTCGCGCGGCGTCGCGCGGCCGCCGCGCGTCCCTCTCCGGACCGCGTTTTTCGACGACGCGCGCGCGCGGGAAACGAAAGTAAGCCCACGCGGACGCGGACGACGAGCGGTCGCGGTCGTCGTCGTCTCGCCGCGCGCCGCCGCCGACCGCGCGTCCGACGCGCCGCCGCCGCCGCCTTCGCCCATTCCGCCGCGCTCGAGCCCGCTGCGGAGTCCGCTCCCGGTGATCGAGGTCAGCGCGGGCGGCGGCGAGACTCGACGGTGGGGACGCGCGCTGGACGGCACCGACGGCTTTATCGATCTGCCGCCGCACGCGTCGTCGTCGTCCAACGCGGACGCCGTCGACGACGACGCCGACGACGGCGGCGGCGGCGGCGGCGGCTTCAAGTGGGACCCGCGCGAGTCCCCGCGTCTGCGCGCGATGTTCCTCCCCGCGGGGTACCCGGACACGGTCTCGAGCGACTACGCGCGATGGCTCCGGTGGCATCTCTTCAGCAACTTTTTCAGGCGCGTTCGCGTTCGCGTTCGGTTCCGTGCGGACGTTTTTCACCCACCGTTCGGTTTCAACATTTGATCGCGTGGGTCCCTTTCAACTGACCGATGCAAAATGCGCTGTCATCGATCAGAAACGTTCTCGAGGTGCTCACGTCGCAGTCTCTCCTCGTCGCGCTCGGGATGGGCTCCACCCCCGGCGCGCTCCCGCTTGCCGCCGCGACGAAGTGGGTCCTGAAAGACGGCGTCGGCTCTTTCGCGACGTTGCTGTCCGGCGTCGTCGGCGCGCAGCGATACGACGAAGACCCGAAGCGGTGGTGCGTTCTACGAGTACGGCTGCGATAGATAGTCCATGTCGGGATACCTTCGCTTCGCGCGAACGTTATTCGCCCACCCCTCGGGTTCAACGTTTGATCGCGAGCCCTTTCAACTGACCGACGAACGAACGAAAATACTCGCAGGTGGGCGGCGACGAACGCGCTCTTGGACTTTGGGTTCTGCCTCGAGCTGCTCACGCCCGCGCTCCCGGATCTGGTGCGTTCTATACAAACGTTTTTCACCCATCGCTCGGTTTCAACACTTGATCGCGTGGGTCCCTTTCAACTGACCGGTGAACTGTTTTTGTATGGAACGACACTCAGTTCCTCCCGCTCGCCGCCAGCGCGACGTTCGTGCGAGCGGGCGCGCTGACCGGGCGCACGTCGCTCGTCAACGGGACGTTCATGCAGCACTTCGGGAGGAATCAAAACGCGGGGGACATACGCGCGAAGCTCGAGGTGCAGGTGCGTTCTATACAATTTATTTTCACCCATCGTTCGGTTTCAACATTTGATCGCTCCCCCTTTCAACTGACCGATGAACTGTTTTTGTATGGAATGGCCCTCAGGGAAAGTGGCTCGCTTTGTGCGCGTTGCCGACTGGGATTTTCATCTTCCGCGGCGTCAGCGGCGCGTTCGAGCCGTTGCCACCGGAAACGCTCGAAACGATGACGTTACTCGATCACCTCACGCGGAGCCTCCCCGTGATCAGCGCGTACGGCGCGGTCGTCGGCGGGCACTCGTTCTTATCCTGGAAAGCCGCGAGCGTGTTGCGCGTCGACGTGTTGAATCGGTTTCGCTTGTTGAAAGCCGCGAGGGAGTTCGTGGACGGCGGCGAGGAGCGCGTGTCGTCAGGCGCGTTCTATACACTGGTCCCCATACGACCCCGTTGGCGTGGTGAACGCCGATCCTTAAGGACTTTCTCACCCGGCGCATCTCTCCGCCCACCCCCCGCTTTCAATTCCGACACACCTCGACGCCTTTCAACTCCGCTTCTGACGCCTATGAACTCCACCCCGACGTCGCTTTGTATGGAACGGCCCTCAGTGGAGGACGCGGGGAAAGTCGAGGGGGTGTACCGCGCGAGAGTGGGCCCGAGAACGCCGACGCTGGGGGCGAGTTTACCACAGGCGGTGAAGGATTGGGAGGAGCTCGCGTCGATCGTTCGCGTCGCCGGCGACGACTGTCGGTTCGTCGTGGGTTGGGACCGCGTTCGGGGAGGTGCGCGTTCTATACACTGGTCCCCATACGACCGCGTTCGCGTGGTGAACGCCGATCCTTAAGGACTTTTGCCGTCGTCTTTCTCCGCCCAGGGTCCCTCGCTTTCAATCCCCGCCCTAGGCGCCTTTCAACTCCACCTGACGCCTTTCAACTCCACCCCGACGTTCGCTCGTATAGTCCCCGCGGCGTTGATCGACGCGGGGGCGAAGCCGATGGACATCATCGAGGGCGCGCTCGCGAGCGCGCACCTCGCGGCGGCGTTATGTGTGTCGGACGATAATAGTGTCGGACGATCGTCGGAGAATGACAGTGTGTCCGACAGGCGCGCGGCGACGGCGGCGGCGGCGGCGTTCGCGGAGGCGCGCGTCGACGCGTTCGCGCGCGCGTTGGAAGAGAAGAAGTGGCGGACGGATTTCGTGCAGATGGGGACGGCGCCGCGGTACCGTCTGAGAGGACGCGTCGCGGTGGACGCCGACGCGGATGACGTCGCGGCGGTGAACGAGATCGAGCTGCTCGTCGAGTGAGTACGTACTGTAGTCGGTTGAGGGTTGAATTAAATCGTGTTGATTGATTGATGATGAGAGTTGAACTCAATATTCATCGACGTCACCGCCGTGCTCGCCCGCCGTCCCCCCGTCCACGCCCCCGTCCTTCCTCTATCTCGCGGTCTATCCTATCCTCGCCGTCGCCGTCGCCCTCGCCGTCGCCGTCGCCGTCGCTCTCGCGCCGCCGCCGCCGCCGCCCGCCCCCCCCCCCGTCTCTCTCCCTCTCCCTCTCCCGCCGCGGCGGCAACTTCCTCAGCACGTACAACACCAACCCCGACGGTATGATCTCGCACGACGCGTAATACGCGCAGTTCCTCGCCGGGTGCCCCAACACGTCCAACCCGTCTCTGCTCGGATCGATCTCGCTCGCGATGACCAACCCCGCGCGCGCGATGAACGCGAACGTGCAGACGACGGTGACGCATCCGACTTCGCGGAGTTTCCGGCTCCGCCCGCGGCTCTCGATTGGAAACCGTCTGAGGGCCGTTCCATACGAGCGATCGTCGGGGTGGAGTTCATAGGCGTCAGAAGCGGAGTTGAAAGGCGTCGAGGGCGGGGATCGAAAGCGAGGGGTGGGCGCAGAGATGCGCCGGGAAAAGTCCTTAAGGATCGGCGTTCACCACGCCGACGCGGTCGTATGGGGACCAGTGTGAGAAAGAACGCGCCTGAGCATTCGAAACAGTCGTCCTCCGTACGTCGCGAATCCGATCGCGGCGAGGACGGACAGCGACGCGAGGACGGACAGCGACGCGACGCGGAACGTCCCGCGGTGCGACGGTTCGTATCCCGCCGCGATCCAAAGCGCCGTCTGCGTGACGTACGCCGCGACGTTGACGGCGACGAACGTCGGCTTGAGCGCCGCGACGGGCCGCGACCGCGCTTGGTTGTAAATCTCAGGGTCGAGGGTCCACGCGAAGCGAGCGACGTCGGGGTGGAGTTGAAAGGCGTCAGATGGAGTTGAAAGGCAACATCGCGGTGTGTTGTCGGGATCGAAACCGTTGGGTGGTGCGCGGAGAGATGCGCCGGGCGAAGAAACTCCTCAAGGAACGGCGTGCACCGCGCCGACGCGGTCGTAATCTGGGACCGGCGTAAACGTGAACGCACCTCAGCCCAAAACAGCACCAACAGCGCGTACGTGCTGAAGAAGAGGAGCCCGGGGAGATCTAGCAGGACGTGCTCGATGACGCGCGGCCGCACCGCGTCCAGGCGTCGTCGCAGCGGGAACACGACGGCGCGAACGAGCGCGCAGGACGCGTTGAGGAGGTGGAAGACCTTCTGGGTCGTGAGGCCGATCTCGGGGACTCTCGCGTGGATGCGCGCGAGCTGCGCGAGCGCGACGAGCGCGATGATGGCGTACGCGCCGCCGAGGGCGTCGAACACCGCGTCCTGCGCGCGCGGGAGGAGGAGGAGGAGGAGGAGGAGGCGCGCGCGCGGACATGCGGGGACAGGGGAGGCGTCAGCGCAGCGTCGAGAAGCGTTCGATTCATTTTATTGATTGTGCGCTTCGACGACGCGACGACGACGAGGTCGCGGTCGCGACGAGGCGCGCACCTGAACGCGCGGGTTGTCCCACCATCCCTCGCGCCCGAGGGAATCGCCGGAGGACATCGCGGAGAAGAACCGAGCTCGCGGCGACGCCGCGCCGATCGCCGCGGAGTGACGCGACGCGTCGTGCTGCGACGCGCGTTCTGCCGCGCGACTCTTCGCGCGCTTACGTCGAGGCGGGCGGACTGGCTGGGAGGCGTGCCCGACTAAAGTTGCGTTTTTCACCCACCTCTCGGTTTCAATATTTGATGCCGCCACCTTTCAACTGGCCGATGAACATAAGTTGGCCCTCAACGCTGTGCTGATCGTTGTTGGAATCGTCCTGGAATCGTCGACCACTTTGAACGCGTCACGAAACCGCCGGGGCACTCGCGGCCGCGCCACGCGACGCGCGCCTCGCCTTAACCCCCCCGCGCGCCCTCCGCGACCGCGCCCGCGACGTTCACAGACCGCGGCGTCGCGTCGGACTCCGCGGCGGGACCGATACTCTCCTCGGGACGCGCCCTCCCGTTCGTCCCCCGGAGCCGGACGTCGTCGGATCGATCGACTCGCATTAGGTGCGTTCTATACACTGGTCCCCATACGACCGCGTTCGCGTTGTGAACGCCGATCCTTAAGGACTTTGCCCGGCGCATCTCTCCGCCCACCCCTCGCTTTCAATCCCCGCCCTCAACGCCTTTCAACTCCAACTGACGCCTTTGAACTCCACCCCGACATTCGCTTGTATAGAACGACCCTTAGTCGTTCGATCCCGCCGTCCTCGGATCCTCGGCCCTCCTCCTCCCTCCCGCGCGATGGTGCGACGATTCGACGACCCCGCGGACGAGCACGACTTCTACGAGAACCTGTTCCTCTCCGAGAAGATCGTGGACGGGCACGTGAAGCTCTCGCTGCCGACGCTCAGCGCGGACGACAACGCGAGCGACGAGGAGGACAAGTGGGCGGCGTGGGAACGCGCGAATCACGAGCGGCACGAGCGCGTCCGCGGCGGCGGCGGCAAAAACTCACGTTCGTCGACGCGACAGAAGAAAGACGACGAGCGCCGCGCACACGATCGGCGGCCCGCGAGCCCGGCGCGCAGAGGCCGTGCGCTGAGAGACCCGACGTACGCGAAGCTCCTGGATCGTAGAGACGAAAACGCCGCGCGCATGGAAGCGGCGAAGCGACGGATGGGCGGATCCGGGAGGCACGCGTTCGGGGAGGCGGAGAGGCGGCTGTCTCCGTCGCCCGCGAAGAGCAGAAGCGGCGGGAGAAGAAATCGCACGAAGTCGCCGCTCTCGTCCACCTCCGGGGGATCGCGGCTGACGTTTCGCGGCGCCGGCGAGGATTCCGAGGATTACGATTCCGACTCCGACTCCGACTCCGACGGCGGCGGCGGCGGCGGGGGGATCGTGCGCTCCGCGCTCGGGAAACAGCTCCTCGAGACGCGTCGATGGAGCGCGCAGAGGGCGCGGTCGGCGAGCCCCGGCGTCGCGCAAAGAGGGGGCCCGCGCGGGCGCGCGTCGTCCGTCCCGCCGCCGAGACGGCCGGGGTCGGCGCGACCGGGGTCGGCGTTGGCTTTCGCATCCGCCGCGTCGCCGCCGCCCGCGCCCGCGCCCGTCGACGACGACCCGGTGTGCTTCGGGAGGCACCACACGTTCGAGGGCGAGGCCGCGCGCGCGCGACGCGAGGCTGAGGAGGCGGCGGCGGCGGCGAAGAAGAAGATGGGAAAGAAGGCGCCCCCCTCGCGTCCCGGGTCGCCGTTTAAGGCGCGTTCTGATTCGCACTGGTCTCCGTACGACCGCGTCGGCGTGGTGAACGCCGATCCTTAAGGACTTTCTCTCCCGGCGTTCGTATCTCTCCGTCCAGGGTCCCTCGCTCTCACTCTCGACACACCTCGACGCCTTTCAACTCCGCTTCTGACGCCTTTCAACTCCACCCCGACGTCGCTTTGAATGGATCCTCGACCCTAAGAACCGCCCGAGAGTCACGACGGAGTTCCACCCGCCGTGCCTGCACACCGCGACGCGCACCTTGGAACGCGAGACGAACAAAAAGGCGATGGAGCTCGCGTGGCGGCGGCAAGAACTCACCGAGGAAGTCGTGCACACGACCGTCGGGCGCCTCGCGGGGGGAGAGCCCGGTCTGACGAGGCACTGGGACGATCCGCCGAGAGCCGCGGCGGAGCAGGCGGCGATGGCGGCGAAAATCGCTGCCGAGCGCGACGGCGGCGCGTGGAGCCAAGCCGCCGCGCGCGCGGCGGCGCGGCGCGCCGCGGCCGCCGCCGCCGCCGTCGTGAAGGGTCGCTCCCCGGGGAAGGTGAAGACCGCGCGGGAGGAAGGGCTCGAGGCTGGGCGAGCGGCGTTGGCGGACGCCCGGTCGCGGAGTAAGGCGCGTTCACTCTTACACTGGTTCCCACACGACGGCGTTCGCGTGGTGCACGCCGATGCTTAAGGACTTTGCCCCCCGGCGGCGTCTCTCTCCGCCCAGGGTCCCTCGCTTTCAATCCCGACACACCTCGACGCCTTTCAACTCCGCTTCTGACGCCTTTGAACTCCACCCCGACGTCGCTTTGAATGGACCCTCGACCCTAAGTCGCGAGGGCGGAGCCGGAGCCGGTCGAGGAGTCGCGGGCGGTCGGAGACGGGCGTCGTGCGTCACGCGCTCGGGATGGCGCTCGACGACGCGCGCAGCGACGCGGCGTCCGGCGGCGACGACACCTTCGACGACGATTTGTCGGACGACGACGATGAGGTGTCGGACACGTCAGCAGACGCGTCTGACGACGAATACGGCGATTTCGAACGCGAGCTCGACAGGGAAGACTTTCTTCCGCGGTCCGCGGGCGCGGTCGGGTACGTCGCGCCGCCGCGGCACCGCGTCTGGTCCAAGGTCACGGACGACCATGAAAACGACGCCCGGTCGCCGTCCGGCGCGCGGTTCCTGAAGAGCGGCAAGGGCGGCGCGGGGATGAGCCGAGGACGGTCGGTCGCGCGCGTCGAGTCGACGGTGGACCCCGGACACGCCGCGCGTCTTCGAAGGTCGCTCGACGCCGCCGCGGGCCCGGCGTACGCCGCTCTTCACGCCGGGCAGGCGCGAGCGGCGGCGAGGGTGGGGCACGCGCGCGCGGCGGCGAGGGCGCGGTTGCGAGAGCAAGCGGACCGCGGCGGCGGCGGCGGCGGCGTGAGCGTCGTCCGCGCGCTCGGCGACCAGCTCGCGCGGACGCGCGAGTACCTCGGCGCCGCGCCTTCGCGCGTCGGCGGCGGCGGCGGCGGGCCCGGACCGGGCGCGCGGCCGTCGAGCGCGCGGCCGAGCGCGGCGCCGAGCTCGCGTCATGTGTCTCAACCCTCCGCGACGCGCCGCCCCGCGCGGCCGTCGAGCGCGGGACCGCGGCCGGATTTCACGCTCGCGTTTAACGCGGCGACGCCGAAGAACATGGTCATCGGCGCCGATCATCACGGTGGTCACGCCTACACGCCCGGGTTCGTGACCCCCGCACCGCGCGTCGGCGCCGGGTACGGCACCGTCGAGGACGTCCAGCGCGCGCGCAGGCGCGAGCACGCCGCAGAGGAGGCGGCGCGGTTGGAAGCCGCGCTCGCGGAGAATGACGCGGAGCGAGAGGCGCTGACGACGGCGGTCAAGGCGGCGAAGGCGAAGGCGACGGCGGCGCACCGCGCGGCGGCGCGCGGCGCGTCGGCGTCGCCGGCGGCGCGCGCGAGAGCGGCGACGGCGTTGGGAACGGCGTCGCCGTACCGCGCGTCGCATTCGCCGGATCGCGTCGCGGGACTCGGCCGCGGGGCGCGCGCCGACGCGACGTCGCCGGAGGGGAAGCGCGGGATGCAACTCGTGCGGGAGAGCTTGGGGAGCGTCCTACGAGGCGGCGGGTCCCCGGCGCGTCGGTACTGACGATTAAACGACATGATCAATACAACAACACGATACTCTGTAATAAAAACCAACGGGTGTCCGCGGGTGTCGGACCCCCTTCTTCGTGCGCCGGACGAAACACATCAATCACGCGCCCTCTTTTCTGAGGTCCTTACACGCCATCGCGACTTGTAACATTTGCGTCTTGGCGCCGAGACGCATCGCTTTGAACTGCTCGAGCTTCTCCTTATCCTCCGCGCTCTGCAGCTCCCCTTTCGCGATCATCGTCTCGCAGTCCCTCTCGAACTCCTCGTCCTGCCGCGACATGTTCCCGATGAAGTCGTCCACGTTGGCGATGAACTCGTCGAGCGACATCACGGGCGCGTCGTTCTCCATCACCTTTTCGCGAATGGCGTTTTTGAGTATCGTCGCGTTTTCGTCATCCGCGCCGGGCCCCGGGGGTTTCATCAGCTGCACGAGCTGGTCGACGAGCATGAGCGCGGGTGGGACGGGCTGGCTCGCTTGGAACGCCTCGAGGAGGTAGTTCGCGAGGCCCTGTGCGAGGAGGAGAAGGAGGAGGAGGAGGAGGAGGAGGAGGAGGAGGGTTTAGGTACGATGGATAGATTCGACTTCGAGGATCGATCGAGATGATAAAACTAACAACGGATCGAACTGATGTCCGCGCGCGAGAGATGCGAGAGAAGCGGCGCGCGCGATGCCGTCCATCGTTCCGAAGAGAAACCGACAGCGCGTCCCGCGATGGAACGCGAGGCACCGCGCGAAGGATCCTTCGCGGGACGCGCGCGAAGCCGGTCGCGACCGACCGCGACGCGAATCGCGTCGAATCGCCATCAGCCATCATCGCACCTGCAGCGACGCGACGATCTCCGGCTTGTCGTTCCGCGACTGCGCTTGTTCCAACGTCGCGAACGCAGCCTTCAGGACGCCCTCCGTGAGCCCGCCGCCTTCGACGAGCGCCTTCACTTTCGCCTCCACCTGCTCCGCGTCCGCGCTGTCGAGGAGGCGGTAGAAGGCGTTGAAGTCCTCGGGAGAGACGTCGGGGGGGACCGCCGCGGCGTCGTTCACGACGTCTCGGATCTCGTCGTCGCCGACGCGCGGGACGAGGGACGTCGCTCGCTTCTTCGCGGGCGCGGCGCGTCGAACGTCGAGGCGCGTCGGAAGAAGCCTCGCGCGCAAAGAGGACGCGCGCGGGGTCGCGGCCGCCGCGAGGACGGGGAGAAGGAGAGACGTCGTCGCCATTCGTGCGAGCGTCGGGGATGTGATCGACGCGAATGTCATGTCTCGCAGGGTTTGTTTTCGCAGAACTGAGGTGCGCTTTTTTTAACAAAAGTTTTTCACCCATCCATCGGTTTCAACATTTGATCGCGTTCCCTTTCAACTGACCGGTAAGTTGTTATTTTTGTATGGAATGTAGTGATTGAGGAACGAATCGCGCGCTTCGCGCGGCGCCCCTCCGGCCGTCGTCGTCGTCGTCACGGCTTGCTGTAAAACCCTTTCGCCTCCGCGGCGTCTAGTAAATTCCGCCGCTTCGCCGCTCTCGCCTTGGTCGCGTCAGACTCCGCGTTGTTCACGAGCACGAGCCACTCCTCCTCCTCGGTCTCCGCCTGATGAGGGTAATTCCAAACAAAGCGACGTCGGGGCGGAGTCGAAAGGCGTCAGAAGCGGAGTTGAAACGCATCGAGGTCGAGCGTTGAAACCGAGGGACCCTGGGCGGAGAGATACGCAACGCGCGCGGGAAAAGAAATAAACGCCTTGATAAGGAACGGCGTGCACCGCGCGTGCGCGGTCGTAATATACGGGACCAGCCACTCTGCGATACCGAAACGGAACGCGCCTTCGTCAGCGCCGCGACGAGCTTCTCGCGGCCCTTCTCCGGCAACGAAGCGATCCACGCTTCCATCGCGGACTCGAGCTTCGCGTCCACGTCAGCTGATGTGGATGGTGCTGACTCAGCAGACGCGGCGGGCGCGCTGGGCGCGGCGCCGCCGCCCTGCGTCGCCTTCCACGCGTCGATCCACCGCTGCGCCTCTTCCATGTTCAGCTCGAACGCGGCCTCCGCCTCGGGCGCGGGCGCGTCCGCCTCCGCCGCGGCGGGCGCCGCCTGCGTCGCTTTCCAGCTGTCGATCCATCTCTGCGCTTCCTCCATGTTCAGCTCGAAGAGGTCGTCGGTCGCGGTCGCGGTCGCGGTCGACGACGACGCCTCCGCGGGCGTCGCCTTCGCCGCGGGCGGGCGCGCGGCCTCGTGCGCCGCCCTCGCCGCCGCCTCGGCCGCGGCGTCGTTCTCGTCGTAGAAGCGAAACGTGACGCTCCCGTCCGCGCCCTGCTCTTCGAAGTGTCCCATCCCGCGCGCGAGGACGGCGCGCGAGGACGACGATGCCGATGATAATCGCGTCCGTCCCGCGCTTTTCGACGATCCGCGGATCGACGGCGCGGCGGCGCGGCGGGGGACGACCGCGCGGCGGACGCCCGCCGCGGGCGCGGAGACGCGCGTGACGCTCGCGATCGTGAATGCCATGGCGCGAGATGAGGGTCGGCTCGCCGGCGCGGGGGCCGAATGCGCGCGCCCGATGGCAGATCGATCTTCCTCCCCCTGCTACCTGCAGTGAGTTGGCACACCGACCGGGCACTTTTGAAGTCGCGCTCGCGGTCGTCGTCTCTCCGTTTCCGACGAAAGGAGTGATGCCTGCCGTTCGCGGTGCGTCCCCAGACGCGAGCGCGCGGCCACGCGAGCGCGCCCTTCAACGCTCCGCCGCCCGCGGCGTTCGACGCGCCGCGAACGCAGCCCGCATGGCGCGACGCTGAGCGTCGAGCGACGACCTCGGACCGCCGCTCGCGCGTCGCCGACCGACGGCGAGGATCGAGTAGAGAGCGAGGGCGCCGCGAGAGCGAGATCTCGCGCGACTGGATCGATCGATGTTCCACGGCCCCGAGCCGGCGGCGTCGCCGGCGTCGCCGTCGATGCTCCGCGGCCCGGAGGCGCCCTCCTCGCCCGCGGCCGCGGACCGCGGCGTCGCGTCGGCGGCGCCGGCGCTCCCGCCGCCGAGAGGCGCCGCCGCCGCCGTCGCCGCCGCGACGCCCCCGAGCGGCGCGTTCGGCGGCGTCGGCGACCTCGACGCCCTCGACGCCCTCGACGACGACGACGACGACCCGGGCACTCCCGCGCGCGCGGCCGCGACCGCGCCGCCGCCGCCGCCGCCGCCGTCCTCCGCGACGGCGGGCGGCGGCATCGCCGCGCGCGCGCGTCTCTCCGCGTCGTCCTCCGCGATCGCGCCGACGCGCGCGTCCATCGTCGACGCGCTCGCGCCGACGGAGCTGTCGCTGTCGTCGCGTTGGCGCCGTCGCGGATGCGGCGGCGGCGCTTCCGCGTCGTCGCCGTCGCCGTCGCCGTCGCCGTCCGCGCGACCGGGCGTCGTCGTCGGGCGCGGGCTCGTCAACCTCGGGAACTCGTGCTTCCTGAACGCGATTCTCCAGGCGCTGACGCACACGACGCCGCTGTTGGAGTTGTGCCGCGTCGGCGCGCACGGACGGTCGTGCGCGCTCAGGCGCGTTCTCCTCACGCCGGTTCCCGTACGACCGCGTCGGCGCGGTGAACGCCGTTCCTTAGGGACTTTCTCGCCCGGCGTCTCTCTCCGCCCAGGGTCCCTCGCGTTGTTCAATCCCCGCCCGCGTTGCCTTTCAACTCCGCTTCTGACGCCTTTGAACTCCACCCCGACGTCGCCGCACGGAACGGAACGGCTCCAGGACGGCGGGGCGGAAGTGCGCGTTTTGCGTCATCGAGCGGCACGTCGCGGAGGCGGCTAATGCGGCGGCGGAGTCGTCGGAGGAGGATGAAGTGCACCGTATACACGGCGGCGGTTGCAGTAGGACCCAGGTAAGTAACGTATCAGGGTGGGGCGTTACTTCGAACAACACCTGGACCGGCGGATACGGGCACGCGTACGGGTACGGCGGCGGGTGGAACGCGAACGGGCGCGGGTGGAACGCGACGTCGACGTCGACGTCGACGCACGCCGCCGCCGCCGCCGCGCCGGTGTCCCCGCGAGAGGTCTTCGGGAACCTCCACCTCCTCGCGCGGCACTTCACGCGCGGCCGGCAAGAAGACGCGCACGAGCTCTTGCGTCTGTGCCTGGAGAGCATGGACGAGAGTTGCCTCCTCAACGCGGGGCGCGCGGTCCACGGCGGCTCGGGGTCGGGGTCGGGGTCGGGGTCGACGCACTCGACGCGCCCGTCGCCGCACGCGGCGTGCGGCCCGCGGCGATCGAAGCCGCCGACGGTCGTGGAGCGCATCTTTCAGGGCGCGTTCCGGAACCAGGTCAAGTGCGGCGCGTGCGGCGCGAAGAGTAACGCGTACGATCCTTTCCTCGACGTGTCTCTGGAGCTCCCGAGGAGGGTCCACCGCGTGCGAGACGCGCTCGAGCTGTTCACGAAGGAGGAGACGCTGGAGGGCGAGAACGCGTACAAGTGCGAGGCGTGCGACGCGCTGCGGCCGGCGACGAAGCGGCTCACGATTCACGAGGCGCCCGCGGTGCTCGTGATACACCTGAAGCGGTTCGACCTCTTCGGCGGGAAAATCTCGCGACCGGTGGCGTTCGACGACGTCGTGGAGCTCTCCGGGCACATGTCCGATACCGCGGTGGAGTCGCGCGGGCCGCGGTACCGTCTGTACGCGATGGTCGTCCACGCTGGGAGCAGCGTCGGGTGCGGGCACTACTACGCGTACGCGCGCGCGAGCGGCGGCGGCGGCGGCGGCGGCGGCGCGGCGGCGGAGGAAGACTCGTTTTACGGGACCCGATCCTCCGGCGACGACTGGTACCTGTTCGACGACGCCGTGGTTCGACCCGTGAGCGCGCGCGAGGTGTTCGACGACGAGGCGTACGTCTTGTTTTACGAGCGCGACGCGAGCGAGTCGCTGCCGCCGCACGCGATCGCGCCGTTATCCGAATGGGAAGGCGGCGAGGAGGAGGCGACCGAGCCGGCGGCGGCGGCGGCGGCGGCGGCGGCTGCGCCGGAGCCGGCGGCGCCGCCGTCGCCGCCGCGGGTACCCACCCGCGCGACGCCCGCGGAGGCGAGCCTCGGTCGCAGAAAACGCGCGACGGCGTCTCCCGCGCCCGCGCCCGCGCCCGCGCCCGCGAACGCGACCGGGTGGAGGCTCACGGGATACGAGAGCGAAGAGGGAGAAGAGCGCGAGGAGGAGGAGGAGGAGGAGGAGGAGGGCGGCGAAAGTATGCCCTCGGTCAACCCGCGCGCGAAATCGCTCGACGGCGGCGGCGGCGTGAAGCGAGGGGCCGACGGCGACGCCGTCGCCGACGGGTGGGCGACGACCTACCCCGCGAAGCGCCGCGCGCGCATCGGGTGCATGGGGAACTTCGCGCCGGTTCGGATCGCGAAGCGGTTCCAGCGGAAGAACAAGACGGCTCCGGCGGCGGCGGCGGCGGCGGCGGGAGCGGCGTCGGGGGGGGGCGACGACGACGACGACGACGACGACGACGACGGCGCGCGGGCGTGAACGACGATAGACGAATAGCGCGAACGAACGCTTCGACGACGCGAGGCGACGATCGATCGATTGATTTTTTGTAACGAGCACGACGAGACGGTTACAGCACGCCGCGGGGGGGCGGGGCTCGGTTCGAGCGAGATTCCCTGCACTCTCGGCGAACGAAAGGAATGATCCATTTTTTCAAGTCTCGTCAGCGTTCGTCGGCGGGGTGGCGGCTGGCGTGTGTCTTCACACGTCGGACGCGCGAGCGGTCGCGGCGTGAAGCGCATCGCGCGACCTCGCGGTCGTCGCCCTCGCGTCCGTCTTCCACCCGCGTATCTTCCCTCCGCGCGCGTCGTTCGTCGCGTCTCGCGTCTCGCGCGCGTCGACGACCGAACGCCAGCCGCGTCTTGGCCGAGAAAAGACTCTAAAAACAGCGACAATAATTGTTCGCGGCAACGCGTCTTAGGGAGAGATAGAGACAGAGAAGCGCGGGATGTCGTCCGGGACGGACCTTCCGACGTTGACCGAGGGCGTCCCCGCGCTGAACATCCCCCCGCGCCCGGACTCCCCGGGGAGCGGCGGGAGCGGGACGCCGCCGAGCGGCGGCAAGCACGCCGGGCAGATGCTGACGAGCAGCGGCGCCGCCGCCGGGTCCGCGTCCGACGTGACCTGGGCGTCGACGAACAACCTCACGGAGCTCGTCGCGCCGCCCTCGGGCGCGTCCATCTTCGGTGCGTCTTCCCGCGCGTCCCTCCGGGCCCCGCGACCCGCGACGCGACGCGACGCGACGCGCCCGGCGGCGGCGCCGGCGTCTCGGACGAGATGACCCGAATTGGCGTCGCGGTCGACGGCAACGATTAGTATCCATCTTTTCCCCGCCCGCCAGACCCCTCTCGTCCCTTCCCGCGTCCATCCCATCGCGCGCCGACTGACGACCTCCCGCGACCTCCCTCCCGCGACGAACGCAACGACGACAGACTCGGTGCCGATGGACAGCGGCAGCGAGGACGACCGAGACAGCAACCGGCCGGGGACGTACGAGTTCCTCAAATACAACCAACGGCATCTCACGTCGGAGATTTTGTTTTGCTCCTCCATGGGTAACCTGCGACGACTCAAGATGGTTCTCACGCGCGCGGGGAAGACGATCAGGGACGAGCCGTACTCTGACTACGACCGCAGGACGCCTTTACACGTCGCCGCGAGCGACGGATCCGTGATGGTCACGAACTGGCTCATAGAGCAAAAGGTGGACCTGAACCCGCTCGATCGATGGGGAATGACCCCGCTCGAGGGCGCGGTGTTCGGCGATCATCAGGACATCGTCGCGATGTTACAAAAAGCCGGGGGTCTGATCAAAGACCGCGGGACCGGGCAGTTGATCCCGTTGGAGGAGTCGCACGTCGCCGGCGCGGACGCGAGCAACAACGCCGTCCTGGTGAGACTCGCTCGCCGCTTCCCGCGCGACAAAAAAAAACGAACCTTTTCGCGCGTCGAACGCCGTGTCCCAACACCCACCACACGTTTCGCCACGTCACCGAATCTGATAACACGCTGACCAATCAATCCAATCCACCCCCGCAGACCCCGGAGCTCATGGCGTGGGAGATCCCCGACGACGAGCTCAGCGAACGTACCGAGATCGGCGCGGGCGCGTTCGGGGTCGTCATGCGCACGCGGTGGCGCGGAACGATCATCGCGATGAAGCAGCTGCATCGGCATTTACACCACGACGAGGTCGCCAAGGCGGAGTTCAGGACGGAGCTGAAGCTCATGCGTCAGTTGCATCATCCGCACATCGTGCAGTTCCTCGGGACGTCCATCGAGACGGACACCGGGCTGGTGTCGCTATGCTTCGAGTTCATGCACGCGGGGTCGTTGGACCAGCTGTTCCGCAAGTCGGAGGTCCCGCTCTCCCTCGGCGTCGCGCTCGAGATGGCCCTGGACGTCGCGCGAGGGATGAGCTACCTCCACGGTCGGAAACCCCTTCCGGTGATTCACCGCGATTTGAAGCCGGGCAACTTGATGTTGACGCGAGCGATGCGGCTCAAGATTGGCGATTTCGGTCTGTCCAAGACCCTGTCCGTGCGCAACAAGATGCCGCAGGACGTGGACACGAACTTCACGATGACGGGCGAGACCGGGTCGTACCGGTACATGGCGCCGGAGGTTTTCCGGCACGAATTTTACGGCCCCGCCGTGGACGTCTACGCCGCGTCCATGATTTTCTACCAACTCTTTTGCTTCCAGCAGCCGTTCGCGGGGTTAAATCCGGTCGACGCCGCGAAGATGGCGTCCGCGGAGGCTCTGCGCCCCACGCTCGCGCAAGGGTTGATGCCCCCGGAGCTGTCGAGGATCGTGCGGAGCATGTGGAACCCGGACGACATGGCGCGGCCGACGTTTGTGAATCTGATCGATCAGCTCGAGCCGTTGGCGACGTGGTATCAAGACGAGGAGGCGAAAAACGCGGGCGGGGGGAAGTGCTGCGTCGTGTCGTAGACGGACGCGGACGCGAGCGGGCTGCGCTCGTTACTTACATATTACGCACATATTACTTACCGAAGAGACGCTGGGGTATATTAGCCCCGGCCTGATGTTGTTGTATTACGCGCGGAGGGGAGAGGAGAGAAGAGGAGAGGGAGAGGGAGGAGGGGAGAATCAATCATTCGCCGTAATAATCAATCATTCGCCGCTCGTCGTGGATATTTTACAGACTCGTTCAATGATCGCGCGCCACCGTTCCGTCACGTTCACGTTCGCGTTCAAATTCGCGTTCAAACTCACGACGTCCCGGTCAACACCTTCATCACCGCGGCTTGAACGCCGCCGCCGCCGAGCCCCTCCGGCAGCGTCACCACGAACCGATTCTCCGCGACGCCCTCCCCCGTCGTCTCCACCGAAGCGCTCACGACGTGCGCGTCCAACGCGTTCAACGCTTTCAAGATCGAAACCAGCAGCCCCTTTCGATCCGTGCATCTCAGCGCGACGACCGCGCACTTCCCGGACTTGGTCAGCGAGCTGTCCACGACGGTCACGCACACGGAGGGCTCCACGACGCGGTCTTTCGAGTTGACGTAGGAAGCCTCCTTCGGCGTCGAATACGACCACTGCTCGATCGCCGCCTCCATCACCAGACGCTCGACCTTCTCGATCATCGTACCGCAGACGCCGCCGTCGCCGTCGACGAAGCACACGTCGTCCGCGAAGTCGTGCCCGAAGTCGTCGCTGAGCTTGATCGTGAACTTGTCGTCGGCCGACTCGTCGGCGGTTTTGACCTCTGAAGAAGCGAGCCGCGCGGACGGAGAACGCGATGGGATCGGTCAGCGACGCGGCGTTCGTGGATGACGTGGCGGTGTATGGACCGCGAATTAGGTCATAGTAGGTAGAGAATACGATACGTGGATATATGCGTGCGTGCGTGCGTCGAAATGGGTATCCGCGTAAAGCCGCCCGCGCACCCGCGGCGGCGACGAGAAATTTGGCGTCGGTGAGCGCCGCGACGACGTCGGCGCACAAGCCGGGTCTGTCGGGCGCGACGACGCGCACGACGGCGGTCTTCGCGTCCACGACGTCCACCTTGACGGACGCGTGCTCGCTCCCGAAGCTGGTGGTCGCATTGGGGTTTGAATTTGGTCGAGGAGGAGGAGGGAAGGAGGTCAGACGACGACGACGACGACGACGAGAGGGCACGTAATGATGAGAATACAAAATAACGCGAGAGCGTGTTTCCGCCAAGCCAGCCAGCCGGGTCTGGAGGTTGGCGATCGACGCGATGGACGCGTCGCCGCGGGAGCCGCCGCGGCGTCGACGCGCGAACGCGAGAGAACCGAGACGAGAGGGGTCGCGCACTCGAGCTCGAGGACGCCGAGCTCCTCGGCCTCGTCCCAGGACAGCTCCGCGCCGCGCGCGATCGTCGAGCGGCGCGGCGGGCGCGGACGCGTCGCGACGCGGACGATTTCGCGCGACGACGACGACGAGATCTGCGGACGCGTCGTCGTCGCGTTCCTTCGAGGCGCCGCGGACGCGACGACGGCGGCGCACCGCGCGACGACGCGCGCGGAGGTCATGACGGGGAGAAGAGGGACGGGGAACGGCGCGAGGCGGCGAACCGCGGCTCGACTTGTGGACGCCGCGCGCCGCGGCGCGTCGATCGCGTCCTCCTCGCCGGACGATCGATGTCCTTTTCACCTCTTTTACGCGCGAAGAGACGGCAACGCGCTCGGCACCGCGTCGACGGTTGACCGTGGCCGACCCGCGTCAAAGTTGCGGCGCCTCGGTGAAAATTCGCGCTGACACCAGATCTCCAAGTTTTCGCTTTCGATTTTCATCGCGGCGAAAATCTCTCGCGGCGAAACCGAGCGAACGCCGAAAAAGCGACCGGCGGCATCGTCCGAGGCGCATCGAAACGAGCGCCGCCCCCGCGCGCACAACGCGCCGCGCGTCCACATCAAACGCAGGTGAGCGTCCCCCGCGACTTTCCCCCGATCGCGCGCGTTCGCGATCCGCGATCGCGTCGGATCTCGCGTCGCGAGATCCGACGCGGCGGCGCGCGCGCCCCGCGCGCCGCGATTGCGCCGACCCGTGGCCCTAGCTCCAGGGTTATCCTAGGGTTAGATTATAGATGGATCGATCGCTCGCGTCGCGAGGCTGACCCCGTCGCGCCCTCCCTCCGCGCTGTTGTCCTGACTTCGTCCTTCTCCCCTCCCCCCCCGCTCGCGTCACATCGCGCGCAGGCGAAAAGTAGATGACCGACTCCACGGACGACGAGGTGCGCGCAGAAGACGCGACGCGCGAATGCGCGCGTTCGTTGGCTCGATCCGCTCGAGGCTCCAAGATTCGTTCGTTCGCACGCGCTTCGTTCGATCGTCGAGGCTCTTGAGGTTCTCATCGTCGTTTCACGTTCGCTCGCCCACCACTCCTGACCCCCCGCCCCATCCCCCCTCGCCGCATCCCCCAGGAGTACGAGTACGACGAGACCGGGTCCACGAGCGAGCAGTACAGCGACGACTACGGGAACGACCTGTCCTCCGCGAGCGACGCGAGCGAACGCGACGACGCGAGCTCGGATTCAGGCGCGTTCTATACACTAGTCCCCATACGACCCCGTTCGCGAGGTGGACGCCGATCCTTAAGGACTTTTCCCGGCGCATCTCTTCGCCCACGCCTCGCTTTCAATCCCCGCCCTCGGCGCCTTTCAACTTCAACTGACGCCTTTGAACTCCACCCCGACGTTCGCTCGTACGGAACGACCCTCAGGCGACGCGCCGGTAGGCTCTTCCTCCGCCGCGCGCCCGCCGCCGCCTCCGGCCGCCGCGCGCCCGCCGCATCAAGCGGCGTCGCCGACGCGGCTCCAAGCGACCGCGCCTCCGTACCGGCCCCCCGGCGCGCGACCGATCGCGATGTCGAGCTCGGACGAAGACGAGACGAACTCGTCGTACGCGCCGCCTCCGGCGGCGGCGCCGACGCCCCCCGCGGCGCCGACGCCCGCCGCGGCGCCCCCCGCGGCGCCGACGCCCGCCGCGGCGCCCCCCGCGGCGCCGACGCCGGTCGCCGCCGCCGCCGCCGCCTCTGGCGGGGCGGTCGTCGCGGCGTCGTCCGTCGTGCCGCCGCCGCCGGAGGAGGAGGAGCCTGCGATCGATCCCGACGATAAAGACGCGAAGATGACCGCGGACCTCCAGAAGCTGCGCGTCAACCTTCTTCGCATCGCGACGCGGTTCGGGCAGTCCCCGCGGAACACCGTCGTCGCGCAGGTCATCTACCGCCTCGAGCTCGCGGAGCAGCTCAAGAGCGGAAAGAAAGCCGCGGGCGCGGGCATGGGCCGCGGGCAGACGAGCTCGTTCGACAAAGCCGTGCTCGCCGCCGAGGCGGCGGAGCGCCGAGAAGGCGTCGACTCGGACCTCGGGTTCACGTGCACGATCCTCCTCCTCGGGAAGTCCGGCGTCGGGAAGTCCTCCACGATCAACTCGCTGCTCGGCCGCGACTCCGCGACGGCGTCCGCGTTCGACGCGGAGACCAAGTCGGTGCGCGTCATCGAGCACAAGATGCACGGCATGACGCTCCGCCTCATCGACACCCCCGGGCTGCAGCCGTCCGCGTCGGACATCCAGTACAACTCGAGGATCATGGGCGAGGCGAAGCGCTTCACGAAGAAGCACAAGCCGGACATCGTGCTGTATTTCGATCGCATGGACCAGCCCGCGCGGACGGACGCCGCGGACCTGCCGCTGCTGAAGACCATCACGTCCACGTTCGGCGCCGCGGTGTGGTTCAACGCCATCGTCGTGCTCACGCACGGCTCCTCCGCGCCGCCGGACGGTCAAAACGGGCAGCCCATCTCGTACGAGATGTATTTCGCGCAGCGGTCACACGTCGTGCAGCAGATCATCCGCCAAGCCGCGGGGGACCCGAGGTTGATGAACCCGGTGGCGCTCGCGGAGAACCATCCGATGTGCCGCACGAACCGCGAGGGCGAACGCGTCTTGCCGAACGGCCAGGTGTGGATGCCTCAGCTTTTGCTGCTGTGCTTCGCGTCGAAGATCCTCACCGAGGCGAACGCGCTGCTGAACCTTCAGGAGCAAAACGCCAAGGCTGCGAAAGCCGCGGCGCAGCAACAGAAGGTGCCGCCGCTGCCGTTTTTGCTCTCGTCGCTCATCACGTCGAGGAAGCCGCTGAAACTCGAAGGCGGCGACGACGAGGACTACGACGAGGCCGAGGACGTCATCCTCGGCGCGCCGTCGCCGTACGACGTCCCGAAGGACCAGCAGGAGGAGCTCATCCCGCCGAAGCAAGTCGCGGTGCCGGCGCCCGACCCGGCGCTCCCGCCGTCGTTCGACGGGGATAACCCGAGCCACCGCTACAGGTTCCTCGAGCCGCAGTCGCAGTGGATGGTGCGACCGATCGTGGAGGCGCACGGGTGGGACCACGAGTCCGGGATCGAGGGCTTCAGCGTCGACAAAGGGTTCGTGCTCCGCAACTCCATCCCCGGGCAGATGTCCGGGCAACTCACGAAGGATAAGAAGGACTCCAACGTCGGCTTCGAGGGGCAGATCTCTATTCCGCACACCAAGAAGCTCGTCACGACCACCGGCGTGGATATCCAGACCGTGGGCAAGCAGCTCGCGTACACCGCGCGCGGGGAGACGCGATGGAAGTTCTGCGCCGTGAACAAGATCGCGGCGGGTCTCTCCGCGTCCATCGTCGGCGGCGCGCTCGCTCTCGGGACCAAGCTCGAGAATCGATGGAAGGTGACCCCCGGCGCGAAGCTCATCGTCTCCGCCGGCGCCGTCAGCGCCAACAAAGACGTCGCGTACGGCGGCAACTGCGAAGCGCAGATCAAGCACTCGGACGACCCGTCGAACCCGAACTCGAGCACCGTGGGGATGAGTTTCATGAACTGGCGCGGGGACGTCGCGCTCGGCGGGAACGCGATGTCGTCGGTGACGCTCGGGAAGGACACGCAGCTGACGGCGAGGGCGAATCTGAACTCGCGCGGGGCGGGGCAGCTGACGCTCAGGGCGACGACGAACGAGCGGTTGCAGCTCGCGGGGCTCGGGTTGGTGCCGCTCCTGTGCGCGCTCATCGGACGCGTCAGGGGAGACTGACGTGATGAGATTGAATCGAAGGAACAAACGGGAGGAAGGGAAATGCAGTACAAACACACAACACGAAACTCACGACGTCGCGCGCGAAGCGCGACGACGCGGGGTGATCCGAGCTCTTGTAATACGAAGAGACGACGCCGCGCGGCTCGATGTACACGCTCTCTCTTTCGCGACGCGTCCGAGCGTCCGTTCGAATCCTTTCTATGGGATACAATCTCTCTACTAGCTAAGATACCTTCGTAGTAGTCTATTCTCTCCTTTTCACGCGTCGTCGACGCTGCCGCCGACGCCGACGACTTCCCCCCCCCCGCCGCGCGCGACCTCGTTCGCGCTCGCCTCTTTCGCGCGCTCCAGCTCCCTGCGGAACCGCGCCATGCTCTTCGCGGTCAAGTTCACCGTGAACGACGCGATCCGATCGCCCGCCTCCCCCGCGAAGACGTGCACCGTCGGAAGCTTACGCACTCCCATCGCGTCGCACAGCTCCGGGAGCTCCTCCATTCTCACCCTCAGGAACGTCACGTCCGGGTGCTCGTCGCGCGCCATCTTGTTGAGCTTCGGGTGTAAGCTTCGGCACCCGCCGCACCACCCCGCGAAGTACTCGACGACGACGACGCTCGAGGAGGAGGAGGAGGAGGAGGAGGAGGAGGAGGAGGAGACGCGGGAGGCGTCCGATTCCGAAGCCGATCCCCCCGCGCCCCTCCTTAAGCTTATCCCTCCGCGCGCGGCGTCCTTCAAGCGCGATAGGAAGTCCTCGTTCGACGCGACGTGATGCACGTTCGGCGGGTTCGGCTCTTTCAACCACCACGCGGTGACGCGCGAGCCGTTCGGGAGCGCCACGAGCGAGTTCGCGAGGTCCGCCGGCGCGGTGGGAATCTCGCACGGGGCGGCGGCGGCCTCGGCGCAGGGCGTCGACGGCGCGGCGTCGGCGTCGGCGACCGCCTCCTCCACCGCCGGCGACGCGATCGCGTTCGCCGCGGCGTCCTGGAAGTTTTTCTTCGCGCCCGCGCCGAAGCCGGCGCCGCGGTGGTGCGGCGCGCGACGGGGGGGGGTCGCGCCGGAGGACGCCGCGTTCGCGCGCGCTCGGCATCCGCGGCCTCCTTTCAGCGAGCGCCGCTCCGCCAGCTTCGTTTTTATCGGCGGCGCTCGCGCGGCCGCGGCGCTCGCGCGCGGCGCGAACATCGTATCCGCGACGCGAACGCTCGCGCGATCGCGATGCGAGGACCTCGCGACTCCGTGGGCGCGCCGCGTGCCGCGCGCGCGTGGAGTGATCCGCGCGTCGCGTGCTGCTGAGTCACGGTGTGCCACGTCTTTTTCTGCGTCCGGTTGCTTTCTGCCTTTGAAAATTGGCCAATCACGATTCGCCGTCGACCCGCCATCCTGAGTTCTGAACCGTCGTTTTCGGCGGGAGACCGTTCAAACCAGAGAAAAAACAAAGGCGCGGACTTCGGCTCGCGTTCGAAATTTTAACACTGTTCCAGTCTCGCGGGTCCAGTCAGGTCGAACGACTGATATTTAGACATGCAAAGCTAAGGAGAAACACCCCCCATCCCATCCCATCCCATCCCATCGCTCCCTCGCGATCTCTGATCCCACCCCACCGCGCCGTTGGAACGCGCGCGCGCGACGCCGCGTCGGCTGTTACCGTCGCCGCCGCGTCGTCGCGCGCGAAACCGAACCCGACGGCGAAAAAATGATCCTCCGTCGTCGCTTCCCTCTACGCCTTCTTCTCGCCGACGTAGAGGTAGTGCGTGGGGTAGTACGGCGTGTACGGCACCCGACTCTCCTCCTCGCTGTACCACACCTCCTCCATGTCCTCTCGGCTTCGCAGCCAGTCGGCGTGCGCGCGGTTGAAGTAGACGCCGTCCATGGCGAACCACCACTTATACAGCCTCTGATCCCACCGCTGATCGACGCCGTCGCGGGTGATGAAGTCGATCAGCGCGAGGTTCCCCCCAGGCTTGACGAGATCTTTCATCGTCGCGAGCGCTTTCTCCCACTCGGGAACCATCGTGAGGCAGTACGAACACGTCACGAGATCCGCCTGCTTCGGGAGCTTCTTACGAACCGCGGGGGACATGAAATCGCCCTCGACGAGGACGACGCGCGACGCGAGCCCGAGCTCTATAACCCTCGCGCGCGCCATGTCCAGCAGCGCGTCCGAGAGGTCGCAGAGATACACCTTGGTCTTCGCCGCGATCACGTGATCGACGACAAACTCGAGATCTCGTGCCGTGCCGCAACCCACGCTGATCCACGTCTTGGGGCGCTTCACCCACGGCACCGCGTGCTGCATGAGCAGATCGCGCCCGGGGAGGAGCGCCTCGCGGAAGCCGTCGTAGCGCGTGCCCTGAGACTTGTAGAACGCTTTCACGTCCTTCTTGGAGGATAACCCTTGCTTCGCCATCGCCGCCATCACCGCGACGTCGTCGTAGAAGGAATTTCTCGGCGTGTTCCCCGTGCCTTTGCACTCGAGCATCGTTGGGTCGTACGGCTCGAAATTCGGGACGGATTGGATGAACTGCGTGAGGTACCACCCGACGCGGTCGTACGTCGGCACGAGCTCGCCTTTGAGGTGCGCGAGGACTGGGGAGTGCACGCGGTCCGCGAAGGACCGCCAAAAGATTCGGCCGTTCTTCTTGTCCATGTTCGCGACGACTTTGCCGATGTTCTCCGCGATCATCGACGGCGGCATCCAGTCCATGGAGTCCAGAAGCGACGCGATCGTGATCGACCCGGGGCCTTCCTCGACCGCGGCTTCCGCCCAGGTGCCGTGGTACACCTTCACGCGATCGACGCGTTGTTTCATGATGGCGAAATTTTTCTTCTCGAGATAGCGCGGGCAGCAGTCCGGCGCGAACTCGCCGACGATGTACCCGTAGTAAAAGTAGTTGTTCGGCTTCCAAATCCGCGTGGTGAGGACCTCGACGAGCCTGTCCACGAACACCTGCGGGTTCCTCGACAGGAGGTTGAGCTGCTCGAGCGGCACGCCTCCGAGCGGCGCGAAGATGGACCACAGAGACGTGATGGAGCAAATCTTCAGCGTGAGCTGGAAGAAGAACCCGCCGCCGCCGGTGAACTCCTCGCGGTTCTTCACTTTCTCGCGGACGCCGGACCAAATCAGCGGCATGCACAGAATCTTCGCCATGAGCCCGGACGTCCCCGCGTACATGAAGTTATCGCGGAACAAATTATGGTTCTGATCCCAGAACTCCGCCGTCTCCGGCTCCAGCAGCGGTCGAAGCTTCTTCGCGTACACCTTCTTGAACACCTCGAAATCGGAGCGGCCCCAGATGGCGAAGAACTGGTCCCACGTCAGCGCGCGAATCCCCGCGAGCTTGAGCTCCAGGACGTGCAGCTGCGCCCAGTTCATGTCCACGGCGATGATCTTCTTCGGGCCCTCGCACAGGTAATCCAGGACGTTGCACCCCGCGCTTGAGATGGTGAGCACGGTGTCCTCCGGGGTCATGTGCATCACCGTGTGATCGATCGCGGGGTCCTCCCACGAGATGTTGTAGATGATCTTCTTCCGTCCGATGGACGTCATGATGAAGTTTTGCGTGTAGACGTCGTGCACGACGACGCCCATGCGGTACAGAAAGTAGACGAACACCAGCGCGTACAAAATCGCAGCCGGGGAGGTGAAATCGCCCAGCACGTTCGCGCACATGTCGTACGTGACGAACGCGTGCGTCGCGATTTGCGTCGTCAGCATCGCGGTGAAGACGCGGAGCTTGGAGCGGAAGCTCATCCTCGCGCGACCGTGCGATCGCATGAGGTACCCCCTGACCCAGCCTTGGAACACGTCGACGTGCCAGAGGAGCAGCCCGAGGCCGGCGACGAACACGAACGTGCTCTGCTTCGCGGCTTTGTAGATGAGCATCGTGTGAAAGATGACGCGCGTGAGGAAGTAGAGCACGCCGAAGAGCAGCGACGGACGCTGCTTGTTTTGCACCTCGAAGATGGACAGCACGATGATCGGAAGCTCTTCCACGAGCGCGATCGCGAACAGCGGCGTCATGTTGTTGTGAAGCAAGTACGCGAGGATGACGATGTACAAAAAGTGATGCGTCCATCCGTCGTCGAATGTGATGAAGGTCCCGTAGTGGAGCGTGCCGAGCGCGAGGTCCATGATGCAGTAAGCGGTGAAAAATATGGCGAGATACCTGTGGGGTGAAGCGATCGGTCAGTCGAACGTCTTACCGGTCAAACGTTCAAAGGGAAGCGCGGGTGAAGGGTGACGACGGGAAAAGTCCTTAAGGAACGGCGTTCACCACGCGAACGGGGTCGTATGGGGAGCAGTCTCGCACCGCGTGATGTCGTCTTCGCGAACGAGCACGGCGGTGAATCCGTCCAGGCACACGTGGTAGAGCATGTAGAGCCCGAAGAAGGACGTCACGCCGCTGGAGTACAGCGTGAGGTACCACGAGTGATCCGGGACGCGGAGGAGACGCATGAAGTAGTAGAACAGGACGCATCCGACGCAGTTCAGACCGAGGATCGCGAAGTCTTCCTGGGAGAACTTCACGTTCTCGGTGACGAACGCGGTGAAGCGTTCGAGGATCGCTTCGGCCATCGGCGGCGGCGGCGCGGGAGCTTTACTACCGAACGGCATGACGCCTGCGTCGACGACGGGGTCGCGGGTGGAACGACGGGGGAGGGGGGATGAGGAAGGCGTCAGACGTCGTCGGACGGGCGCGAGGACGCGCGATCTCGCGACGGAGGAGCGAGGACGACGGGAAAAGACGCGAGGCGTCTTCGCGCCCATTTTTTTTCGGCGGAAGATGCGACGGAGCGTCGGCGACGGCGACGACGCGCTCGATCGCGCTCGATCCCGCGGAGGAGACGACGCGACGAGGACGCCAGCGACGACGTCGCGCGCGGCGTCGCGTCGAAGGGAGCGCGAGCGCGATGGAAACGACGCGAACGACGCGCGCGCGAGCGACGCATCGCGAGCGAGACGACGGACGAGAGCCGCCTCCGTCCGTTCGAGGCGCCAGATCCATCGATCGCGATCTATCGCCGCGCGCCGAGCCGAGCGGGGAGAGCGCGCGCCGCGACGCACCTCGCGCGTCGCCCGGTCGCGCCGCGAACGACGCTCACCCGTATGTCGTGAACGGAGAAGGAACAGCGATCGACGACGCCGCGTCCTCTCTCTCACGCGGTCGCGCTGCGCGTTGTGTCGGCGGCCCGCGACGCGCGATCGGACCGAGCGAGTAGCGTTTCCCGCCGAGGTGGACCATCGGTGGGCTGTGATTGCTCGCGAGCGTTCGGGGTCGATCGAAAGGGACGACGGGCGCGTGCTTCAGTTTCAAGTGCCGTCCGCGCGGGGTCGATCGTGCCTTTCAAAATAAGGGTTCATCGGTCAGCCCTCGAGCGCCGGACAGAAAGGCGCTCGAGAAATTAATAAATTGGATGACGCGAGCGCCCGCCGCTTGCGCTTTCCGCGACGTTAAAGCAGTTCGGCGGCGCGCGGCGGCGACGATGGCGACGCCGGCGGTCGCGTGCCTGAACAGCGCGCGGCTCGCGCTCTCGCGCGGGCATCGAAGAGCGTCGCGCGCGGATTCGCCGCGCGCGGCGAGCGCGGTCGCGACGCCCGCGCGGCCGCGCCCCGGCGACCGCGCGCGGCGCGCGCCGATTCGAGGCGAACTTCGCGCGTGGGCGCCCGTCACGATCCCACCGCGCGACGGCGGCGCGACGTTCGCGACGCCGCACGAGATGATGGGGTACTTCTCCGGCGTCCTGAAAGACGCGAAGCTGTGCCGGTACCTGGACGGCGAGGCGCGCGACGCGGTCGCGAGCGTGTTGCGCGCGCACCCGGACGCGTCTCGGAAGATGGGACGCGGCGCCCCGCGCGGGTTCCAAGTCCGACAGGACCCGGAGAAAGGGTACCGATACTTCGTCGTGATTCGCGAGGACGGCACCGCGGAAGACTTCAGCGTTCGCAAGGGCGTCGACGCGCTGTTCCCGGGGTTCGCGAACGTCAAGCGCAAGGGCAACCAGACGCGGAGGGAGCGACCGGGGGCGGACGGAAACGATGTCAACGCCGCGGCAAATGCTGCCAACTTTTCTTCGCCCTCGTCGGCGGTGGACGTAGCCGTGAACGCGGCGCGCCTGAACCGCGTCATCACCGACTGCGTCTCCGTGGACGAGCTCCTCGAGCTCCTCGCGACCGACCGAGGCGCGCTCGCGCGCTTCGATCACATCCACGTCCCGACCGCGTTCGTGACGCTGAACAGGCTCGCGGCGGCGGCGCCGATGGGGGACGCGTCAGGCGCGTTCTATGTCACACTGGTCCCCATACGACCGCGTTCGCGTGGTGAACGCCGTTCCTTAAGGACTTTTGCCGGCGTCTCTCTCCGCCCAGGGTCCATCGCTTTCAATCCCGACACACCTCGACGCCTTTCAACGCCAACTGACGCCTTTCAACTCCACCCCGACGTTCGCTCGTATGGACCCTCGACCCTCAGGCGCGGTGCGATTAAAGCTCGACGCCGACGAGGGGTTCCGGTCGCTCGTCGTCCTCGCGCGGGTCATGTGCGCGGACGGCCGCCTCGGCGCGCAGGGCCTCTCCAACGTCCTGCACGCGCTCGCGAGCATGCACGCGCGCGGGGTGCTCTCCGTGGACGGCGACGCGACGAACCTCCGCGGGTTGGTCGCGGCTCTGGAGCGCGCGACGCCGCGGCTATCGAAAAAGATGACGTCGCAAGCCGCCGCGAACGCCATCTGGGCGCTCGCGACGATGCGATGGGAGCTCGGCGCGGACGCGTGGGACGCGCTCGAGGCTGCGGTCGTGCGGCTCGGCGGCGCGCGAGGGTCGATGAACGGCCAGGAGGTGGCGAACGTGCTGTGGGCGTACGCGACTTTCGGGTGGGATCTCGCCGAGGAGACGTGGTCGGCGTTGGACGGCGCCGTCACGAGCGTCGCGGGCGGCGGCGGCGGCGGCGGCGGCACCGAAAACGATAACGGATCAAACGGCTCAGATTCAAGCGTTTCTTCTTCCGGGTACGGCCGGAACCGATTTCCGAAACATTATGACCCGGGGGGGGACGCGCGGACGGCGATGAGCGCGCGCGCCGTCGCCAACGCGCTCTGGGGTTTCGCGACGCTCGGAAGACGCCCGTCCCCCGCGGCGTGGAAAGCGCTCGAGCGAACGATGATCCGAACGTCGGACACGATGAACGCGCACGACGTCTGTAACGTATGGTGGTCGTACGTTACCCTAGAATCCTCGCCGTCGCTTCCCGCGGCGCGGGACGCGTTGGAGGCGGCGACGGCGCGATTGACGCGGACGATGGCCTCGAAGGACGTCGCGAACGTCACCTGGGCGCTCTCCATGCTTCCTCGCGACGCGCCGCCGCCGCAGGAGAGCACGCTGACGGCGATCGAGCGCGCGGAGGTTCGGCTCGCGGGGTCGATGCGCGCGCGCGACGTCGCGAGCGCGCTGCTCGGGCACGCGACGAACGCGGGGCGGCGCCGGCGGCTGTCCACCGCGTCGGGCGCCGACGCGTGGGATTCGTTGTCGGACGCCGTCGGACGTGTCGGACACGAAATGTCGTACGAAGACGTGTCGAACATTCTGTGGGCGCACGCGGTGATCGGCGCGAGCCCGAGCGAGGGCGCGGTGCGCGCGATCGAGCGCGCGATCGTGCGCTTGGGAGGAGGAGGAGGAGGAGGAGGACCGATCGTCGTCGCGCCCAAGGAGACGTCGAACGTCTTCTACGCGTACGCGCGACTGGGGCTCGACCCCGGCGACGACGCGTTGAAAGCGCTCGACGCCGCGGTCGAGACCAGCGCGTCGTCAATGAACGCGCAGGCGTGCTCGATCACGCTGTGGTCCGTCGTCGCGCTCGCGGCGACGCGCGGGACGCGGCTCCCGGGGTGTTACGTCACGCTCTGGGACGCGGCGTCGAAGCTGGACCCCGCGTCGTTTCTCGACGCGAACTGGTGCGCGTTCTTCCACGCGAGCATGATCCACGCGGAGCTCCTCGAGGCGCGCGACGACGGCGACGACGGCGACGACGACGACGACGGCGACGACGGCGACGACGGCGGCGGCGGCGGCGAGATGCGAGCGCTTCTGCGCGCCGCGAGGGCCAACTACCCGGCGTGGCTCGAGGCGCGTTCTATGCACTGGTCCCCATACGACCGCGTTGGCGTGGTGAACGCCGATCCTTAAGGACGTTTGCCGTCGTGTCTCTCCGCCCACCCCTCGCTTTCAATCCCCGTCCTCGACGCCTTTCAACTCCAACTGACGCCTTTCAACTCCACCCCGACATCCAGAGCGACGCGAAGGCGGAGTGGCGAAAAAACGTCCTCGACGACGTCGACGTGTCGCGGCTGCATCTCTCCGCGTCCGCGACGCTCGCGGAGCTCCGCGTCCAGCACGAGATCGAGGTCTTGACCGACGACGAGCTGTTCTCGCTAGACGTGTATTTGCCCGAGCACGATGTCGTGCTCGAGGTGGACGGGCCGTCGCATTACGTCGGCGGCGGACCCGGCGATCACGGACCCGGGGAGCGGCGGAGGTCGCCGAGCACGGAACTCAGGCGCGTTCGTATTCACACTGGTTCCCATACGACCGCGTCGGCGTGGTGGACGCCGATCCTTAAGGACTTTACTTCCCGGCGCATCTCTGCGCCCAGGGTCCCTCGCTTTCAATCCCGACACACCTCGACGCCTTTCAACTCCGCTTCTGACGCATTTCAACTCCACCCCGACGTTCGCTCGTATGGAACGACGCTCAGGGACGCGTTTCTGTCGCGGCGGCACCGGGGGCTGGCGTGCGTGCCGTTCTTCGAGTGGGAGGCGCTCGAGGGCAGGGCGCAGCGCCGGGCGTACCTCGCGGGGAAGTTGCGAGCCGCCGGCGTGGACTTGGATCCGTCACTGGGGGCGTCCTACCCGGAAGAGGCGCGACGAGACGCCTAGCTAGCTACGAAGGTAGTAAGACGTTATCGCTACGACCAGACGCTGTTTTAAATTACGACTGAGCTTTTCAACCGCCGGTCGTCGTCCCTCTCGTCGCCGCCGCGCGCTTCATCAGCTCGTCGTGCACCCACCCCCCGACGATGTTATCCCTGGTAACGAGCCAATGCGCGTAGTGCAAATGCAAACACTTCACCTGGTTTTTATATCGCAGCCCTCCGATGCCGACGTCGCGAATCACGACGTCGAATCCTCTCTCGGTCGCGAACGCCTTGTCCTCCTCCGACAACAGCGACCACCGATGCGATCCGTACGCCTCGTGCTGCCGCGCGAATTCGCGCGCCGCGGCCGCGTCGTACTCCGGATCCTTGTTCACGACCTCCTCATCACTACGCGAGAGGGACCCCGCGGCGATCTCGCGCTCGCGTCTCTCCATCTCGCGCGGCTTGAACCCGAGCGTCTTAGGGTCGTTCCATACGAGCGAACGTCGGGGTGGAGTTGAAAGGCGTCAGTTGAAGTTGAAAGGCGTCGAGGGTGGGTATTGAAACCGAGGGGTGGGCGGAGAGAAACGACGGGCAAAGTCCTTAAGGATCGGCGTCCACCACGCCGACGGGGTCGTATGGGAACCAGTGTATAGAACGCACCTTGTTATACTTCGCCACGAGCCCCTCGTGCTCGAGCTGCCCAACCTGAGTTGAAAGACGTCAGTTGGAGTTGAAAGGCATCGAGAGCGGGTATTGAAACCGAGGTGTGGGCGGAGAGAGACGACGGGCAAAGTCCTTAAGGATCGGCGTTCACCACGCCAACGGGGTCGTATGGGGACCAGTGTATCAGATATAAGATAGAACGCACCTTCGCGACGAGCGTCGGATCCACGAGCCAGAACGTGTTCGGCCACGGCACCGGCGCCTCCCCCGACTTGCTGTCCCACTTCGCGGCGCTGAACCCGGACCCTTTCGCGGCTTTGGACGGGTCGTGCGCGACGCGGAGCGGGTAGCACTCGATCACCGTCGGGAGGTTCAGATGCCGCGTCAGCGGGTGGTCGTCCTCGTCTCCCTGGCGGTGCGCGACGCCCAGGACGATCACCCCCGGGTCGAGCATCTTCGCGTGCTGGTGCGTCGCGAGCCATCTTTTGTCCGCGTCCGAGAAGGGCGTGCGCGCGCGCGCGGGCGACGACATCGGATCGCGCGCGGGGGCGGCGCGGCGAGAAGTGATGACGGTGTGCGTGTCGGAAGAATCGATCGCGTTCCAGTCTCGTCTGCTCGTCGAGCGCGAGCGCGACTCTTCTGTCCGTCAGACGGATCCGCGCGCCGTCGCGCGCCGCCGATGGGCCTCCCGCCGCTCCTCGGCGCCCCACTCCGCCTCGCGCGGCGCGTCATCGGCTTCCCGATGCGCCTCGTGAACCGCGCGCGCGGGATCGGCGGCGGCGCCGCGGACCCGAACCGATGGCTGGTCGTCGGCCTGGGCAACCCCGGATCGAAGTTTACGCGCACGCGTCACAACGCCGGATTCGACGCCGTCTCCCTCCTCGCTTCCGCGCACGGGATGTCCTTCACCGGCGCTTTGAAGCACAGAAGCATGATAGCCACGGGGAAGATCGCGAACGTCCCGGTCGTCCTCGCGATGCCGCAGACGTTCATGAACCTCAGCGGCGAGGCGATCCGCGACGTCCTCCGCTGGTACAAGATCTCTCCAAAAAGAATGCTCGTGCTCTACGACGACATGGACTCCCCGGTCGGGGTCGTCAAGCTGAAAGGCAAGGGCGGCCACGGCGGCCACAACGGCGTGCGGAACATCATCGACGAGGTCACGCGCGGGGAGAAGACGTTCGCGCGCGTGAAGATCGGCATCGGGCGGCCCGCCGCGGGCGTCTCCGTGATCGATCACGTGTTGCGGCGATTCACGGCGGAGGAGCGGGAAGCGTTGGAACGCGGCGAGGTCATGCGGGAGGCTGGGGACGCGGTCGTCGCGGTGCTGACGGACGGGTTGGAGAAGGCGATGACGCGCGTGAACAATAAGAAGCCGGCGGCGAAGGTGGGGGGGGAGGTGGGCGGGGAGGATAGGGAGAAGGCTGCGGTCGCGGCGGCGGCGGCGGAGTAGCGCTACTAGCTCGATAGTTTGACGCGCGCGCGTGTGCTCGTGCTCGTCGTCGCCATCGTCGTCGTCGTCCGCGCGTTCTACTCTACAGTACGTTGTACGCTTCTCTCTCGTGTCGTCGTCGCTCGCGCGTGTTCTCGTTCGTTCGTTCGTTCGCGTGCCCTGTCTCTCTCGCGCTCCCTCCCGCGCTCGCCGCGCGCTCGTCTCAGGTGCGTTCCATACGAGCGAACGTCGGGGTGGAGTCGAAAGGCGTCAGGTGGAGTTGAAAGGCGTCGAGGGCGGGTATTGAAAGGGAGGGGTGGGCGGAGAGATGCGACGGGCAAAGTCCTTAAGGATCGGCGTCCACATCGCCAACGCGGTCGTATGGGGACCAGTGTATAGAACGCACCTCACCCTTCGACGAACTCGACGACGTCCCATTCCAAAGCGCCGCTCGGCGGGTCTAGAATCTCCACGCCGCGGCGGGCGTACTTTTGCATCCGCTTGATGAGCGTGGTGAGGAAGGTGTACTTGCGAGCGAAGTCGACTCGGCTTCGGTCGAACAGCCCTCCTTTAGTCCCGTCCTCCTTAAATGGATTGACGCCGAGGTCCTTCCACACTTTTTTCGTCATCTTCGCCAGCGCGATGGCCACGTTGCAGTCGTAGTTGGCGATCGTTTCCGTCACGTTCGCGGCCCACTTCTCGCGTTTCTCCATGAAGTCGTCGACGAGCGCGCGCCTCGCGGGCGTGACGACCGTTCTCGACGCGAACGTGTTCTCCGGCGCGGGGACGCGGGACGTCCGGCCGTCGAACGAGCACTTGCATATCTCGAGGTCGAACGACTCGAGAAGCTCGCGCGCGTCCTTCACGCGAGGCAAGCCGACGACGAGCTGCACGAATTTCTCGTCGCGGAGCTCGTAGTCGTACAGAAAGTCGCCGCCGTCGCCGCTGCCGTCCGGCCTGCCGACGAGAAAGGTGAAGAAATGCGGATCGCGATCGGTGCCGCGCGATTGTTTCACCGCCGCCGCGCCCCACGCCTTCGCTTTCTCGTAGTACGCGTCGCTGGCGTATTCCAGATCGTCGTCCAGGTCTTCGTAGTCGCCGCGATCCGTCGTGACCCCCGACGTCGGTCTCGCCGAGTAGCTCTCTACGTGACTGATCGCGTTCAGCGACGACCCGGGCGCGTCGTAGTCCGCGTCGCTGCGCTGCTGCATGTAGTCGTTGTCCACGCCGGAGCAGACGAGGCCGCAGCGTTCGATGAGCCGCCGACGCACGAACGGCGCGGCTTCGAACGTGCAGAAGACGTCGACGTCCGCGCCGGCCCACGGTTCCTTCTCGTCGTCGTCGTCGTCGTCGTCGTCGCCGCCGTCGTCGCCGTCGTCGTCGTCGTCGTCGTCGTCGTCGTCGTCGTTATCTTCAACCTCGTCCTCCTCCTCCTCCTCGTCCTCCGTCTCGTCTCCGCCCACGCCTATCGCGGCCTGGACGGCGACGGAGCCCGAGAGCAGCGCCCGAGGCGCCTCGCGCGCGTCCTTCGGGACGAGCTCGTCCGGGAACACGTCCATCAGCTCGAACGCGGGGCGACCGTCGTCGCGCGGCGCGCGGCGCCTCGTCACCGCCCTGACGACGCGCGCGAGCTGCCGCCTCAGCGCGGCCTGCGCGAGCGTCGTCCCGAGCGGCGGGGCGCCGTCGTCGCGTTCGGCCCAGAACGTCTTTTTCGACGCGCGCGCGAGGTTGTACACGGACGGGGGCGAGAGGAACGACGCGACGCGCTCGAGCGTCTCGTCGTTCAGATCGGTCAGCGAGCGTCCCGCGGCGGCGGCGGCGGCGGCGGGGACCTTCTTGGTCGTCGTCGTCTTGGTCTTCTTCTTCGCGGGCGGCATCGCGGCGGCGGGGTGTGGAGGCGAGAGGCGCGGAGGAAACAACGACAACACACTTCGCTTTTCTCGGAAGAGCCGAGCCGACGTCTCTGCTGTCGTTGTTTCCTCTCAGACAGGTCGCGTCGCTTCGAGGGCGCACACCCGTCCCGCGCCGCCGCGGCATGGGCGAGGCCTTCGCGAACGTCGCGGAGGACGCGGACGCGGCGTACGATGACGTCGTCGATGACGTCGTCGCGTCGAAACCGGACGCGGCCGCGATCTTCGCGCGCGCGTCGAGGGCGTCCGACTCCGACGCGACGCCCGACGGCGCGATTCAATCGGGCGCGCTGAGGCTCGTCTTCGACGGCCTCGCGTCGCCCGGCGGAGGGAAGGCGGCGTCGTCCGCGGCGTCGTCCGCGACGGACCCGCTGCGCTGGGGCGCGGTCGCGGGGACGGAGGGCGCGGTCGGGGAGTGGAACGACGTCGACGACGGCGTCGTCGACGCGGACGCGTTCGCGGACGCCGCGGACGATTTCGACGATTTCGACGCCCGCGGCGCGAGACGTGCCGACGACGCCGACGCCCTCGACGACGCGCTGCCGCCGCCCGACATCACGGAGACGACGTACGACGCCGACGCGCCGCCGGACGCGGACGCGATCGACGCGTGGACCGCGCACGCGACGCGAACCCAGCGCGTCGACGCCGCGCGCGGGACGACCGCGACGGCGAGGGCGACGCGCGACGCGTCGAAATCGAAGCGCGTCGCGCCGCCGCCGCGACGCCGCGGCGTCGCGCCGTGGACGCGCGCGACGCCGCAGCGGCTGAACGCCGCCGCGCGACGGCACCCGGGGTTGACGTTGAAGCAGCAGGCGCGGCTGCACGGCGAGGACGGGTTCGCGCGCGCGGTCTCCGCGATCGACTTGGCCGTGCGCACGGCGCCGCCGGGGAGGAAGAGCGAATGTTTTCTGCGCAGCGGCGCCGCCGCCGCCGGCGCGAAGGGCAAGAAGCACCCGGACGCGGACGTCATACGGAAACTCTCGAGGGAGTTCGACGACCTCGTGGGCGACGACGCTGAAGATGCTGACGTGGCTTCTGACGTGGCTACTGCCGACGTGTCGGGATACGCTGACGTGGTGTCGGACGCGACGGAGACGGTCACGCGCGCGGTGCAAGTCTTCAACGCGCAGTTTAGCGTCGGCACCGCGCTGTTACGCGGCGGGTTCGACGACGCCGCGGTGTACAGGTTCCGGCTCGCGGCCGCGGCGGCACCGAAACCGCTGGCATCCATGCGATTACTCGCGACCGCGAAAGAGGACGAGTTGAGAGGGAAAATAGACGACGCCGACGCGGGGTTCATCGCCGCGGAGCGCGCGGCGCGATCGGAGCTCGAAACCGAGCTCGGCGCGCCGTGGGAAGACGTCGACGACGACGACTTGTATCGAAAGGAGAGGCTCGCGAGGGGAGTTCGCGATGCGATTGCGATTGCGAATTCGAATTCGAATTCGACAGACGATGGCGGCGGCGACGACGACGAGAAGGTCCACGCTGCGAAGCTCAGCTCCGCGCTCGCGGCGGCGGCGGCGGCGGCGCTGAGTCGCGCGCTCGCCGGCTGCGCGCGGTGCGAACGCTCGCGCGCGCGGCGCTCGCGCGCCGCGGAGCTCTTCGGCGCCGCCGCGCTCGTCTCGCCGATGGACAGCCATCTCCTTCACGAGCTCGCGCGGGAGCTGACGCACGTCGGCGACGTCGCCGGCGCGGAGGGCGCGCTGCGGTTCGCGTGCTCTCCCGACCCGGACGGCTTCCTCGACGCCTCCGTCGCCGCCTTCGCCGCGCGCGCGGACCTCCTCCTCGCGGCCCCCTTCGAGCTCCCACCCCCGGAGCTGATCGCGGATCTGAAGCGGGGCATCGCGGCCGCGTTCGAGCCGCTGTCGAAATCGGACGCGGACGTGACGAATTGCGCGAGGGTCACGAGCGACGGCGTCGACGGGTTCGGACGGTACCCGGACGCGGGCAACGTGGACTTTCTCACGGAGGCGTCGAACGCGTGCCTGCGTCTCGCGTTGGCGACGTTACGTATCCCAGCCGCCGCGGACCCGGGCGTCGATTCGTATTCCGATCCGAATCAGAATCCCGCGTCCGGGTGGCACGCGTCGGTCGAGACGTGCGAGGAGGCGATCAAGGCGTTCGAGATGATGCGGTGGCTGAACACGCACGTTCGGATCGTTCAAAAGAAGCACAAAAAAGAAGCCGCAGCGCTGAGAGACGACGTCACGAAAAAGCACAGAAAAAAGCTGCTGAAGGCGAACTCGGCGCGGACGAAAGACCTTCTGTGGCGCGCGGAGAGCGGGATCGAGTTCCTGGAGAAGGAGATCAAGGCGAGTCGCGCGCGCGCCGCGAAGTCTGGCGGCGCCGCCGGCGTTTTCGTCGACGTTCGCAAGCTCTTCGCGAAGCTCGACGCGAAGACGTCTCCGGACGGAGAGGTGCCCGCGCGCGCGTACATGTACCTCTCGAGTCGGCGCGACGAGGACGCGACCGCGGAGAAGACGCATCCTACTAGTCCGAATTCGCCACCGCCCGCGAATCCCGGGGCGAACTTCGTCGCCGCGATCGGCCTCGACGCGAGCGTCGCCTCCGCGCTCGGCGACGAGGCGGCGTCGCGGTTCCGCGCGAGGGTCAAGGTCAGCGCGCGCGGCGCCGTCGCCGGCGCGCTCGCGCTGCGCGCCAACCGTGTCGTCCTCGGCCACGGCGCGTTCACCGCGCGCGACGTCCTCGCGGCGGCGACGCGAGCCGCGGCGGCGGACGCGCCGCCGCCGCATCGCGCGCGCGGTCGATCGAACACCGCGCGCGCGATGGTCGCCAACGCGGTCGCCGCCGCCGCGACGGAGGCGCGCGATTTTTCCGCGTGGCCGCTCGCGCCCGTCTCCGCGCTGGAGCACGTCGTGTCCGAGCTCTTCGGCGAGGGCGAAGACGCGGAGAAGGAGAAGGATGACGCGGGCCCCGAGGCGATGGAAGACGCGGACGAGATCGCGATGGCGAGAGAGGAGGCGCGCGCGTTACAGATGCTCGAGCTCGCGCACACGCACGCGCACACGATCGCTCCGGCGCGGCTGCCTCTCGCGAAACCGCGCGCGGCGGCAGCGACGGCGCTCCTCGCGCGGACGGCGCTCGAAGCGTCGCGCGCGGAAGAAGATGGCGCGTCGTCGTCGTCGTCGTCGACGACGACGACGGCGAAACCGACGTGGAGCCTCGGCGTGGTCGATCTTCGACTCGCGCTCGCGACGCTCGCGTGCGTCGTCGGGGGCGACGGCGGCGCGGAGGACGCGTTGCGACGCGCGCACGAGGTGCTCTCGACGGAAAAGCGGCGTCGGAACGACGAGGGGGATCGGACGGCGGCGGCGCGCGAGGGCGGATCGGTCGACGACGACGACGCGTGGGGCGACGTCGGCGGCGACGACGACGACGTCGACGGCGACGGCGACGACGCGGAGGCGACGGCGACGGCGACGGCGCGGCGCCGCCGCGGCGGCGCCCCCGCGGCGCCGCCCGCCGGCTTGATCTGGCGCGGCGACGCGACGCGACTGCTCCGCGCGCTCCGCGTCCTCGGCGACCGCCCGCTCGACGTCGCGAATTCCGCCGCGACGCGGCATCAAGAGGGGGGGTCCCAGGACGACGACGACGACGACGAAGACGGCGACGAGACCACCGCCGCCGGGGCCGCCGAGGAGGAGGTGAGACTGCTTCCCATACGACCCCGTTCGCGTGGTGCACGCCGTTCCTTAAGGACTTTTCCCGTCGTCACTCTTCACCCGCGCTTCCCTTTCAACGCTTGACCGGTAAGACGTTCGACTGACCGATCGCTTCACCCACGCAGCTCGCCGTCGCCGGGGCGGAGGCGCTGACGCGGCGCGGGCTGACGGCGACGTCGCACGCGCCGAACGTCGGCGCGCGGCATCTCCACGCTCTCGCGAGGCTCGACGCGTCCGCCGCCGCCGCCGCCGCCGCGGGGAAGAAGAAGAAGGAAGAGAAGAAGAAACGGCTGAATGCCTGGCATTTCTGCGCGGCGACGGGGGAGCGAATCGACCCGGGCGCCGGTTTCGAGTGCGTCGCCGGCGTCGACGTCGACGACGCCGCGATCGCGCCGGACGGGGACGGCGCGGTCGGTCTGTTCACGCTCGGCGCGCGCGCGTACGCGGAGGGGAACGTCCCGAGCGCGTACGCGGACGCGCGGCGGTTGGTGTTCAAGGAGTGGGCGTGAAGGGAGGGGAGGCGAAGAATCGGGAGGCTACTAGCTAAGTTTTTTATAATCTTACGACGGCTTCCGGCTGCGGCGGCGACGCGTCCTCGCGTCGTCGTCTTCTCGCGCTGCTATCGTCTACCACGGGTGGTCGTACCCTCCCTGTTGCGGCGTCACGAACACCTGGCACCCGAGCTCTCCGAGCGGCCTTGTCGGCCGCTGGAAGACGTGAAGATGATGCCCCCGCTGTTGACGACCTCCCGGGTTCTCCCCTCCCGCGACCATCAGATCGCCTTGGACGCCGCCCTGAGGCGAGACGAACGCGCGCTTGCCCGCGTGCGCGTTCGCGCGCGCGAGCTCGTCGTCGAGCGCGTCTCCCTCGAACGCGTCGCGTTTCCTCGATTTACCCTGCGCGCGATCGAAGCGAAGGGAGGGAGGGCGTCAGCGACCGCGCCGACGCTTCGTCGCCCGCGCGAGAAGAGCGGACGCGGACGACGGGTAAAAAAAGCGAGGGATTCGTTCGCGCCGCACGTCGGCGACGGATCGGATCGCACCTGCGCGTCCGCCCACGCCGGCGTGGACGTGATGTGGTCGCTGTTCACGCGCTGACCGCCGACGAAGATTTGAAACGTCATCGCGGGCGGCGGCGGCGAGCGGATTCTGTGGACGACGAGCGGCGGGGACGTGAGCGAGGGCGACGCGTCGGGGTCGTTAGAATTCGCGATCGATGAGGGAGGGAGAAAAATGGCGGCAACGCGTCGACTGCGCGGTTCGCGCGCGCGCGGGCTCGAGCGCGCACCTCTCGCGACCGCGACGACGCGAACGATTCGACGCGAGACGAAACGCGCGAATCGACCGAGCTCGGGGCGAGACCGGGAAACCGCGAGGGCGCGGAGAGCGCTCGCGAGAGTGACCTACGTCGGCGCGGTCGGATGCGAGCTCTTCACCGGCGCGCCGCATAAAATATGATACACCTGTACCTGTAATCGCGAGGGTTCCGTCTCCCTTCCGCTCCGCTCCGTTTGAATACAACGGCGCGCGCGGGACGGGACGCGTAGTCGGCGGGAGACGCCGCGGCGGGCATCGCGCGCGATGCAGGGGACGATGAGCGAGAACATCCCGCGGACCGCGGACGCGGGGAAGCGCCCGCGGCGCGTCACGCCGACGGCCGTCGCGATCGCGGAGGAAAAGAACGACGAAAACTCGGGCGGCGCGTGCGCGAACGCGAACGCGAACGCGAACGCTCGCGACGACGCCGACGTCGACGACGAAAGCCGGCCGCGGCGAAGACCGAAGCGCGCCGAGGACGACGACGCGCCCAAGCCGGGGCCCAGGACGACGACGTCGTCGTCGCCCGAGGACGCGTTCGTGACGCGCCTGCGACGGTTCCACCGCCTCAAGCTCCGCGCGTCGTCCTTCAGGGTGCCTTACTTTTGCCACAGCCCGCTGGACCTCCGCAAGGTGTTCGAGGAAGTGCGCGCGCGGGGGGGGTACCACGCGGTGACGACGCAGAAGCGATGGCTCGAGGTGTGTCGGACGCTGGGGAAAGACCTCTCGGGGCAGACGAGCGCGGGGTTCCAGATGCGAGTCAACTACCAGAAGATGCTGCTCGCGTACGAGATCCATCTCGAGTCGAGGGGCGGCGAAGATCGCGGCGAAGACGCTGACGCGGACGACGACTTCGACGACGACGACTTCGGCGGCGACGACGACGGCGGGATGACCACGTACGAGGCGACGATCGCGAGGATCGCCGCGGCCGCGGAGGCTGCCGCGCGCTTCCGCGGCGGCGGCGGCGGCGGCGGCGGACGACGCGCGCGCCGAGGAATGGAATTCCGCGGGGGACCGTCGCGCGGCGGCGGCGGCGGCGGCGGCGGGAAAAAAACGTACAAAGCCACGGACGAGGAAGAGACCGAGATCGCGTTCGAGCTCGGCTTGTACACGTACGCGAACGATGACGAGAAACGCTTCCTCCCCGAGCGTTACGACGAAGGCGCGTACTTGGTCATCCGCAACATGATCCTCGCGCGATGGCGCGCGGACCCGAGCGCGTACGTGTCCGTCGAGCACGCGTGCGGCTTCGTGATGGACAAATGGAAGCCGCTCGTCCACGCGGCGCATCGCTTCTTAACCTCGCGCGGGTACATCAACTTCGGCGTCGGGTTCGCGACGAACTACCTGACGCCCGGTTCGGCGAAGGGAACGTGCGTCGTCGTCGGCGCCGGGCTCGCCGGGCTCGCGGCGGCGAGGCAGCTGATGAGCTTCGGCCATCGCGTCGTCGTCGTCGAGGGGCGGGACCGACCGGGCGGGCGCGCGTGGACGACGAAGCTGTCCGGGACGGACCCGAAGACCGGGGAGGTGAAGACCGCGGTCGGGGAGATGGGCGGGAGGCGCGTTCTATCTCACACTGGTCCCCATACGACCGCGTTCGCGTGGTGAACGTCATTCCTTAAGGACTTTTGCCGGCGCATCTCTCCGCCCACCCCTTGCGTTCAATCCCCGCCCTCGACGCCTTTCAACTCCATCTGACGCCTTTGAACTCCACCCCGACGTCGCTTCGTATGGAACGACCCTCAGCATCCTGACCGGCAGCAGCGGCAACCCGCTGTGCGTCGTCGCGAGGCAGCTGGACGTCCCGTTCCACGACATACGAGGGACCTGCCCGCTGTACGCCGAGGGTGGCGGCGCGAGGGCGGACGCGGCGACGGACGAGAAGATCGAGAGGGAGTACAACGAAGCGCTGGCGGAGTGCACGCGCAAGAGGTTGGCGTTTGGGTCGTCCGACGATGAGGGGATCTATCGCACGCGGACCGCCGCGGATTTGATATCGTTAGGGGGGGCGATCGAGGAGTTCAGGAGAGAGCGGAAGCCGACGCCGACGCGGGAGGAGAGCGACTTGTTCGATTGGCACCTCGCGAATTTAGAATTCGCGAACGCCGCGCGGTTGGACGTCTTATCCATGGGGCAGTGGGACCAGGACGATCCGTACGACTTCGAGGGGAACCACGTGTTCTTACGAGGCGGGAACGGGCGCATCGTCAGCGCGCTCGCGAGGGACGTGCCCGTGTTTTACAACCACGACGTGTGTTCCGTGTCCTATCCGGGCGAAGGCGGCGCCGACGACGGCGAAGGCGTCGTCGTTCGATGCGCCAATGGCCGGAGCTTCGGCGCGGACGTCGCGCTCGTGACCGTCCCGCTCGGGGTTCTGAAGAAGGAGATCATCGCGTTCGACCCGCCGCTGCCGGAGCGTAAGCTCCGGGCGATCGCGAACCTCGGGTTCGGGGTGTTGAACAAAGTCATCCTGCTCTTTCCCGAGGTGTTCTGGGACACGACCCACGACACGTTCGGATACGTCCGCAAGTGCGACGGCGACAGCAAAAAGCGCGGGAGATACTACATGTTCTACAACTACGCGGGCCTGAGCGGCGGCGCGACGCTCGTCGCGCTCGTCGCCGGCGACGCCGCGCTCGAGATGGAGTCAGGCGCGTTCTATACACTGGTCCCCATACGACCGCGTTCGCGTGGTGAACGTCATTCCTTAAGGACTTTTCCCGGCGCATCTCTCCGCCCAGGGTCCCTCGCTCACAATCCTTGCCCTCGACGCCTTTCAACTCCATCTGACGCCTTTGAACTCCACCCCGACGTCGCTTCGTATGGAACGACCCTCAGTCTCCGACGAGGACGCGGTGAAAGGCGCGATGGACGTCTTACGCGACATCTTCACGGTGGGGCAAAACGTGCCCGTCCCGGACCCGCTCGACGCCGCGTGCGTGCGCTGGGGCGGCGACCGCCACGCGTTCGGGTCGTACAGCAACATCAGCGTCGGCGCGACCGGGGAGGATTACGACCATCTCGCGTCGACGGTGGGCGATCGTTTATTTTTCGCCGGCGAGGCGACGAACAGGATGCACCCGGCGACGATGCACGGCGCGTTCTTGTCCGGCGTGAGAGAGGCGGCGTTGATATCCGACGCGCTCGTCAAGCTCGACAAGCGCGGGACTTTGCGGCCGCCGCGCTTGAAGAGTGAAGAAGAAGAGGTGGGCGCGGGTCCGAAAGCGGAGGACCTCGGGAACGTCGCGTCGGCGGCGTTTCCGGCGGCGTTTCCGGCGGCGTCGCCGCCGTACGCCGCGCCGCCGCTTCCGTTCCCTCCTCCTCCCGCCTCCTACCACCCCTACCTCGAGACGATCCTTCCGGCGCTCTTCAGCGTCGGCCCGCTGAATTACCTCAGCCCGTCCGGCGAGCTCGCGGTGATCTTCGATCCGCGGTGCGACCCGGCCGTCGCCGGGAACTCGGTCATCTCGGCTTCGATGCGCGCTCGCCCGTCGTCGCTGCTGCGCGTCATCAACGTCAACGCCCCCGGTGGAATGAAGGCGACGTACTTTGGCGTCTCCAGGGACGTCATCGCGGGATTGATCGCGGACGAACACGGGGAAGAGGGACGCGTAGCGAGGGTCGCGGCGACGCTCAGCGTCGGCGTCGACGCGGACATGTCCGAGGAAGCGAAGACGACGGCGATTTACATCGTCGAGACGCGGGGGATCGACGCGCGGAAGGTGAAGGCGGTGTTCTAGACGACGGAGGGACGGACGGAGGGACGGACGGACGAGGATGTGTGCGTTGGGTTTTGTTGTTATCGACGGTGAACGTGCGTGCGCGCGTTGCGACAGACGAGCGCCGGTTTTCCTCGCTCGCGTGTCGGTTGGGTTTTTCCTTCCTTCCTTCCTTCCTTCCTCTCTTTCCTCTCTTTCCTCTCTTTCCTCTCTTTCCTCCTCCTCCTCCTCCTCCTGATCGTTCGCTCGCTCACGTCGGCGCGGGGTGAAACTCCGCGTCCGAGAGCGACAGCGTCGGCAGCGGCCGGCTCTCCCCCGCGAGCACGGTCATCATGTTCGAGATCAGCCTCGCCTTTTGACTCCCGTCGAACGCGTGCCCTCGTTCTTCCAACTCGCTCAACGCACCGTGCGTGATGCTCACCGCGCCCTGCACGATGACGCTCCTCGCGTCGATGAGCGCCTGCGCTTGCTGCCTCACGAGCATCATCGGCGCGACCTCCGCGGCGTACGCGAGGTCGCTGAGCTCGAACGTGACGATCTTCACGCCGCAGACTTCCACCTTGCGTTGGAGGAGCGTTCGAAGGACGCTGTTGAGCTGCACGACTTCCGTCTTGAGCGACGGCGATCCGTCCCTGGTTTCGTACGGATACAGAGACGCGACGCGCTTCAACGCCGCGTGCGCGTTGACTTTGACGGAGTTTGGGAGGTGCAGAACGTCCAGCGCCGCTCGCGTCGGGTCCACGACGCGGTAGTCGATGACGCCGGAGATGACCAGCGGGTTGCCGTTTCGATCCGCCACCTTCACGGCGGGGAGCTCCACGGACGTCGCCTTCAGGGAGACCACCTGCGCCTCGCGGCCGCACGGGTTCACGAAGTACAGACCGGGTCTCGTGAACGCGTGAAGAAACCGCCCGAACACGGTCGTGACCACGGCGTGTTTTGGGTAGACGGTCACGCAGCTGCCGCAGAGCGGGATCGCGCATATCTATCGGGGGTCGACGGAACGGAGGAGCGTGAGACGCGGCGAGGTATCGGTACGTGTGCGGTATCTTCTTCGCGAAGGCGCGGCGCGGCGACCGACGGCGAAGTGAGTACCTACCGGAGACGCGACCACGCATAAGACGTTGGCGAGCGGCGACGTCCAGCACGCGCACGCGCGATCGTCGCGCAGACGGTTGACGTACGCCTGCGGCGGCGCCGGCTCGTCCGGATCGGATCCGTATCCCGCGTGCGGCGTCGGCGCGTCGTCGCGGTCGGCGCCGGTGCCCGTCCTTTCTTCGCGAAAAGCCTTCTCGAGCTCCAAGAGAGGGCGCGAAAGGAGCGCGGCGTCGTCGTCCGCCGCGTCCGCGGCGCGCGTCATCACGGGCGGCGACGGCGGCGTCTCGATCGGGGAGACGACCATGTCGGCGGCGGCGGCGGCGGCGGCTGGCGCGGGGCGTGGAGTGGAAGGGGGGGGGGGGAGGTCCGGGGTGTCGTGGCTCGACGCGAGTCGTTTCGGCAAAGACCAGACAGGACGCGAGGAACAGAAGGTCTGGTTCACAACGACCAGACTGGATGGATAAATTTCAAGACGACGCTCGAATCACGCTTCGTCGTCGCTGGAGAACGCCACCTCTCTCGCGTTCGGGTGCTTCTTCTCGCGGTGGAAGACGTCCCCGACGACTTTCTTCCTCCTCGCCGCCTCCTCCGCGGCGGCGGCCTCGTCGCCGTCGACCTCGGTCCACGTCTCCCTCCACCGCGCCATCATCGCCTTCCTCGCCGCGGCTTTCGCGCGCGCCGCGCCCCCGCCCGCGGCGGCGTGCAGCCACTGCAGCAAGTCGCCCACCTTCTTCGTCGCCTTGGCGCTCTCGGCTTTGGCGCACGGCGGCTTGGGCGGACGCTTCGGCTTCGGCGCGGTTGGACCCGAGTTGGACAGACGCGCCATCTCGCGCTCCGACGCGGCGCGTTTCATCTCCGCCGCCGTGACCGTCGTCGTCGTTCCGGTCGTTCCGGTCGTTCCGGTCGTTCCGGATCCGATCGTCGTTCCGATCGTCGTCACAGTCTTGCCGCCTGATCCGCCGCCGCGTCGCTTCGCCGCCGCCGCGGCGACGAACGGGTTCGTCTCCTCGTCGTCCGAGCACACGGACCGGTCGCCGTCGTCGTCTTCGACGTTTGGAAGCGTCAGCCACGCGTTGTAGTAGTACTCCACCATGTCGCGCAAGGATTTCATCGCCAGTCGCGGGTCCGGGTCTTCCGGGTCCGCGGCGGCGGGGTCCGCGATGGCGACCGGCGGCGGCGGCGACGCTTTCCCGGGCGACGGGTCCTCCCCCGCCGCCGCCGCCGCCGCGCGCGCGGCGTCCGCGGCGTCCTTCTCCCTCCTCGCCTCCGCGCACGCGTCGCAGAACCAGTCCCCTTCCGGGACGGCGGCCATGCCCAAACACTGATAGTGCCCGCCCGTGGGGCACCCGTTCTCGCACAACACGAAATCGGACTCGCCGTCCGCGCGACCGCACGCCAGGCACGGGACGTCGTCGTCGTTCGTCTGCGCCTTCTTCTCTTTGCTCGCCTTCAGGGCCATTCCATACAAAAACAGTTCACCGGTCAGTTGAAAGGGGGAGCGATCAAATGTTGAAACCGAGCGGTGGGTGAAAAACTTTTGTATAGAACGCACCTTCATCCCCTTCTTCGGGTTCCGTCCAATCCTCGAGCACCCGAACAGGTCAAACTTCCGCGCCCGCAGCTGCTCCTCGAACGCGCGCGATTGCTCCGCGGTCCACAGCCCGAACGCCTCCGTCGCGACGACGCGACCGACGGCTTGGACGCCCATCACCGCCGGCGACGACCGCGCCGCGCGCAGTTCCGACTCGAGCTTCGCGCGCGCGGCGGCCACCTCCTCGAGACTCGGGCGTCTCGGCTTCGGGTCGCGGACGCCGTGCGCCTCCGCGAGCGTCGCCGCGTTCCCGGGGGGCATCCCGGGGAGCCCCGTCGCGAGCTCCGCGCGCGCGATTTTCGTCGCGGCGACGACGACGGCGGCGGCTCTCGCCGCCGCCTCCTCCGCCGTCTTCGGCTTTGCCGTCGCGTCCTCTCGCGACGCCGCCATCGCTCGCGCCATCGCGGCCGCGGCGCGCTGCGCGGCAGCCTTCTTCACCGCGCTGTCCGCGGGGATCGCCGCGAGCGCGCTCTGTAGACCAAACTCGTAGTCCTTCGCGAACGGATCCGCCGCGGCGGTCATCTCCGTCGCCGTCTTCACGCGCTTCCCGGGTAGGGTTAACCCTCCGGCGTCCGCGTCGCTCCCTCCCGGCGCGCGCTCGCGCTTCTCCGCAGATCCTCCTCCTGTCGATCCACCCCGGCGTCGACCGGGGGAGAGCGACGGGTCGAACAGCTCCGCGGCGATCTTCGCCGCCTTCTCCGCGGGCGCGGGGGGCCAGACTTTGATCCCCGCGAGCCGGTCTCTTCGCGCCGGTTCGGACTCCCGCGCCCCCGACTTGGCCCCGGGGATTCGCGCGGCGTGGGGTTGTTTTGGGGTCGCCGCCGCGGACGCCGCGATGGCTGCGGCGCGCTCGACGACGCGCGCGCTCTTCTTCGACCCCGCGGCGTCCGCGTCCGCGGTCGCGTCTGCGTCCGCGACCGCCGGCGCCGCCGCGATGACGAGTCCCTCCTCCGCGCGTACGGACCCGTCCAGCGGCTCCGGCCCGCGCCACGGCGGAACCGAAGCCTGGAACGACATCCCGACGCGTATCACCGCGGTGGACTTCCCCCCCGTCCCGCCGCTTCGTCCCGCGGACATGAACGACGACACGAGAAGCGCGGCGCCGCCGCCGACGGCGGCGGATCCCGTGCGCGCGTTTCTTCTCGGTTGCATGCGCACCACCGCGGTGGCGACGCGGAAGCGGTCGACGATCGCGGCATTCTCGCGGTGCCGCTCGCCCTGCGCGTGATGCGGGATGGATGGGAGGGACGAGGAGGTGAGGACCCGTGCGCGTCAGAACGGAGCCGGAGTGGAGGGATGGACGGCACGTCGCCGCGCGAAAAAAAAATACAGCTTGCAAACGCGTCGCCGACGTCGCCGGCGAGCGCGATACGAGGGTTTTTCGAGGGTTCGGTCCCGACGCCCCGCGCGCGACGCGCGCGACGCACCCCGGTGTATCCTCCGTCGCTCACCGGCTTCCGCCCTTCCTCGAGCGACACGAGCCTGCGGCGGCGTGATCGGGGGGGGCGCGGGTCGGGCGCGGACGTCAGCGCGGGGGAAGCGCGCGCGCGAGGAGGAGGAAAAAACCGCGAGGGGGCGCGCGGCGAAGACGCGCGCACGAGCGACCGCCTGAAAGACGCGCTCGAGTGGCTCAGGTGCGCGCGCGACCGCGCGTCGACGCGCGCGCGCGTCGACGATCTCTTCGATCGCGCGCGCACCTGAGCCACTCGAGCGCGTCTTTCAGGCGGTCGTCCTTCCCCGAGCCCCCCCGCGCGCTCGTCGACGGCGCCTCCGCGCGCGCGACGTCGCCGCGAACATCGGTCGTCGTCGCGGAGCCGATGCGCTCCGCGTCGTCCACCTCCATTCCTCTCGTCGTCGCTCGCGTCGCCGTCTCTCGCTCGAGTCCGACGCCGCGGCGCGAGAGGGACGCGTCGCGCGAACGACGACGCGCGCGCGCGATGCCTTCGCGAGCCGCGGTTCGTGTCCGCGGAACGCGCGCGAGTGTCGTCGGCCGGCGGCGTCGCGCGCTGTCCGACTGCGTTCGCCTCGAGGTGTTCAAACGCGCCCGTGCGGTACTGTACGTGTGGTGGGCGCCCGCGTGATCGTGACAAAAAAATGTTCATCGGTCCGTTGAAAGGGGACGCGATCAAAAGTCGAACCCGAGGGACGGGTGAAAAACGTCTGCGTTGAACGCTCCCGCACCTCGCTCCCGCGGTTCCACTCGATCCCGCGAGCGTGACGCGTGAGCCGTCCTCCGCGCGACGTCGGAACCTCGACACCGCCACTCACGATGCACGCGCGCGCGGCGAGCGTCATGACGCGCGCCGGGGCGGCGACCCCGCGCGCGATGGCGTCCATCGCGCCACGGAACAGCGCGACGACGACGACGACGGCTGCGGCGACCGCGACGCGCGCGGTCGCGCCCGCGCGCGTCGCGCGAGCGGCTCGCGCGGCGAGGATAACCATCGTCGCGACGCGCGCGAAGAAGTGGAGCGATGAGGTCGCCTCGGACCCGGACGCCGCCGCCGCGTCCGCGTCCTCCCCTTCCCCGTCGCCCCCGTCGCCATCGAGCGACGACGACGCCGTGAGCATGTTCGAGCCGGGGCAGAAGAAGAAGAAGCTCCGGAAGCGCCGCGACGGCAGCAACACGCGTCGCGCGTCCGTGGACGTCACCGGCATCGCGATCGACGCCGCGAAGGGCGTCGCCCCGATCACGGTCCAGTCCGCGTCCGAGGAGGCGTACATCCTGTTCCTCCTGGGCTACGTCGTCGTCATCTTCCTCGGCGGGCTTCTGCTCGCGCTGAGCGCGTTCGATGACGTGCTTCCATCGCGCGTGGAGACGTGGGTGGAGAACTCGCTGTATCCGGCGTACTCGCCCACGGTGATTGGCTTCCTCGTGTTCTCTTCCATCTACGGGTTGATAAAGACGCGCGACGACCCGAACACGAAGTGATGGACGACGCGCGTCGAAGCGAAGCGAGGCGACGACGTCCGCGCGTCCGGACGTCGTCGCGTCGTCGGTCGGGCGCGATGGTGGTCGGGGTCGAGAAGGATGTAACGCACGCGCGATGACGGTTTTAATACAGAAGACCCTACCGGTGTTCCCGCCCGCCCGCCCGAAAAATATATCGCCCCCTCCCACCCTCCGAGCCGCCGCTTCTCAGAAGTAAAGCTATTAGTAAAGCTACTAGTAATGATAATGATGCTGATGCAGCATCGCCTCGCGCATGAACTCCGCCGCCTTCGTCCTCTCCTCCTCCGTCATGAACGTGTGCACCGCGTGGTGCGTCCCGAGGTACAACGTCCGCAGGAGACTGATGAGGGTCGTTCCGCGCGAGCGAACGTCGGGGCGGAGTCGAAAGGCGTCAGAAGAGTTGGAGTTGAAAGGCGTCGAGGTGTGTCGGGATTGAAAGCGAGAGGTGTTGGGCGGAGAGACGCGCCGGGAAGTAAAGAAGTCCTTAAGAGACGGCGTTCACCACACCGACGCGGTCGTACGGGGACCAGTGTGATGAGATGGAGACGGGATCCGCGCACCCCGCGGCGTAGAGCGCGCACTTGACCGTCCTCCGCCGCCGTTCCTCGTCCAACGTCGCGAACACCGTCGTCACGTCCGTCGCGTGCGTCCCGTGCGCGGCGTACTGCGCGTAGTGGTAGTACGCTATCGGCGCGTTGAGAAGCGTCAGAGAGACGCACCCGCAGAGCGCGCCGAGGAGGACGACGGCGCCGTGGATGATAAACTTGAGGGTCGTTCCATACAAAGCGATGGCGGGGTGGAGTTGAAAGGCGTCAGTTGAAGTTGAAAGGCGTCGAGGGCGGGGATTGAAAGCGAGGGGTGGGCGTAGAGAAACGCCGGGAAAAGTCCTTAAGGATCGGCGTTCACCACGCGAACGGGGTCGTATGGGGACCAGTGTATAGAACGCACCTCGGGCGCGTGGAGCTTGTTGAGCCGCGTCGCGCAGTCGTGCGGGTTGACGAGGTCCTGGGATAAGTCCGCGAGCGTCATGATCTGCGGCGCCACGGGGTGGGATGGGAACGCGGCGGCGAGCGCGGTGAGAGGGAGGACGCGATGGCACGCGACGTCGGGGACGGCGGGAGGAGGAGGAGGTGGAGGAGGAGGACGAACGGAGGAGGCGAGCGAAGCATCCGCATCCATCCATCGCGAAATGTCGTCGCGTCAGATAAATGAATGCGCTCTCCTCGCGGCGCGACGGACGGCGCACCGTGTACAGGTTGATCCCCAGCAGCAGCGACGCGAGGATGAAGAGCACGGCCCACACGGAGGCGATGATCATCGCGAGGAGCGAGGTCCCGTCGCGAGCGCCGGCGCGAGGGCGCGAGTGGCGGCCGGACGCGACCGACGCCGCGGTGAACAACGAGTCCTGCTGTGCTGGTATCGGCCGGCTCCAGTGCAGCTGCAAGCTGTCAGCGCGACGGACGATTTTTTAGGGCGAAAGGACCTGAAAGGTCGGCGCGCGCCGGGGCATCTTCGGACGCGCGTCGTCGCCCGCAGAGTCGCTTACTCCGATGCGTCGCGCAGCGCAGGTGTTGTGCAAGGCTGGCGGCTCCGCCGCCGCTCGCGTCGGGTCCTCCCCCGCGCTCGCCTTCGGCGCGAGACCGGTGCGTACCCTCCCGGTGCCGCGCCATCCATCATCGGATGGATGGATCCCTAGCTAGGCGGTGTCTCATCGCGCCCTACCGTTCGCGCCGCGCGATCGCGCGTCTTTGCGAACGACCGCGCGCTCGTCTCCGCCGCCGCTCGCGTCGACGTTCGCCGCCGCGCGCGGTTCTCGCGACGTCGCGCCCCCGCGGGACCCCGCGCGGTCGACGCGCGTTCGACGCGCGCCCGCGATCCCCTCCCCCATCCTCTCCGTGCCCCCGCCAACGGGTCAAGCGGAGGAGAGAGAGCTGAGCTCCTTTTGTGGACGGACGGACCCCCCCGCTGACGATCGCTCGCTCGCTCGCCCTTCCCTCCCCTCGTCCGTCTCCGTCGACAGCTCGGCGTCGCGTTCGCGCGCGGGATGGCGCAGGAGACCCGCCCCGGGCTCGCCCCGCCGCCGGCCAAAAACGTCGACCACGAGCACGCGACCGGGCTCGAGCTCAGAGAGCTCCAGGCCGCCGCGGAGGGGAAGGATTTCTTCGATCACTACGATTTTCTCCAGGCGGTGCGTCGAATGATTTTTTCCTCGACGAGAAGACGCCCGGTCTTCTCCTCCGCGAACGCGCCCCACGCTGATCCCTAAACCCTAAACTCTATTAACCCTACCCCTACCCCCCCCCTCCTCCCTCTCTCGACGACAGCCGAACGGGACGGAGGAGAAGCCCGTGGAGGTGAAGAGCTCGATGCCGTATCGCATCGTCGGCGCGACGGACCCGGACGACGACTGCATCGTGCACTGGGGACGCGTCGAGCGCGGGGGGCCGCCGGTCAAGATCGGCTACGAGTGGTTCGTGCACAAATCCGTCGATCACCTGAGTTGACGCGCGGGGGCTCGCGATCATCGTGTGACGACACGACCGAGGAGGAGGAGGAGGAGGAGGAGGAGGAGGAGGAGGAGGCGCGGAACGTTTTTTTCCTCGGCTCCTCTTCGAGCGAAGACGAGGCTCGGATCCCCCGCGAGTAGCGCGGGGTGGAGAGTTGGCGCGCGGGGCGCGCGTGATGCAATGCAAAATACATTCTTCCACCGACCATACCGCGCGCGTTTCGAACGCGACTTCCTCGTCGTCTCTCCGAACGCGACGCGCGAGCGAGGGAAAAGAAAAAAAGCGCCGACCGACGAGAGACGCCGCCGCGCGCGCGACTCGGACCCGAGGGCTGTGAGCGTCGAACGACGCGGACGAAACTCGCGCGCGAACGGACGACGCGATTAAAACGATGAAGCGCGATGCTTCGTCGCGATGATATTGAAACGTTTCCTACGCCCGCGCGCGTCGACTCGCTCTCGAGCCGCCCGCGCGAAGTCACGCCGTGCCATCTTCTTCACGCGGAGCGCTTTTTCCACCTCAAAAAGAGGCCCTCCCGCCCTCGCCGCGTCTTCCGACGCGACGCGAGCGCCCACCATTCGCCGATCGCGCGCGAGAAACCACCACCTCAACACCACCGCGATGAAGAACGCCCGCGCGTTCATCACCCCCCGTTCGCGGCGAGACCCGGCCGCGCCGGACCGAGAGTCGCCGCCGCCAAACCCTATTCACCCTCTTCCAGCCATTAAAATCGAAGACGAAAAAATGGCACGCGTCGCCTCGCTTAGGCGACGAGAGTGGACGCGGTCGCGGAGTCGTACTTCCAGTTCGGCGCGAGCTTCTTCGCGAGCTTGTAGTACCGCGCGAGCCTGTGGATGCGGGACTCGATGAGAATCAGGCGGAACTTCGAGTCCATGTCCTTCCTGTTGCGCTCCATGTGCTTGCGCACGGAGACAGCCTTTTTGATGAGGCAGTACAGGTCCTCGGGGAGCGTCGGCGCGAGGCCTTGGCCCTTGAGGATCCTCAGGATCTTGGAGTTCGTGACCGAGGAGACCTGCGCGACGCCGTGGTTATCGCGGAGGAGGACGCCGATCTGCGACGGCGTCATCCCCTTCTTCGCCATCTTCGCGATGATGTCCGTGATCTCCTGGGACGTGATCTTCAGCCAGCTCGGGGCGGAGCGCTTGAACGGAAGCGCGCTTCCGCTCATGCCCTTGCCGGGCGTGTGCATGCGACCCATGGTTAGAGTTGGGGTTTAAGACGAACCGAACCGCTCGGTGAGGTCTTAAGACGACGGCGTGTGTCGCGCGTCGCGTGAAGAGGGCGCTCCGGCCGCGTCGATTGCGGCTAAAACTTCTAGGGTTTCGCGGAGCGGACGAAGTCCAAACTACTTTTGCGAACGTCTGACTGGTTCGAATACGGAAACCGAGTACAAGTTGTACGATCTCGCGAACCGTAAAACGAGGGGTCACGCCGCTCGACTCGAGTACGCGCCGCGCGAGACGAGAATTTCGACGCGAACAACGGCCCGCAACTCGCACCCTCTCGCGAGGCATCTCGCGACGCGCGTCCGTCCCGTTCGTCGCGATGACGGCGTCGTCGCGGCGTTCGTCCCGGCTGACGCAGAGCCCCGATGCGGTGCAGCCGACCGCGTCCGGAGCGACGGTGCGTCGAATCGCTTCGCGCGCCCGCGTCGCCGAATCTCGCGCGCGCGCGCACCGCCCGCTGCCATTGAAATCCTTTGAAATCTCGCGCTGACTCCTCCCCTCGCGTCCCGCCTCGCAGACGTCCCCCAAGGCGACGGCCGGGTCGAAACGCCGCAGCGCGCGCTCCGCGACGGCGGAACCCACGCCCGCGTCTGTGAAATCCGCGCCCGCCGCGGCGAAGCGGCGGAAGACGGAGCCGAAAGACCCGCCGCCCGCCTCCGCGACGCGAGGCGGAGGCGGGGCGCCGCTGACGTCCGCGTCTGGCGCGATGCGGGCCGCCGCGAGCGGCCGCGGCGCGCGCGCGGCGAAGCGCGACGCGACGCCCGCGGCGCCCTCCGCGACGACGACGACGACGACGACGACGCGGCGCGCGAGCTCGAGGTCCGCGAAGCCGTCCTCGCCGCCGCCGGCGGCGACGACGACGACGACGACGACGACGACGAAGGCGAAGAAGACGCCGAGCGACGACAAGAGCTACATCCTCGCGCGTCTGGACGACGACGACGGCGACGACGACGCGCGCGCGAAGACGACGACGACGCACGCGACGCGCGCGCATCCGATGTCCCCGGCCGCGGCGCGAGCGGCCGCGCGCGCCGCCGCGAAGTCCCCGCCCGCGGAAGACAAGAGCTACATCCTCGCGCGGTTGGACGACGACGACGACGACGGCGGGTCCAAACGCCGCGCGTCGCGATCGACGCCGAAGGCGAAGGCGCCGACGCCGACGCGCGCGTCGAAGGAACCCGAACCCGCGTCGGGCGGGGGGTCCTCCGAGCGACGGAAGAGCTCGAGGTCGCGGCCGACGTCGCCGCCGTCGTCGAAGAAGTCGCCGGCGACGTCGCCGCCGACGCGTTCGAAGAAGTCGCCGGCGACGTCGCCGCCGACGCGTTCGAAGTCGATCGGCGCGAAGAAGTCGACGCCAAAACCAGACGTCGCCGCCGCCGTCGACGCGACCGACGCGGAGATGGCCGCGCTCGCGGCGACGGAGCTGACGTCTTTCCCGCCCGCGATGACGCCGATGGACGAGCGCGGGGGCGATCGGTCGACGCTCACGCTCGGCGGCGCGACGACGACGGGGGGTTGGGCCGTCTTCTCCGAGCCGCCGACGACGGAGGCGGCGACGCGCGCCGCGCGCGCGACGCCGACGTCGCCGTCGTTCGCGGGGCACGTCGAAGGCGGCGCGCGACCGGACCCGAACGATCCGGGCGCGGAGCTCGCGAACTCGTACGAGTCCGTGAACTTGGTGCGATCCGACCTCATCCTCGAGTTCGATAAGCGCGGCGTGGAGATCGCGCGGTTCCAACGCGAAGTCGAGTCGCTCGAAGCGTCGCTCGCGGCTGCCGAGGAGACGAAGACGATCGCGGAGGCGGAGGCGAACCGATGGAAGCGCGCGCGGGAGGAGCTCGAGAAGCAGAGGGAGGAGCGAGAGGCGCAGCGCGTCGCGGAGAGGGCGGCGGCGGACGCGGACGCGGAGGCGACGGCGCGCGCGCTCGCGACGCTCGAAGCCGCGATGGGCGAAGAGAAAAAAACGACGGCGGCGGCGGAGAACCGAGCCGCCGCCGCGGAATCGCGCGCGTCGCTCGCGGAGGCGTCCGCGCTCGAGGCTGCCGGGACGAAGTCGTCCGAGACCGCCGCGAAGATGGCGCGGTTGGAGTCCGCCGCCGCGGAGGCGCTGGCGCGCGCGGAGGCTGCCGAGGCGGCGTCGAGAGAGGCGACGCTCGCGGCGTCGACGTCGAGCGCGATTCGATCGGAGCTCGAGGAGAGACTCGAGACGACGGAGCGCGCGCTCGTCGCCGCGGAGGAGCTCATCGGCGAGGCCGAGGCCGCGGTCCTCGCCGCGCGAAGCGACGCGGACGCGGCGAGGATCGAGGCGGACGCGATGGCGAGAGGGAAGGGGGGCGACGCGGCGGCGGCGGCGCGCGTGAAGGAGCTCGAGGACGCGCTCGCGGCGCTGCGCTCCGCCAACGCCGCGGACGCGATGGAGGTCCAAGAGGCGAAGAGAGTCCGCGCGCGCGCCGCGGCGGCGACCGCCGCGGAGGAGACGGCGATCGCGGCGATCGCGCGCGCGGAACGAGCGGAGAAGCGGCTCATGGAGGCGGAGACCATCCCGGGAGGAGGCGCGGCGTTCGCGATCGCGCCCGCCGCCGCGACGAGCGCCGACGCCGGGGCCGCGGCGGCGGAGGCGAAAGAGTTCGCGGACGCCATCGCGCGCGTCCCCGGGGCGAAACGCGCGAGCGACCTCGCGGACAGGGTCGTCGCGCTCGAGCGCGAGCTCGCGAGCGCGGTCGGCGGCGGCGGCGACAAGGACGCGGCGCTCGCGGCGGCGACGGCGACGCGGGACGCCGCGGTTCGAAAAGCGGACGACGCGACGACGCGCTCGAACAACGCGCAGGCGAGCGCGGACGAGGCGATCGCGGCGCTCGCGCGCGCGGAGCGGCAGAAAGATCTCTTAACGCGCGAGCGCGACTCCCTGCAGCGCGTCCTGAAGTCGTACGACAGCGAGGCGGCGACGAAGGGGGGCGGCGGCGGCGGCGGCGGCGGGTTTGGCGGGTTTGGCGGGTTCGGCGGCGGCGGCGGCGGCGGCGGCGACGCGATGAAGACGCGCGTGAGCGAGCTCGAGAAGAGCCTCGAAGCGTCGCACGCGCGCGCGGGCGAGCTCGAGACCGAGCTCGCGCGCGTCACCGCGTCCGCCGCGACGGCGAGGGACGCGGCGGCGTCGAACGCCACCGCCGCGGACGACGCCGCCGCGTCGCGCGCGGAGCTCCAACGCGAGCGCGACTCCCTTCGCAAAGAAGTCGCCGCGCTCGAATCTCGCGTCGGGCGCGGGGAGTACAACCCGGACGCCACGAAGATCCTGCACTTCCGCTCCAACCCGATGGCGATCGCGAACGAGTCCGCGGCGGAGAGAGAGCTCCTCGTCGTCAGAGGCGAGTGCGAGGCGCTGAGAGAAACCGTCGCCGCGTTCGTCGCCGCGCAGGAGCAGACGCGTTCGGACGCGGCGGCGCACGCGGCGGCCCTCGCCGCAGCGCAGGGGCTCACGCCGCCGCCGGGCATGCCCGCGTTCGACGGCGGGGGAATTAACGGCCCGCCCGGGACGATGCCGCGGTACGCGATGCCGCCGCCGTTTCAAACCCCGGGCCCCCCGGGCCCGGGCCCGCCGCCGCTGATGCCGCCGCCGTCCGTCGCGCAGACGCCGGCGCCGGCGCCCGCGCCGGGGATGGGCCTGTTCACCGGCGCGACGCCGATGACGGTCGCGCGCCCTCCGGGGTTCCCGACGTTCGCGCCGACGCCGGGGCCGTCCGTCGCGGAGGCGGACCTCATCGTCACGAGGCGGCGCGTCGCGGACCTGGAGAAGCGCGAGCAACGGTACCTCGCAATGTTCAAGCAAAAGATTTCCACGTTTCGCGAGGCGTGCTACCTCATCTTCGGATACAAGGTGGACATGGGCGAGGATAAGGCGACCGGGTCGACGACGTTCACGCTGCGCAGTAAGTTCGCGGCGAACGACGAGGACGCCCTGACGTTCGCGCTCGAGCCCGGGAAGGTTGGCGCGACCGGAGGGGACGTCCCCGGGAGGGTGACGCTGTTGCCGACGCCGTACTCGGAGTCGGCGGAGGTGAAACTGGGGGTGGAGACGTTCGTGACGCGGTTTCGGAGCGTCCCGGGGTTCGTCGCGAACCTCACGATGGAGCTGTTCAACCGGCAGACGACGGCGTAGCGCGCATGTGATAGCGTCGTCGCGACGACAGAAGGTACTTTGTACGCGCCGCGAATATCATACGAACACGCGACGACGTTCCAAAATCGATCGCGCGCTTCGCGAACTCGTCCAGGTGGATGTTAGCTCGCGCCCTCTCATCATTCTCGCGAGCGCCGCCGAGGATGGAGCGCGTCTCGTGCGCCGGGCGCGCGCGCGTCGCGAGGATCGCGATGCGCGCGTCTCGCGCGCCGCGCGCGTCCGCGTCCGCGCGCGCGGCGTCGGCCGCGCCAGGACGCCGCCCGCGGGGGAACCGGGACCCACGGGATCTCATCAGAGCGACGACGTGGTCGAGCTCGAGCCGGCCGCGGACGACGTCCTCCTCGTCCTTCCGCGCCTTCCCTCGCGACGACGCGGCGGAGACGCCGCCCTCCCCCGCGACGACGACGGACGCGCTGACGTTCGAGGAGACCCCGACGGAGGAGAAGGATGAGAAACCGGCGGAGAAGATGGAGCCGTACGCCGCCCCCGCGGGTCCCGCGATCGTCGGCGAGCTGAGAGCGCGGCACGTGATCAAGGAGACGATGCGGATGGCGTCGCGCGACTTCTTCCCCATCGCGATGCTCATCTGCGTCGCGGGCGCCGCGGCGCAGGCGCTCAACCTCGGCGGGACGTTCGTCCTCGCGATACTGCGCATCCACGACGTCGAGATCGTCGCCGCGGTGTTCCTGGCGATCGTGCAGTTCTTCAAGCTGTCGTGCGAGAACGCGGCGAAGGTTGCGGTGATGAGAAACGCGCGCGACGTCGACGCCGGCGTCGCCGCGAGATGGAACGCGTTCAACCCTAAAAACGCATGGACCGCGGTCGTTAACTCGCACAAATCATGGAACGACGTCCTCGCCGTGGACGCCAGACGCGTCCTCTCCATCGCGTGGAACTCTCTCATCACCATCCCGATCCCGTATCTCGGGGTGATGAAGCTCTGCGACTACGCGGTGTGCGTGCCGGTGTACGTCTTCGAAGGGTACGTCGGCGGCGCGTGCTTGAGACGGTCGATGGAGCTCATGAACGGGCATCGTTTAACGCTTCTCAGGGCTGCGTTCGGGTTGATGGGGATCTTGAGCGCGTGCGTCGGCGTCGTCGTCGGAATCTTCATGGCGATCTGCCCGACGTTGCCGGAGCTGTTGATGCCGGCGACGGATCCGGCGGCGGCGGCGGCGGCGGC